GTTCAAGTTCAGGCATTGCTTGGACTTGATTGATGTCTGCACTATTTGAGTGTACCCTTCTGGGTATTTGACGAAAACAGCGATCAAGTTCACATTGGTTGGAAGTCAATTATTTTTTATATGAACTCTAATTGAAGACATGAGTTTTCATTGGAGTCCTTGATAGACAAGTTTGATCTTAATTAGGATTATCTTGGTTTTATTATTTTAGTGGAGTTTAGTTCAACATGGACTTTTGTTGTTTAAACTCAAAGCCTTCAAGAAGTCTTTGATTTTTCGTCCTACACGTGAGACCTCCTCGGTATAAAGACTTTGTGAAGAAATCAAATTCCTTAGTTCAGAAGCTAGAGAAAAATGACGTCTTCTCGAGTTTGTGGTTGGCCATTGACGACGGTATAAGAATTTTATTTGTATGTGATAAATTGATATTACTCTATTTTGTTAAATCCAATAAATATTTTATTATTAGAATAGAGCAGATATCTAGTTTTCTCTTTAATTGTTCTGAGAATGTTGTAATTTCCAATTTTTCAATAGTGAAATTTTGACGTTGTGTTTCGTTCGTGGATGTAGGCTTGTTTGTTGAGCCGAATCACGTAAATCTTTGTGTTATATTTTTATATTTCATTGCGTTATTATTTTGCTTGTGGTTTTGTTTATAACAAATATTAAAAAAAAAAGGTTATGATCTAATTAATATAAGAAGCAAGAATACATATTTCTATATTTTTATTCACAAATGTGTTCCTCCGTAACTCTATCTCTCCCTCTCTCAAATAATGCAGTTGTAATTGATTAACATTAGACATAGGCACAAACCTGAAACGACACTATCTATTCACAATATGATGCGATTAGATTGACTTTCCATCTCCTCCCCCCTTTCTCTCTCACACACACACAAACACAAATGATGGAGAAATAATTTTGCATGGAAAACAAAAACCAAAAGGTGATTTAGATACTTCATGCATACTGCCTTGATGTGAGCCATAGGACTATGATTAATCCCCAATACCAAAACATTATCGATGAAATTATTTTCTCTATTTAGGGGCTCTAAGTAGACACCTTCCCCTCCTTGGGGAAGGTGTTCATTGACTTCTATCTCATCAACTTTGAGCCAACCCCCTACAACTTGCAATAAACAATAAATAGAAATTTCGTAGTTTGAGAATTAAAACAACACACTTCGAAGCAGTTTGTTATGTGGTACAAGTTAAAACCTCCCAGAGCTTTTGTCGAGTCTAATGTATTTCTTTACTTGTCTTTTTGTTTATGTTTTCATGCACTCTGATGTTTAGCACCGTCCAAGAAAGCCACAGCTTTTATTTTGTCTTTGCTAATCCACACACCCTTATTCACTTTGAGACATAGGATCTTATAAACACACTTCTCTTAGCCATTTGAATGAGTCTCGGAGAAGTCATTCTTTACAATTTCCTAATCTCAAGATATTATTGGTAGCTGCGATTTATATACTCACCAATATGATGGAGTCCAGCTTCCTGGGCTCTACTTTTTCCTTTTTCTACATATAAAATTCTTTTTCCTTTTTTCACAAAATTACGAGGGAGACGGTATTAAATTGATCAGCATCATTTTTCCTATTTATAGTAGAGAATAATAGTCAACAAGCACACTTTTTTTTAGATTTGTGGATGGGTAATGTAAACTCTGAATATCCATAATCACCTACAAGTCACATGTATAGGATAAACGAGAGTTTGTTTGTGAAATTGATTGAACAAACTCTCGGTACGAGTTTTCCCAGGGGGTTGGTTCATTGAGTCCCATTTTGCATATAATGACTTGCTTATACTTTGAAAGAAATTAATGTACTAAAACTCAGACAACTAGGACTGCTGTCTTTTGCTTGAGCTTCATTCATGTTATTCATGAAGCATATACGACGGTATTAATGTCCTAAGTTAGCAACATTATCGTCGAAATTTTATTTAAACTGATAACTTATTTAGATCATTAGGTGCATTTTAATTGTTATATGACCAATCACTCAACAATCCGGCATAAGACCAAAAACTTCATCTTCCCCACAATATTATAAACAGAAAAAAACAATAAATAAATTCCCAAACACAAAACGATGACGCATAATCCAAATCGATTAGAGAACAAATCGGCAAAATGCTTGGAAAAATTCTCAGATATTGTAGAAGTGCCTACTCTTGATGATGAGAGCTTAACAACTAATCATTGAATGACAACTCGCACCGGTTGAGACAAGTTATAGATAAGTCCTTTTAGTTTGACCAAACAGTACCTAATTAGGCTGCATGCTAACATAAAGAAAGAGCTAAACTATGAGGAAGGTGTTAGCTTTAACCTTTTGCAACTATTAAGTGCTGGCCTTATCTATGTAAAGACAGTTTTAATCCTAAATAAACCTACTTGCCATTCGGTTGATAAGTGATTTTTTGTTTTGAACGGCTTTTGTTGCTGATCATTCATTAACTATCTTATAACCTATACTTTTGTCCGAGTAATGGATCCATTATGAGTGAGTATTAATTATGTTGAGGACTTTGCTAACGACACGTGCTATTTAAGAGCTGGATGACTCCTATTGGTGGTTGATAAATGGGCAAAGGATGCATTCGTTGCTTCTAGCCCGAGTTCTAACTTAGAAACGTTAATCATAGTGTAATGCATGGTAATAACGCAATACTAGCTTTTCAACCAAGAATGATAACAGTTTTATACAAATCTATTGCTATTATGATTAGGGTATGACCCGGGTTCACCCTCTGCCCACCCGCCCCTCCACGTACATGGATCTTTAGCCTTAAACATCTGCTGAGTGCTGAGTAGGATAAATGGAATGAGTGCAAAACGAGGAGTCAAACGGCTTCTTCGTTTGATCCGGCGATTTAAGAATGTTTGGAATTCATGCAACCAAGGAGACCCAATAACCTTGGACCGGCCCAAGGAACCAGTACAAATCCTAGAACAGTGAATCAAATTACCTGTACTACCCCTCGTACTAGATATTAATTTGCCTTGTTGCTAATTATGAGACAACTTTGCAGTGTTCTTCGAAGAGAAGTCTGCCTAAAAATGTAGTTAATATACTCTTCCTTCGCTTTCACAAGACCGGTAGTTGCATGAACCGCCTAGATTGCTCTCAGTACCACAACAATAGATGCATGGAATAAGGGTGTTTTTGTCACTCAAACTCTTTTCCTCATCTATACAAGCAATAACGTACGAGAAACTGACAAAAGATTAATTTACTCCTAGTTTTTGACTGAGTTGTTACGTGGTCAATATAGTTACGTTTTGAGGTAGGGAAATAATTATGTACCTATTGATTATGAACCCAAGACAGGAAAGAACATTTCAACTCAAAATAATTTTATACAAACTCACGAAATAATAGACTTACAAATCATTTTTCTTGATAAATTATCATTTTGTTTGAAATAAGAATCATATTCTAACCTAACTCAAATCACAGTGATTAGCTGTTGAACTCGAAAGTGTAGTTGACACAAACTTAAATACTATGTAACAAAAAAAAAGTATATAAATGTGTCTATAATTACAAGAATAATGTTATATACTTTGAATTACCTAGGTGTATCAGTGCGAAGTGAGTTGGGGTGGGTGGGGGGTGGGTGGGGGGGGTGGGGGGCGGTAAGAGTGTAAGTTGTGGTATGACGGGGGGAGACATTCATAAATTGTGAAGGTGCATTATAGACGCACAAAACTGTCTCAAATTAAAATGGCTGCAAAATCTAGGTTGCATGCCACGTTAATCTTAGCTGTAAATAGTACGATAAAAGGTTAAGAAAACAGATGGTAAATTGGGTATACTTGCAATGTTGCAAATAAATCAGAACTTGTCAAATTACCAAAACACCCTCTTCCACAAAAACATATAATAACCTGAAATCAATACTTAGTTGCCACATTAAAAGTGTCATTAAAAAGAAATAATGAATATTAAGAGGTTAAACCTCTTTATTTAGTCCAAGGTAGACTGACACATAACAACATAAGTAACGAGTGTCATTTTGACTGACTAAATTAACGGAACCGCCCCCTCCGGTGTCACGTGACCTGAATTACAGATTCCAAAATCGCTCTCGCTGACTCAGCACCCAAGTTCCTATCAACCCGTTGAATCTTCCTCACAGACCGGGCCCTACTACCACGTGTCAAAATCTTGACGTCTCAAAATCTTACGTCCCCATCAGATGCGGCGGCTCGTTAAACTATCCGAAACGTCGTCGGAATCTCCCCTCCCTCCGATTAAAACCCCACCTACCCTTAATCAGTGACATAAATCAAAAAAATTGAAATTAAAAATTAATGACAATTTACCCGATTTCGGCTCGAGGATCCTATAAAAAAGCATTTGCAGTAGTTTCGGTCTCCACACCAACTGAACGAAGTTTTTACTCTCTCTCTAAACTCTTCATCATTTTTCTTTCTCTTTCTCTGAGATTTTCTCCAGAAAATTCACAGGGAAAATCTAAGGTTCCAAAGTCTTGAGCACAGGGTTACTAGAAGTAGTGTCATAGAGTTGCCGAAACCTCTGGCAGAGCTTCAGTAGACTCAGTATACACAAAATACTGTGATTCTCCGAACATATATTCCCTTTCCTTTTTCAGGCAAAAAGTGTGGTTGTGGTTCATCTAGCCTCAGTCACCCACTGTCCATTTCCTTTCCTCCGCAACTTTCCTGGAAAATACCTACTTTTCTTCACACTACAAGTTCTGACTCTCTCTCTCTCTCTCTCTCTCTCAGTCACACCCCGCCCCCATGAGTCTGTGCTTTCTGCAATATTGTTCTCTACAAGTTATTCGATGATGCACCCCCTACCCTGCATTAGTCTAATAATTGAAATCTTTTGAAGCTCGCTTCAGTTTTCTCTGTTTTTTTTCCTTGTAACTTTTCCTTGAACATTCGAACATTTAATCCAACAGAAGATCACTGTTTCAAGACTTCTTTATAACGTTGCTCCCTTCTCGCTTTATTCTCTTCGCGGCTCCGGCCTGGTCGCAAAGGAACATCTTTCTCTCTCTCTGTGCTGTCTTTCCTTTTCAATGCAAATCTAACCAAACTGTAGAGATATGGAAAGAAGTTTGTTTCCTACTTCACTCAGGTATACCGAACACCGTAAACAAACGACGATGCTGAGGCCTTCACAGCCCCTTGGTCTTACCAGCCGGAGAAATTCACCGGAAATGAATGCCGGAGGTCCTACAGTTGTCCGGATATCTGTCACAGATGCTGACGCAACGGACTCTTCAAGCGACGAAGAGGAGGGATTTTTCAAGCGCCATAGAGTGAAGAAATTCGTTAATGAGGTCACAATAAAGCCGTGTTGCGGAGAAAACGGTAACGGTATCCGCAACGTTGGAGGAGATAAAAAAGTGAACGGAGTTTGGAGGAGAAAACCGGCGGCGAATAATCGCCGGAAAAAGTCTGTCGGCGAAATAGAATCCCCGGCTAATCGGTTGAAAGTATCCGGCTCAGGCAGGAAGTTTCGAGGCGTACGGCAGCGGCCTTGGGGAAAATGGGCGGCTGAAATCAGAGATCCACTTAGACGTGTACGTCTGTGGTTGGGTACGTACGAGACAGCTGAAGAGGCCGCCATGGTGTACGATCACGCGGCTATTCAGCTGCGTGGACCGGACGCGCTCACTAACTTCGTCACTCCTCCGGCGCGAACAGAATCAGAAATCAAGCCGGCGGTCACATGTGCGGATTACAATTCCGGCGAAGAGTCTCAGAGCAATCTCAACTCTCCAAAGTCTGTTCTCCGATTTGTCTCTCAAAACGAAGAAACTGAATCAACGCAAAGTCAGCCACCAAAGGACTCATCGACGGAACTATCAGACAAAGTAGAGGACAATGAAATCTCCATATCGGAAAAATTTTCCGATTTCTCGCCATTAGAAACAATATTTCCGACCGATTTCTTCGATTTTGAGAACCCGATGCAGCAGCCGGATTGGTTTGACGGAATTGGTGAATCACATAACCTGTTTGGAGACGATTTTGTTGGCGATATGTTAATCGGGTCAAGTAGTGATTTTGGATTCGGCTGCTCAACGTGGCCTACCGATGATTATTTTCAAGATTATGGTGATATATTCGGGTCGGATCCTCTTATAGCTCTTTGAGAAGATATAATAAAATCTAATCGTGATTTTGCCATTTGTTTTGCTAAATCATTCGGCAGTTTTGCGTGGAATTGATTGTTAGGAAATAGCTTTTATGATGCTTTATTTCTGGTTTTATTTGTTGATTTAAATTTTTAGTGTTAATATAAATCATTCCGTTACTTTAATGGTGATGGGATAGTGTTTGCCTATATATTATTTGAGATTTAATATATGGTGTTTAAAAAAAAAGTTGGTATTATATTAAAAAATAATTTATAATTGTTGATTTTATTTTTATTTATTTGTAGTCATTAATCATGATAATAATAAAATCATATAAAATAATAAAATTAAATAAATATTTAAACATGTACCTTCATTAGACAAAAAAATAATATAATATCAAAAAATAGTTTTCCTATGGATTAGATGTGCGTGGTTGTTTCATGCCTGTTTTTTGTGGGTCCGTCAATCAAACTAAATTATTTTTGATTTGAATTTAAATAATTTAAAAAAATGAGCTCAAATTCACAAATCTCAACTCCACTATTAGTCCTGTCCGTTCTTATGGCCTTCGTAACTGTCCGGTGGAAGACACGTATTAGTACATGTGATTTGAAGAGTTATTATGAAATGGAATGAATGCTTTTGGTTAGTGCATTTTGCAAACGTTGTCGAAAAAACCTGATTAGGCACTGAGCCTTACCTAGTCATTTTGATTTGGAATCTACTTGCCATTGCAGATTCGTACATTGTTTTTGCTGTCAAAAACTCCCAATTATTTGCACATTAAACACAAGAGGACGGCTATGGTACTAAAGTTGGTGCTGTATTTGAGTGTCGTATTGAATGAAAATTTACTTACCTCACACCTAATTTGTTAATGACTGACCGTCTGTCTGTCTGTATATGATTCGGTCAGTATAAAGGGCATGTGGCTACCAAATTTGATAAAATAATTGTATTGATCGATTAAATTGTTGTTGATCATAAATACTGAAATATTTGATCGGTCAAATATGTTTAAAGATCGATTACTGAGTTATAGATGTAAAAGTTGAAATGGTAAGTGAAATTGCGATCCATCGAAAGCAAATATGATAGATCAATTATTATGTATTTACTTAAATACCCTCAAAAAAGAATTAATTGAAGCGTTGTAAAGGGGTTTTTGTAGTAAATAAACATCGGATCATGTTATTGCACATTCGTAAAAAAATTATTCAAGTTGCAAATATTGTCATAAATCTGATAAGCAATCCATTGCAATTGTAATTATTCCCACAAATTTGATAAACAATCTACTGAAATTGTAAATATTCTCATAAAAAATTCATTGAAGTTGTAAATATTCCCATAAAAATGATAACTGATCCATTAAAGTTGTATATCTTCTTAGATTAGTTGTAAAATATTCATAAATTAAGCACATATATATGTGTATTGATCAATCATTGACTATTAATTATCGTAAAAAATACTATTAAATTAGTAAATATCCCCATAAATGTAGTAAAGAATCCATTGAAATTGTAAATAATCTCATAAATTTAGTAAACATATCACTAAAGTTATAAATATTTTCATAAATTTAGTAAATATACCATTGAAGTTGTAAATATTCCCTTTATTATAGTAACAAAATTACTAGTAATCATATGTACTATTTGACATGTCATTTCAATGTTTTATCTTGTCCACCAACAGGTATTTAATAGGTAACCCATTAAAATTGTAAATAATCTCATATATTTAGTGCACATACCACTAAGATTATAATTATTTTCACAAATTTGAAAATTTCGATATAATATCGAAAATTTTCTTGGATGTATCGTAGTCTACTCCGGTGTTCAAATGACACAATCTATGCACAGTACAACACAATTAGATAGACACTGTTTAGGAGAGTTATCAGAAGATTGATCATCAGAGTGGTCCTGATGATGAGCTGGTGCTGATATACATTTGGACAAACAACTGGGTCTCATTGCACAGTTGCAGTATCAGAAAAAAAAACTTAGCTTACCACGTCTCTTTCATGTTCTCACGATTTTTGTCCATTGAATGAGTTTATTTCTGGTCATGCTATCTTGTATGACGAATTTTCAGCCGGAAAATTTAATGGGCAATCAGAGATGTAACTTTTTCTTGTAGATATTGGCCAATATGAGAGAGACAATGGTGTATTTAGAAGTGCTGAGACTATGGTCTTTTCAACACCAAGTTGATGCATAAAAACACCAACCCAGTCATTTTCTTCTGAATTCAGAAATCTCATTCTAGGGTCACTGCAATCATATTACTTTTTTTCTTCGACTAATCTCCGCTTGCATCTCAACTCAACTTTGCACCTCAAAAGATCACTTAAATTTTAATTTACAACTTTAAAGTTTAAAAATACTAATTTATATCCTGAAAAACACAAATTTATATCAATGTGCACCTGAGGCAATCTTCATCTATTTTGCCGATAAAAAAGTTTAGATTAATTATAAATTATACTACTTAAAGTTTAAATATTTCATATTTATGATAACAAAAATTCATCCGTTAAATAACTTTTAATTCTATTGTATCATAACATTTTCGTATCGTATTCAAGTCAGTAAACAAATAATTGTAAAATTGTAAAAAATTTATAAAATCTCTATTTTTTGTCCACAATTCTTGTTTAATAGCTATTTTATATTTACAATTAGATGCAAATCTTTTGATTGTCCAATCAAATTAAAGTTACATAAAAAATAATACAATTGTAGACAGAAAATAGTTATTTAACGAGTATTATAGATAAAAAATAGGTATTTTTAATTATAAAAAATATTATATGAATTATCGTAAATATGAAATATATGACACAACACAATTGACTCCACACAAAAATATTTTTATGTTAAAAATATTTTGTATCGAACACGACAAAAAAATGTTATGACACGATACAATTGAGAGCTATTTAACGAGCATTAATAGATGAAATTTTTTTTGAATCACCAATATAAAATATTCAAACTTTGAGGGGAGTAATTTATAATTAACTAAAACTTTTTTAACGGCAAAATAACCGGGAGTTAGTGCCAAGTGCAAATCAACACATATTTAAAAAAAAGAAAAAAAAAAGTGATACATATTTATATCTTTTATGGTGTAAATTAATATTATTAAATTTTGAGAATACAAATTGAGATTCGAATAATTTTTTGGAGTGCAAATTAAGATTAATCCTTTTTTTTTATGTGGATCAATGGATCTAGTTCAATTCAAACGAAGAAGAAAAAAAAATGGTTATGTTGTTGGAGAGGCACGATTTCAAAATGTGTATGAGAATTGAAATCTCTTTATCTACTCTGAAAAATCTACTTTAGTCCAATATGGTAGCAGATTTGAGCACTTTGATAACATTACCCCCAACAACAATTCATCTTTCAAACACCATGACTTTCTTTTCTGTTTTTGAAATGTGGAATAGTCATATGACAAGTTGTGTCCCGTTTCCTTCGTTCTCATCAATTTTAGCCGGCCAATGATTGGCTATGGGCACACCCGACTGGCCTTGATCGGGCCCATCAACTGGGCATAGTGCGTCCCATGACCTTTGCTATTTGGGCTTCTGGGCACCCGCGTGATGGACTAAATCAGCCGACGGATTCAAATGCCATTTGCCCTTCAAGAACAAACCAAATTTACCACACAAAACCACATTTTTCCTGTAGTAGTAACATTATAACTTTCCAAAAATATCACTGTTAAAGAGATTTTTTTTAGACTTTCCGACAACGAGAAAAGAAAAAATCATCTTCGTTTCTAAGAGTTGACCCAAAAGAATAATTATCACAATAGTGATAAAAAACACCCGCAAATTTAATAAATTACCTATAAAATAGTAATTTTTTTGTATTAAAGAAAAGTGATAAAAATTATTATTATTATAAATGTGATAAAAAAATTTATAACAAAAGTAAAAATACTCATTAAAATAATAAAATTTTTAATTATAAAATTGCACACAAAAATTATAGAAATATTTTTTAAAATAATAAATTTTAGAGATATGATAGTCAAATTTCTTTTTTTTTTGACAATGGTCAAGTCCTCCTTTCTATCGCAACTAGTTGAAAACAATAATTGTGGTACTATGTATGTCAGCTCAAGTGTCTTTTCCTTCATTTGCCAAAATGCACTGGCCCTGGTCCCCCAAACAGGAAGAACACAACCTCAGGCCCGCTATCCTGCTGCTGCGTTCGTATTGGGGGCGCGTACTTTAAAAAAGGAGAGCTGCATGCGCGTTTATGGGTGCAATGCAAGCAAACCGTGCTCTGCTGTAACCTTGCCCTTTCTGGTTTTGGAGAGGCAACACCCCCAATGGTCCCACAAGTATTTTCTGGTCCCTCTTAATCCCATCTCATGCTAGCTAACATGTACCGGTCGTTTTGGGTAAGGGTGTGAGTATGGTGATTATAAATTGATTAGTATGCAATTGCATAATTTCATTGGATTTTCAATTAATCTTGTTACTAGAGTGAGATATATTGTTATTTGGGTCTAAATACAAAATCTCATAAATATTTAATATATTGATATTTGACGTTATTACATTTACTAAGAAAATGTTACGAGACAAAATTTCAAGAAAATGTGAGACATAATCAATTATATTCACATTTAAAAAGAAGAAAATAATCAATCAAAAGTTATTATTAAGTAACTATCAATGAGACAACATCGTTGAAGAAGATGGTTATAAAAGGACATTCAATGATCAAACCTTAAAAGGTCCACGATCAGGACATCATTAAGAGTAATATTAAATTAGTTTTAGAGGAGCAATTAATATTATAATTAAGGTTATTCTTTTAGTCTCTTGTTACCGAAGTCTTTTTATTGTATTAATAAAAAAAAATCTTGGTTTAACTTCATCTTTATCCAATAAAAATTTCATTGTTTTCATCCAAAAAAAATTATAAACTCATTCCAAACAATCGCTTGAAACTGTCTGTCGATCGGGAGATATCCGTCAATCCCAATAAATTTGAACCAACAATGATATAAGAGTAATGATACTTTAAACTTAATGAAGAAAAAAAAAAAGGTCTACTTAGTTGACCAAGAACAGAAAAATAAAATAAAATAATCCGACATAATGCACCAAAAAGAAAATCTACCTAATGGACCACATCATTTAACAAGTACTTTGCATTCTTTCCGTTAGTGTGGTGACCATACGGATTGTGTATGGGATACATGGGCAATTATGTTTCCTTTTTTCTTCTGCATGGCTTCCCATCTAGGGGAATAGTCCACGTGGCAAACAAGGGTGATTGCTGCGATGGAGCATTGTCGGGGTCAACATTGGTGGTAATTAGGCCGACACGACACGATTAATCGACACGAATTGACACAAATTAAGCAGATTTAGGTAAAATCTTATCGACTTTGGGTAGTAAACGAGTTGACCCGCTAGACACGTTTAATAAATGAGTCATGTTCGAGTGAGATCTGTCAACCTGTTTATCACTCGTTTAAATAAATTTAATATAATAATAAATTAATATTTATTATATATATAATAATAATGAATGAGTAAAAGAAAAACAGTAAAGAAAACATTTCAAAAATAAAAAAAGTAAAAAATTCAGTTCAAAAAACATAAAAAACAAAAAATTTTGACCCTTTGAAAAATTGAATTGTCTTTTCTTTTGAATCTCACATCCACAGAAGAGCGGAGAGATGGGGCTTTAGTTGCCTAGAAAAGAGATGGTGAGCCTCTTTCTTTTTGCTGACCTTTGTGGTGTGACTTATCATGTGGACTGTTGGTTGGAACTCTTATAATTGAAGAAAGTACAGTTAAAAGTAAAAAAAGTAGAATGTAAAAATTTGTTAAAATAATAATTTTATTGTTTTTTTTTGTTATTTTTAAATGGATTAAACGAGTTATGCCGTATTATCAGTTTATTAAACGATTCATGTTCGTATTAAAAAAATTTACCTGTTTATTAAATGTGTCGTATATGGATTTGTATGTTTTTCACACGTCATCCGTTTAACCTGACACGTAACCATTTACTCGACACGGTTGACACCCCTAATTGTAACGGTAACATCATGTTATTATTAGCACATGATGTTATTATCTAATACTCCATCCGTTCCTAAATATCTGTCGTTTAAGGTTTTTGCACAGAGATTAAGGAATCTATTAAATAGTTGTAATATGAATAAAAAATAATTATATAAGACTAAAATACTCTTATTCAATACGTATTGGGAAGAAAAAAATATAAAAGAAACTTAGCCTCTGCCTAATTTAATGCATTGAAAAGTTAAGGGTAAATTTGAAAACAAAAATATTAATTATACTTTGGTTTCATTAAACGACAGATATTATAGAACAAAAAAAATTTTGTAAAACGACAGATATTTAGGAACGAATAAAATAATAAATTTATACAAGGAAAAGGTGAATCTTACTTAGATAATTATTAAATGACATGACCTGATGTTTACTATAATACGTATGATTTACTTATTTATTTATTTTATTTTTATTGAATAATAATATCATATATCAATATTAACGTAATACCATTATTACATCTAATATTTTTTCCATGGGGAGATATGAAAGGACAATTAGAAGATAATGAAAAATCTTCATTAAAAAAAAAAAAGCAATTGAGTTTGTGTGAAAAGTCATTCAACCTATACAAAATTTGTTTAATTAAACGGATGACAATCTATAAATCGAATATGACTCATTTAATAATAATAATTATTATTATTAAAATAAAAAAAATTGTTAAACTTTTTTTTAAATTGATTTAATTGTTAAATTGCATATATTTTTCTAACTAATGAAATTGAATAATTATTATTTTATTATTATATTACTTTTATTTAAACAAATTAACATATCTCACTTAAACACAACTTATTTAATAAACAGGTCCAGCAGATCCACCTATGTACCATCCCGCACTCTTTTTTCTTTTTTTTTGTTATTAGATGTCTAGACTTATGTCGATTACTTCCTCGAACTCAAAAGTCGGCCACGGTGACTTAGGTTAAAGTATATTCCTAAAAGAACAAGAGTGGCTAATTGTTAAGAGGTGTGAGGAGATATTAAATTTGAGACCTCTAAATTATTAAAGATTAGACTTATTGACTGAATCACCCCTAAAATTTTTTCACACCTGTTATAATTTCACTTAAATCTTTTAATTTTGTATTGATTAATCGTGTCATGTCGGATATATAATGTATGCATGTAATGTGGGCGGGAAAGTGGGCAGGTAGGACCCTCTTTAGGGTCGCTCTCACCTACCGACAAGAGAGTGATGGAGCGGAAGGTAGAGATCTTTGTGGGGATGATACAACCCGGAGTGGCCTATGTTCTTTGATTTCGTTTACATAAATACACATGATGATAAATCTCATGAAAAGTGCTGGGATAATTAATAGGTTCACTCTACACATGCACACTTTCTTGTGGTAATTATTGCACAAACATGAAGGCATTTTCTACATCTTGAATTACCACCACAACTTTACACCAGGATTCACCTCAGATCTTTTTTTTTTTTTGTTAAAGCCACACACACAAGAAATCTAACTTACACGAATTAAGTGTAATTGAATAGAGGGACAGAGCATTCTCTTGAACCCACCAAACCACAACACCCAGGTAATTATAATTGTTGACTGGATGAAGGTCCAATGACCATTAAGTACTTACTCACTCCGTTGCGTCGCTCGATGAAGGACAAGATTTTTTTGTTAAACATGCACAGAGTAACACACACAAGAAATTAAACTTACACGACCTAAGTACAACTGAATAGAGATTCACCTCAGATCTTAAGGGGACTAATATTAGTCTGATAACACCAGTTAGAGACATCATAATCTAAGAACAACATACAAGTTTAGGAGTCAACAATATGGATTGTTTAACTTGGTCAAGGTCAAATTTGATGTTGATACATAATGGTAAGAAAGGGAAATTTGAATTTAAAACATGTTGGTCGTCATACATGATATTTTTTTCATTGGAATAGAATTGCAATCTAGAATTGATAAAAAAATCGCAATCTAGAAGGATAATATTCATTTGCTTTAGTTTAATACCCAAATTAATATTCCAAGATTGTTGATAAGGAAACTTGGACACTAGGCACATTGAAAAACATACAAAGACAAGAAAAGGCAAAGAAGTAACAAGTGAGCAACAAAGTTCTCTCATGGCACAATAAGGTATAAAGAAGATAGGTCAGTCGAAGTCAAACCAAAAGTGGGCTGCATTCTCATGTATGTTTGAGTGGCCTTGCACTGAAAAATGATAGCCATCCAAACATGGTTGGGCCAGTAGAGCATGACAGATTAAAAGATTAGACCCCTTACATAGCCCATTGATATGCCTAAACTTACAGGCTTGCTCGGTTTTATCTGCAAACAAGTAGAAAAGTCCACCACACTTGTTTCACCGTGCTCCCAAAACTTCTACTTTATGACTTCTTCCTTCTTTTCCTCGTAGTGAGTTTTAATGGTGCTTTTTACCCATATGCCATCACTGAATAGAAAGTTAATAGAAGCACAAAGTTAATTTTTATTTTTTTGAACTTTAAAAAGTAAAAAAAAAAGGCAATAGACAGAGAAAAATAGATAAAGAAAACACTAAAGAGAAAAGAAACAAACACGTCTTACATGTCGCACATTTTTCGTTCTTTTTTACTTTTTATCCTATTACAAAAGTCATTATCGTTCTTGTTTTTAATATTTACATTATGCATATCTCACAGTAACGTACTCTGGAACATTGTTCTCCCACAAAATTTCTTTCTATCAATCACTCCGCGCTTAAATAGCAAATAGATTTACATGCTAATTAATAAAGGCTACATATTTGTGTTTATTTGATTGTACTTTTTACATTGAAGATACTTTGCCTCACAAGGGCCTGTGTCATAGCATAGACCAACACCCCCATCCTCTTCAACCTAGATGGCAAAGATCTTCTGTTGCTACATGTTTCTGTTTTTCATGTTTACATTTTGTATTATTTTCTCTCTGCTGCTGCTAAGACATATGTATTCATTTGAAAGGGAAAAAAAATACACTACTTAATGAGAATGAGTTTGCCTTTAATAACATAAATCAAAACCACAAAAAGCAAATCTTATATTAGTTTTTTTCCTTTGAGATGTCCCAATTGTAACTTGTGTCCTATGAAATACAAGAGCAGGGAAGAGGCCTCTTTTTCCACACCCTTCACCAAATTACCTGGCAACCTGGACAAGAAAATGTTGGCAAACTAACCCCCCATTCATCACCACAATTTTTCATCCATACGCAGGATTTTACACTAGATTGAGAAAATCCTTGTGATAAATCCGGATTATGGCCAGCTAGAATCACCACCTCCATTGGTAGATTATTGTGTCATAGAGATAGTGCACTCAAAGAAGTTACCTGGAGGGGGTAGCCTTGATTTTGCTCAGGTGTCACAAATTCCTTTCCAAATGTTTGCTTTCAGACATATTGAGAAGGAGAAAAGGAGAAAACTGCTGGGAAATCCAAAGACGAGGTGGGAATCAGTAAATGAAACAGCCTAATCCACATGCCACCTTCAATTTGTGGGGATGGGCATGGATGATCTGTTCCGGGTAGAAAGTGACCAAAGATCAGTTTGTTCTGAGATTTTAAAGGTCAGTTTGTTCAGAGTCCAGATATAAAATCTTTTTCATTGACAAGTGATGAAAGGTCAATTCATGTGGAAACTCTACTAGCGGAAAATCTCATCAATAGTAACAGAGCAAAGATCACCTTGTTCAGAGACTCGATAGGGGAAAAATTCAACAGCAGCCAATCAGAAATCAGATTATTCCGAGATTCCAGAGACAACAATGCTGTCCACTCCTGCTAATCATGTGCCAGCTGCTTCTGAAGAAGTATAAGGTGAACGGTCAACTCAGTAACAAATGTGAGTTATCCATCCAAAATTTATGGGGACTGCACACCTTGTCTAGATCAGTTTTAAAGAGCTGATGCAAAATTGAGGTCAGCAATCATACCACAATCTCAAGTTTCAAGAAAATAACTGGCTGACAATGCTTATCTGCAAATTCTGCTTCCTCTAAAATCTGCTTAAGTATATTAATGTTGATCTTCTTGTGAATTTGAGTGCAGTTATCTGCGAATCCCATGCAACAGCAACATGATCTCTGGCTTTTATCAAGTAAATTCTTGGGGCAGTATCATTAACCATGAATTTCTAAGATCTTGAGACATTTTCAACAACATTGCAAGCTTTACTGTGTCTCCCAGACCTGGAATCTGTTTCAAACTACCTCGACGTCTGTTCATTCCCAATGTGCAGGGCCAAAAAGCTGCATCATGAGAACGGAGCAGAGTTGAAGCCCTTCTATTTCACATGAGCAGCAGAACCTCGAATGTCATGAAATTTCCTCGAGTTTTTCCTATTGTAAACATACATCCAAGGCTGACACATGCGGCTTCAGACAAAGCTGACTGGACTTGCAAGCTGCAAAAACCATTTTGCAATTCCTCCACCAATCCCATATTGGGTTGCCTCTGTCTTAAACCATCTGCAACAATTTTATGCACCCACTGGAATTGGCAGCAACAACCATGTCTGATTTCCGTCTCCAGCAGACGCTCGAAACAAACTGTCCATTGTCATCATCAGTCTCTTTTCCCAAAATTGGATCAATGGACCCAAACTTGAGGGAAGTAATAGGCATATGAAAAGATCAATAATAAGCAAAAACCTGCAGAGAAGAGGATCAATGCAAGAAACTAGTGAAGAAAGTCATGTTTGAGAAAAAAAATGTTGAAAATGGACTATGATTCCTGGAAAATTTGACTTATTTTGACTGTGCAGATAAGGACGACACTGTTCAACAAAGCTAAATCCAGTTCAGCATGGAGGTGTATCTCGAAGACATGTTATATTTTACATGATCAAAATTAAGTTGACAAGATAATCAACGAGGATCATTACACTTGAATGTTACCAATAAATGGACTTGACAAGAGATTTTAACCATCTAATGCCTCTAAAAAGTCCAAGACAAAGATAAAACTTGTACACTAAATCCATCAGAGACTTGTCCATATGCGATACAAAATCACAATTGTAACACTAAATTCATCACAGATTAGATCGGATCTAGAGTGATGACAAGTGCCCATTCGCCAAGCAACAGCAGACCCGAGTCCAGGAAACACCCTCTCCAAAAAGACTAAGGTTGCCTAGCCCTTACGTCCCCATGACCCCGCCGAAGCCTTGTGCATTGAGTATGACCTTTTGTTTAAAATACATTATACTGCTTCATATCTGCCACAAAAATATAATTTCGCTGACAATAGATGCTTAATTTCTATCTTTCTTTCTTTAACGCTATTCTCCTGTGTCTCTTATTATTAGTCTGTCACCTTGAGTCAAAGAATAGTACTGAGAGTGAGAGGATTAGATGACTTGGCACAGTATGATATCTCAGTTATTAATGTGTCATTCTATCACAACAAAGAGTACATTGGCACAGGTATCATGGTCATTCCGTGATGCATCTAGTAATGGGTCTTGACAGATATGAGAAGTAATGCCCACCTCGTTTGTCTCTGAACCACACGCAATGTATCCATCATTGACAGATAAACCCACAAAGTTCTGAGGAAGCAAGAGCATAGAGTTAAGCAATAATGTTTAGAAATAAAGGCCAGATTATTGTGACTAAATACACAAGTTTACAGGTTCTGAAATAGAGGTGGAAAATTACCCAGCTCCTAGCATGGAGCAACCAACCTTCTCATTGGCATGCCCTCTAAGGGTTAAGACGCAAGCATTGGTTGATAAACCACTGGAACTGGTTTTACTGAGGTCCCAAAGCTTTAACGTGTTGTCAGTGGATGCAGAAACTAGAGTTTCAGAGTCCATAAATTTCAAGTAGCTAACAGCTTTTTCATGCCCGGCCAATGTACACCAGGGGATTAAAACATTCCGAAGATCATAGCAGTAGGTCTTATAATCCGCAGAGCCAAAACCCAGCAAATGAGTGGAGTTAGAAGAGAACTGAACACAGCAGACATTTGCAATATTCCTGATTGTGCATAGACTGTTCTTCTGCACCAAAAGGGAGCCATCATATTAAATAGTCTTGTGGAGTAATGTAAGTAGAAGTTTCATTGATTTCATGCAGTCGCCAGAGTTACAATGATAGGAGCTTCAACAACAGGGAAGAGGTGGGAGACAATAGTTTTCCATCCATACTGACACTACTAAATGCCGTGTCAGCACCTCGTATCCAAGCATGCAGTTGTTATCCTAATTAAGTATTTCTCAGATGAAAAGCTGACATTTCTAATGAAATACTATTGACTTTTGTAATGAACAAAACCTTGATTTTTTATTTCATCGAGAAAGAAGGTATACTGACTGCCTTTACCAATTATCTTGTAGTTATTCATATAAAGGATTGAAAATATGAAAAAGATAAAACAAATAAAAAATGAGACATGGGGGGAGATAGGGGGTTCTCATTGTAACTCTACTTTGTTCAACGTGACAAATCTATTGCATCATGAAAAAATTGAAAAAGACAGAAAGAGCATGCCTCATTAATGCTCCAGAGTTTCACAGAACAATCATCACTTCCACTAGCTAATTTTGTTGGATCCACTCGAGAGAAGTCAACAGACCAAGCCCTTTTATTGTGCTCAATGTATTGAGAAAAACCTTGGCTAGTTCCTGCATCCCATAACTGGAATCATCCAAGCAAATCACGTCATAAGCAATGCACTGTACTTTAGTAAATAAATATCAATACCTAGAGGAACATGCAGAAGAAATATGATCCCTTGGTAAATTACTGCTAGCTACTGATCCAAGCTTACTTATTACAAGACCTATATGGCGTGCACATATAGTCATGCCAAATTGACTAGTTGACAAGATGGAACTGGGAGGCTTTTTGCCTTGGGAATCAACAATGCAAATGAATAGGCAATCATTTGAAATCTTGTTTTATGGGGATTATTTCTTAAAGAACAGGTTAGCATGCATGAATTCAGGACAATTATCTTGTCTTGACAATAACATGAGAACATATCTATTTTTAGGCCAACAGAAGTTTAACAATCAACTTCACTTTCACACGAAGATAACTAAACCCAATGTTATGACCACTATAAGTATTATGCCACATAGTTAACCAATAATTTCAGAAATGAGTGGAAAGCGAAGATGAATGCCAATTTCATTAAAATACAGCAGCTTATTTATTTAAAGTGATTGATACATAAAGTCAGACTGCAAGGAGGACAATAGATTAACTTAAGTACTTCACTAATGAAACAATTTGCACCACAACATTCAAAATGCATGGAGTTGAATCCGATCAACTGACGATTCTATTAATACTATGTCCACTCCAAGATCGAAAAATGAATAACCAGTCAGGGTTCTCCGAATCTGTACCACAGAGGCTGAAGTTGCAAACATGGATTGGTCCACAGATATTCCAACAAACATTATTTATAATGTCAAAATATCGTAATATGCAAAGAATACACACCTTCACTACGCCATCATAGTCAGTTGGAACGAGATAGTTCCTGATATAGCTATTCCAACAAATGCAGCTAAGCCTTGATTTGTTTGACATCTCAATCACTGAAGAGTGAATGAAACTCATATATCTTTATTTTCTTGGATACGCCAGCAGCAGCAAAATAATCCTCATCGCGGTCAAAACTCAAAGAGCATATGACATTAGCAGAATTACTAAAATCTCCATTCCTTAATATCCCCTGTACTTCAAACTTCTTGTAGTGAGCAAACTTGCACAATCCATTAAAGAAAACCCCCAGACAATCTCTGGATCTGTGTTTCTCTATATCCTTCTGTGACTGATACCAGTTTTCACGAGTTTCTAACAGTTCGTTATCATCACGTGTCATCACATCATTATCAGTAAGCTGTCTACTAGATCGCACAGAGAAGTAAGCGCTTTCAAGTTGACTGATATTCCTCATCAACGTCAATCCCGTATCAGAAGCAGAGGATGTTGTGGGTTGTACGTCCAAACTAGAATGTTCTTGATGAAGCAACCTGTTTCCCCTTGCATTGGGGGACTCCCTAGGTAAGCAAGAAAGAACTAAGGGTTCATTTGTCTGGCTTCTCTCAGTCTCTTTTATATCTGCTTCTAAGCAACTAATTTCTTCCATTAACTTGGAGGCATCCTTCTGCTTTTGTTCTTTAAGTAGCACAAGGAAATCTAGCAATAGTTCTGATTCATTATCCTCCTCGATAATAGAGAATGATAACACATCCCCACAAAGCTCCTCAACTACCCTTATATCAAACACTGAGAATGAAAGCAAACGTTAAACTTGGGGTCTACAGTGTAAATTACTGATGCACAACTCATAGTACATAAAAGACGATGCCCTTTTCACTTGCATGAATAACGTATGCAGACTGAGATGCATAGAACTCCTCTTATGGATCAATGAGGAGAACATTGGGGATTTCATCCCATCTAATTGCTATAAAGAGAGAGAGAGAATATCAGAGGTAGAAAAGCGTATTCTTGTGACCCAATTCTGCCACCTCAACTTGCCTGAGTCATCGAGTAAATTGACCATGTTGGCCCTCAATAAGAATCAAGTGGCTCTAACACAAAGGAGGACATGCATAAATATTCTCTAATGCATGAGCCAGTGAAGACAGTGACGGGACTGTGGGGGCATTTTGGGGTTAGATGTGGCCACATAGGCAAGAAACTAAAAGATAAGGTTGGTCTTAGTTTTTAGGATATAGGAAACCAGCATGTTGGACTCAACTGACTTTATTATATCATGGGTACTTTGTGCAAATCATATCAGAAAGGGTTATAAATCCCATGAATACGATTGCTCACACTTGACTGCCTAAAATCGTTATGCACAGTATCACAAAAGGCAAAAGTCTCAAAATAAAATCAGAATGTATAAGTTTTTGTTTCAAAATGAAAGTAATGAAAAACTCGAAAACACAAGTTTGGAGAGGAGATTTGGAATCCAAAGAGTTCAAGATCCATAGAGTTAAAACTAAGAATAGAGAGTGTGGCTTTAGTAAAAGTACATATACAAATTGTTGTAGTAAAGATTGGATACAAAAAAATCAAAAAGTGAACACGTCCAATACTTGGAGTCAAATTATACATCGGGATTAGGGACCATCTTATTCAAATAATTAAAGCTGGATAAACTAAGTAGAAGAGTGCATCTGGTTTATCGTGTAATCTATACATATCTCTTAAGCTGAAAAAGACAACCATAAGACCACTCATGTTTTTCGGTGAATGTTGGGCAATTAAAAACACACTCTTTGAGACCAAGTGTGACATAAATATGGATGTTAAGGTAGATGTGTGGGAAAAGTATAGAATTATGAACTATTAAATTAAATGTAGCACCACTAATAGAACAATTAAGAGAAAATCGACTTTGATGACTTGGAAATATTTATAGAAAACCTAAAATTAGAACTGGTAATAGGTCATGTCGTGCCAAAATTGACTCAACTCATATGCCACCCATTTACAATTATGTATGGTTTCTTGTCATGTCAGAAGCGTACCGTCTATAAGTCATGTTTGACAAGTTTGTGTTGTGTTTAGCTGGGTTGTTATCGAACCATTTATTTCAGGGGGTCACTCCTTTCTCACCCAAACCCACTAAAACTAAACTCAAACCCATTAATTATGCATCGACTTCGTGTTGGGTTCACGGATCTTGTCTAGAACTGTAAGGCCTACCTGTAGCTGCATCAGTGAAAGAGGCTGTAACTGCATTGGTGAAAGAGGGTAAAATGATACCCATTAACGCTAATGCAAGGAGTAGAGTAAAACCAAAATTAACAATACATCAGATAATGAAAAAGATAAAATAACGTATGTTTTAACAGAATATATGGCCCTTAATAGAGCACATTAACAAAAAAAAAAACATTTGTTGAGTTGAAGTTGAATTGTGCAAACATTTCACTGCAATAATAACATGATAGTTAAAATTGGAAAAGGAATAACTATACATGCATACAACTATGTGGGTACAAATATGAACATACAAAAATTGGTATGTTGTCATTATGATAAAGGCATATTAAACAAAAGATTAGTATGTTCGATCTTACATTTTATCATAGGTCATAGACATGAGTTTAAATGTGTTTGATCCATGGAGAGATAGTACACACAAAGTAACAATCCTAACGCTACTTGAACAATTTTACTTACAATCAAGACGCTATTTGCTCAAACAGTATGACCCAGGTGACAGAAACCCTAGTGATGGGGTATGCAGTCATACCAACTTAAGTTATATCTTAAAAGTTTAGAGGAGAAAGAAGAAAACAACCAAAGATAGAAATAGACAGAAAGATATCGTATAAACTGGCTCAGTATTACCTGGTTGTAGTAAGTAATGAAGGTTCAGGATGAAGCAGCCAAAGACAAAATTCAGCTTCCTTGGGATTTTCAGGCAGGAAAGTTGGAGGAAGAATCCTTTGACGCACATCCAACATCGCAGCAGCAAGAGCTCTTCCAGAGTCAAAAGAGCTAAGTAACTGAAAGAAACACCCATATAAGTCTCCCTAGAAATGCTGCATACTCGGGTTTTTCACGAAGAAGAATCAAAACCAACGGGATATAATAATAGTATTAAGAAAACATAGAGCTAGTTTTTCTTGGTAAACTGTAATAGGGAACGAAGGACACTCCAACATATTTAACTTGCTTTTATTGAAAAGCCGAGAAATGAAAGCCAGTACCCTTAACTCAGTAAGACCAAGAACTTACAATGATAAAGAAAGCAATATACGATGATATTTTCCAAAGCCAATAGAGATCACAATGACCGAAGACTACATGGTGCAGCCCATTAGAGGCTTGAGAGGAAACAAAATTTAATAGGAATTAAGTTTTGGAATTTGGTGTTCTACAGGGGGCCTAAGACCTCTATGTTGGTTTTCACTTCTTTCAGTCAATATGCACTAAAAATAGTTTTAAGTTTTATCACTCTTCACAAGGTTTGGGCAGCCAAAATGTTGGAAACCATTGTCCCTAGATGCTGGTGATTTCAAGATTTTCCAGGCATGGGATGTAGTGGTGGACAATGAATCTTTATTTTGACTCTTATTTCGAGTTAAAAAACTGGGTCTTTAGGTGTATTCTCTGGGTAGGTGCATTCAGGTTCCACCAATCAAAGTTTATGTGCCTCTAAACAAGGAGTTTCTATCTCGTTAGACTGAGGAGAGACGAAAAGTCGACATCTAACCACGCAGGTTCTTTTTATTTCATTGAATAACAAGTTTAAAATTCTCCATTAGATATGTTTTTTGACGATCAGATGGTACATTTCTAACACTAGATATCATGTCCAATGACCACTTTTAAGTGATTCTTACATTCTGCTTCTAAGTACACTTTCCATGGTCAACCTTCTCAACCTCTTCATATATATAGCTTGGGAATCGCAACAAAGCATATATATCTCTTCCAGAAAGAAACTTTTTTTGTTGTTAGTCAGTGATTTCAATAATGGCATTCTAATGGAAGGGTCGTCAATTATATCGTGCAAATAAAATTACAGAAATAATTATCTATGACTTGGCAAATGGACCCTTGCGGTGTCTGGCAGCCACCAAGATTTATCTAAAGATCATCTAAATCCTCTAAAACCAAATGGAACAGGAGCAAGGAAAACCCCCTACATCTTTGTCAAAGCACAAACAAAAAAGACATCCTACAAAAGCCCTCACCCCTTCAACCTTCATTACTGCTTCAAACTTCAAAAGACTGCAAATTGTACCTGCAAAGGCTCTCCTCATCCTTCAAGGAGGAGCATACTGAAGTCATAACGGTAGTATTTGACATGCTGTGTCAGTGTAGAATAAGCAAAACTATATTAGATACTAATTGAACTATTCTGCCCAACAGTCCTTTCTAACCTCAAACAGAAGAACCCCCAGACAGTAGATATTTGACGAGAATGCCCAATACCTCCCAATAAGCTCCTCAGGGCTAGTATACCACTTTTCTTCAATTGGGTTGCTATCAGAACTCGACACTGGCTGTGATGTATTATCAGACACGATAGAGCTGGTGGATTTGCTCAGGGATTTATATTCTGTTTTACACTTATGCGCTTCATCAAAGCTATTCCAAGAGACACATGGGCCAGCAATATTCTCCCCAAACTTCCATTTCTTTGCCCATGGATTGAAAACAGGAAACCCATGCTGTACTAATGGCATTATCTCATTTTGACCACGCTCTGAATGGTGAATGTCTTCATCCACAACATTCTCTACCTTTGCTTCCTGGCCAGATGATCCAAGATAAATAACCTGATTTGATGGCAATAACTTGAAGCAGGATGGCCGTAAATCATGCAATGCAAATCCCCGAGAATGAGAGGAATCCACTAGACTCACAACTTGCCTAAATATATACAAACTCTTGACTATATTCCCTTTACTCTGTCCAGCTTTCATCCATTCTCTCAAGCTGACCCCATTGGAGAAAAAATTGGGCCGATGCACAGCAACACCAAGGGAAGGAGCCACAGTAATTTCTGTAGTTGAATTCAATGGCGCAGAAGAATCTATTGTGGCATCACCAGCAACCTTCTCATAACTCTGGCCACCAGACTCAACACCAGATGCTACACGAGCTGGGCCTCTACATATGAGCCCCTTGCCTTTCGCTGTATTTTTAACAACGTACTCAGGAAAACCAGATTTAGATAGATTTTTTGTCTGGATACCTCCAGGTAATAATACTGTACTGCTCGAAAAAGGTTTATTTGCATTGCAAAGGGAGTATTCAGTGACGCCATAGCGATTGTCATTCGTTGGTTTTGACCCAATATATCCTCAAAAACTGGTTTTCCCATATCCTCCCAATCACTGGGCATTGCTCTATCTGGGTGCCCAAAAGAAGCATCTCCACCGGACCTCCTGCTTCCAGATCCATCTGCTATTTGACACAAATGCTGCAACTGGTTCTGCCTAGTCCGAATACTATCTCTATCGTTTGAAGTACCAACTATAGCCATGTTCCCACCAAAATAATTTCTCAGCGTTAACTCTTCAACCATGGTGCCACCATCATCAATATAGATAGGGTCGGCACAAGAATGTTCTGATGCACTAATACTATCTGGGATCTTACCATCTAAATCACCTGCAAATTGGTGGGGTGAGATCTCATCGTGCAATTCCAGCATACTAGAGCTGCCAGGCTTCAATGAGTACTCACCACCCTGGCTTTGAAGGTGTGAACCATCGATGGCATCCATTGTTGCATGCACTTCATCACCCACTCCTCCATCCATACTGTAAGAACCAGCTTCACTCAATCACATGTTCAATTTGCACTGAAATTGAATTTAGGCCAAAACAACATTAATTATAAACAAGTATCATCGTCAATAGAAAATAAAGGAGAACAAAACAATGCCACATAAAACTATTCAAAACATGATTGCATGGTAGAGTTCAAGGCAATGAGATGAAAGCACAGCATTGAAGTTCAAAAATTTAATCTGCAAACATAGGCAATGTCAAACAAACCCTCATCTTCAGCAATTTAAAAAGCAAAACCAAAGAAAACATGCACCCATGTAAATATAACACATTCACTCACACGCAGACGTGTACGCACACCAGCAGATAAGTGGAGGAAGGCAGGAATAATGAATTGGATAACAGAAACTACAACAAAAAAACAAAAAAAAGAGCCCCAATTACCTAACCTTGAATATAATTGGAGAAAAAAAGGCCCAAAATGTCAAGGCTGACACCCCATTTTATCAATAAAACTAGCAGAATTTATCATAGAAACACCAAACCCTCGTCCACTGCTTGGATGCCAAGAAAAAAAATAGGAAAAACAAAAGAAAAGAACAAAAGTGGCATTCAATATCCCACACTTTCATGGTCCTCAATCCATAGACACACAAATGCCAATTGATTGTACTGAGCGAGGATTCAAGCTTTCAATTCCTCTTCTTTGTCGAATATTTCTGAGCAACCGAACATAGTGAAACAAAAGTGCAAAACAGAACAAAACTCCGAATCAGTAGACTGGAATCTATCAATTTAACTTAAGGAGATAGTAAAATTCGAAATTAGTGGTACCTAATTATATGCCTCCAAATGAAGATATCGAAGAGGATCGCATTGAGTTTGTCTCCCCCAGAAATAAACGGAAGAGTACAAAAGCGGGAAATCTCGTGAGCAGCCCTAAAAAATCAGAGCGAGACAGAAGAGAGAAATTGGAGAATTATCGTAACGTTGCTAAAAATGGCAACAAATATTTTGGACCTTCAACATTATTAATTTGCCAGTAATACAGCCACATTTAATTTTACAATTATTTTTAAAATATATATATATATATATATATATATATATACATATATTTATCTGGCAAGGCTCAGAGCCACAGTGTAAGTTGAAATTACTTTATTTTGTTAATTTTTTAGTTCATATTTACCGCATGTTAAAGATTATATCCATTTGGCCCGAGTCTTTGGTCTCCGGTGGGAGTTCAGGGGTTCAAAGTCACCTGGGTGTAATAGCGTGAGGTTCGAAAGTCTCCTGGGTGTAATAGTGTGACGTGTGACTGTTTGGTAACACAAAATTTTAGTTGTTTAGACGAATCATATCCACGGATCTTGAATTTTTAACGAAACACAAGTTATGATTTAAATAATATATAAATTGAGGGACCAATTTGTACCCCGAGTTTTCTCATTAGTCCTACTCAGAATTACACAAGTCCTAATTTTAAATGATGTATAAGTTAAGAAACCAATTCATATCTCAAACTTTGCTCTTAGTTTTATTTAGAGTTACGAGCATGAGCGATATAAACGTGTCTTTATTTGCTAACGATGAATCATGAGATTTCTTCATTTCTAAAAAATTATATACAGAGTTTTCATTATTTTTTTGCTTTTATTAGCTTGGTAGAAGGGTTAGACTCAATTAGATGCTATGAACACCTTGATCTATAGAAAGACATGGCACTTGACCTTTTAGCGTCGTTCTTCTCTTTAGATTTTTTTATTTAATACATATTCTATCATTTTATTAACAAAAAAAAAATCTAATAACTATATGTAAACAGCAAGGTAGCTGTTTTCTATGATAAATTTTAATTAAGTTATGTTTTTTTTTATTTAAATTGTTATTAAATATATTTGTTGGGGTAAATACAATTTTGAAAATTAATTTTTTGGCTATTGATTGGCATCATCAAGTAACATGTGCTGGTGGTAGATGTTAAACATACATGAATTTTATCGTGGCAGTGGACGGTCCACGTCGGTTCGACCAAAAAGAAGTCCGGCACGAGAAACCCAACAGACGATCAAGGTCACATCACGTGGACATTCGTGGGACCAGCATAGGACTTGGTTTCGTATCTTTCTCCTCTTGGATCATGTTAAGAACCGTTGTCCACTTCACTGCCACGTCAATTCCTGAAGGGCACTCACACTCTCAACTCTCAACTCTCAAGTTTGGATTAATAATAATCTTATTATACTGTAAAATAATTAAATTAAAAAAATAAATTAATTAATAAATTAATTTTTCTTTTAACTCATCAAAATTAATTTCTTTAAAATTAAGATAAAAATTTAATTATATGTGTTAAAATATATGTTATTTGTCCATATACCTTTTAATATATACATATATAATTTTTGTCAATTATATATTACGTATATATTAATTTTATATATATAAATATAATAATAAAATATATATTTATATTTTTTTAGAAAAATAAAAAAAAATTATTGTTTCTATCTTTCCAAATACAAAAAAAAAATAATTCTTCTTACTTTCCATCACTTTTATAAAACATAAAGGAGGAAAAAATGATTCCTCCTTTAAAAGATAAAAAATATATTTTTATCATTCTCACTTTTGATCTTTGCATTTTTTTTATTTAACCCATCAAATATAGTATTGATTTTTTTGGATCAAAACATCCCCTATTGATTGGCATCAGCAAGTAAGAGTAAATGATTTAACAATAACATATTGTTGTCGGCAAGCATATTCGTATATTAGAGATAATCAGTTTTTGAAGGTACGGTTCAACGTAAGTGAGAAGTGATGGATTTAAAAGGAAAAAATTTAATGTGAATAATTTTAAAATGAATGTTAGTGGTTATTAGATGAGTCTATTTAAGACCAATAGATAAATTTATTAAAATTTATTTTATTTTATATTATAAATATATTAACACGAAATATAATATTGAAATGGATGGTCCACATCGATTCGACAAAAAAAAATGTCCGACACAAGTAAGACGATCAAGGTCACATCACGTGGGCATTTGTGAGATCATCATACGATTTAGTCTTATTTCAATTAAGGGTGTTAAAATAGATAACACGATTTATTTATATATTAATTATATACAATCAAAAAAAATAAAATGATACGATTAATTTATATATTAGTTATATACGATTCATTCATAATATAATTTTTATATAACACAATTTATTAAATATAAATTAATAAACAATTTAAGTATAAAAAAATAATTTTTAATACAAACCGTTAAAATCCGACACCAACTTGTTTTAGCCACAATTGATATCACTTTCAGACAATGATCAACTTCACTGCCACGTCAATTCCTGCTGATTGAATGCCGGGCATTCTCACTCCCCGTGCGGATGGATAAATATAATTTATAATATAAAATATAATAAATTTTAATAAATTTATTTGACAACTTTAAATAGACTCATTTAATAATCACTAACATTACTTTTAAAATTATTCATATGCATTGTACCTTCGATTACCCATAATAACAGATATTTCAAGGTACCCCGTAAAAGTCTAAGAATAATATTGTGCATATCACCTATGTGTCTCACCCCATTCACATTACTTAGATGCGATACGATCACAATTATTGAATATTTAATTAATTTTGTAAGATCGACTAATTTAATTTAATGATATAAATTGAGGCGGTACAAAAAAAAATGGTTCAGGAGGATGGTGTGTTTAGCATTATTGAAAGTCCAATTAGGTTATTTCCATTTTTTATGGTATCAAATTGGCACCATAAACATCTCTCTCTATATTCAGACACTCTAGACCAGATAAAGATTTGAAGGATTGCAACGTAATGATGAATGTTTTGTTGATTACCATTATGTGTGGGTAAGTCAAGTTTGATAATGCTATTTTCATGTCTCAACTTACTTTATTAATTGTCTTATAACATTTTTTCTTAAATTTAAATTAATATTTAAGTGAAATGCTTGATTTAATATAAAAGACTCCAATAGATAAACTCAAATTTATAGAAGGAGAGACACAAATTTAAATGAGGATAAATTCAAATTTAAAAGGGAGTAAGAATGACTATTAAATCTTTAAAAAATGATAAAATCTCTTCATTAAATATTTGAATAAAAATTTGAGTTTCCTTTAATTTGAGTAAAAAAATGAGTTTCTCTTCATTTTGTATAAGTTTGAGCCAAGGGTTGGAGTAAGTTTTTTTTAATTTTTTTACTCTAATTTAAATTTGAATCTAAATTTGAGTAAGAGTTAAAGATGTCCTTTGACTTGGAAATTATAATTTAATATTTTTTTCCATGTTGTCCTATTAAAGTTAATTCTATAATCCTTAAGTCCAAATTTGAAGACTATGATGCCTTTTCTCTCCACAAAATTCATTACTCATATATCTCCATTTAAAAAAAAAAAAAAATCCACTCAATCCATGTGCTACTCAAATAAGAGCAGCCAATTTTGATACACGCCACCGCATACTCCAAGCAAATGGTCTGGAAACATTACTGACTGAGTTCCAACTAGAGCCTAACGAGTTTATTTTTTAAAATGAATTTAAAAAATTATTCAAATTTTATTCCTCTTTTAAACGACCGAACTCAAACCGAATTCAAAATGAACCAAATCCGAATAGCATAATTATTTTACATATTAACGAGCCAAACGAACAAGTTCGAGTCAAGTTCAAAATAAGCTGAATCAAAGTCGAGCGTCAGTTCGTTTACCACCCTTACTGATTAAATTATATACTCTCTGTCTGCTGTCTTATGACCAATTTCAGTAACTACAATGAAATTTCCCCTGCTTTGCACTCCTTTTAAGTTTTAAAGGATGCCATATATTCAGAAATGATGCCGCCAATAGTCGCTGTTTCGCATTTAAACCAAGCAAAATGCGTTGGGCAAATGGCAAGGAGAAAATATTTAGAGAGTCAAAGAACTGCTAACCACCATAAAATTCAACTGCATTACAAAGATAATTTGATCATGTGCAGCAATTAAAAGAGACAAAAGAGAGTTAATCGACCATAACATGCCACCTATATTTGTACATGTACAAAAATACAATTCAACATAGTCGATCATGCTAAACACAGAAGGATAGAGCTTCATACTATGAGATAATATTAAGCCCCAGATATCCATCCTATCGAAGTTGCTTCAAATCTTAATATCCGACTTCAAAAAGATCAATTGAGAATTCAGGCTAACGAGGGAGGAAGAAAGGATCCTCCTTCTTCTGGTATGTCTCAAAAAGCTGGCTAGAGTATCGCCTAGCCAATTTCCTGCATTCATCAATACCTTTTGTGTCATATTCCTCCAACTCTTTGACAGTTTTCTTCAGTTTACCTTCCGGATCCCCATCAGTAAGAAACCGAGCCAAGGAACTTCCCCTGAAGAATATGTGCACTCAATAAATAAATCCAAACATATGAAAAAACAAGTTTTAATGGCATCTCTGAATATTTAACATCTGGAAATCAAATAAACATTGGTAATGCTACCCATTTCTTAAGAAGACAAGACAATTTTAAAACACAAATGATTAATGGCCCTACCTTCTACTGCATGTCCAAAAATACAGCTCAGATCAAAGTCATAGGCATCTCAGCATTTCCGCTGAATGATCTATAGCTAATTGAGATTGGGGATCAAGGGAAGCAAAAGAAAAAGCGAAGTTGGGAAAGTTTCTATATTTGACTGAAGCCAAAATAACATCACCTTACAAACCATCACTAATTATTGGATCTATGATCCGGCATGAGTGAACATCAACTGGACCAATCTTGAATAGCAACATGGTCTTGAAATTGCATAAAAGCTCACAAGCAACATTTAGGTAAAGTAAATCAAACTAACATGGGCAATCCTTGCTATTAAATTCCAAAACTTCTGTTTATTTAGTTTGGAACTGATATTGCTTTCTAATATATAGTTGCTTACATAATTACCCAGTTCTTTTTCCAGAGCAGAAATTAAAAGAGGAAATGAAACGAAAATGAAAAAAACCATGCCATTGAAATGGGATGCTTTTATTAAGTACCCGATTCATTTTCCGCCCATTTCTTTCAGGGTTGGAAGAAAAAGAATATTTTTTTTTAAAAATTGGTAAGTTGGGTGGCATATTTTTTTAGTGCAAGTGCTTGGGGGTGGTGAGGTTACTATTAATATCTGTCCATGGAAGGTAAAAATATCCACAAAAAAAAAAAAACACATGCAGCTAAACAAATCCAAAAACATAATACTATTCATATCTTTTTGAGTCTTCAGTTCGTTTTCCTTTCTCTATTTACTATTTTAGATGCTGCTCAGAGAGCAGGCAGCCATATTTCTGAACCCCAAACCATATGCAATGGATTTAGTGACAAAATAGACAAAAATCATAAGAACACTTACAGAACTCATAACTGGAATAGAAGTCTTCCCAATAAATAAATTAAACAAAACATAGCTTTAGTTCAAAAAGAAAAAAATGCAGAAGCAATCCTGAGTTATACAGTACATTCTAAAAGTCGCAGGAATAAGTTGGCGCAGCAAACTATTAGTTGCACCTGGATTCAGAAGCTAAGAAGTGCAATCAGTTGAAAGGGAACATGCTAATGTTGATAGCTTTATTCAAAGATCTAATTTAAGAAGCTATATTATTGTAATTTTCTGCTAATGTCATTCATGGTAATTTATGAATGAAAACAATAACATGGCATCCTCGTCAGTTGTACCTGAGAGCATCAAATTGATCAAATCCCCGATCCTTCGAAAATGATGAACCCTTCACAGATTTCAACAGAGAGGTTTGCTGCCGATAAAGAGCACAAACAGCATTCATACAAAGCTCAGAATCCCTTTCGAATGCCATCAGCATGTCTGCCTCATGCACACAAGCTTTCGTCCGGAGATTTGAAATCATGTTGTTCATATAAGAATCACTATTCTCATCTCCAGAATCAGAGCTATCATCACTACTGGAACTGCACAAAGAAGTCCTGAAATTATGTTTTTCTCCAGCTTTCTCTTCACATCTCCGAATGAAAACAGGACTACGGTATGAAGGAGAAACAACTTTCTCATCATCACTTGCTTCACGACTTAAAACTCGTTTTCTCTTAGGCATTGAAGCCATCAAAGTGTTCTCCGTGCAAAAATCAACAGCACAAGCCTTTGATGGTGTCTCATCATCACTATCAATAATCTCAATGACATCTGCAACACCTGATCTTCCACTCCCTGCCAATGATGAAGCTACCAACTGCCTTCTTATGGGCACTTCAATATCACAAGCCATATCCATAGAATGTGGATCTGCTACACAGTGAACTATATCGGCAAAAGTTTTGTGTTGCTACTACAAGTTCCACGCACAAAAGTATGTACACCATATAACATAATATATGCACTAATACCTATGTTCAGAAATGGACAAGTGAGATATCATAAAAAAACTGTAAGTAGGACATGCAAATAAATGCTGAATGAACTAAGAAAGTTACAGGCTGTCTGTGTTCCCACTGTATGGATAAAATTATGAACTCAGATGGCCCATCAAACACATACGAACAATATAATTTAGCACCAAGAGATTACTGATAAAATAATCTCTATTCAGGATTATCTTCTACGCTGTTGGTCAAAAGGACAGATTTGATTGGATTAACAAACAGACAGCCAGGTCTAAGCAGATTACCAAGCTAAGATACATCCCATGCGAGGCACCTCACATCCACACAAACCTTAACAGGTCAACAACAAAGAATACATCCCATGTGAGGCACCTCACATCAATAAAGAAACTAATATAAACATGACCTTCTACAACAAAATAGAAAGAACTACTCCTTTAATATGACATCAAATAATGAAGAATCGTAATGAATATGAAGTAATAATTGTTATATTTTCATGACTAATATATTGTGAAAAGTGACTATTTGCATGATTGAGATGACAATGTAATTTGGCTTGCATGATTGAGAAGTAATAATTCTTGTAATTTAAACATCAAATATCTGTGGAGAGGCAGAGTGGTTTGTTTGTAATTGAGCAAAAATTTAACAATTAGATAATTTTACCTTTTAGGAAGTGACAGTTTATTGTTGGGATGGTCTTATAAAAACAGGAGTCTACAACTCCTAATGTCCCTATTAAGGTGGCATTCTCTATTTCATACTGAAAGCAAGAAGCTTGATGGCACATCTGATAAGTAAAGCATAGTTTCCCTCTTACGTCTATTAATAGTTTGTGGCATTTCAAAGAGCGAAATAAAGTTCCTTTTGCTGTAGAACTTCCCAAACAATGAAAACAACAAATAAAGGCATCTTTTAAAAATAATTTAAAGAAACAAAAAAGAAAGAAATTTACCAAGTATTTCTACTAATGCAGCATCAAGTTCAGCATCTCAAAGGTTTGCCGTTATGCTCCTTCAAATATTATACAAAAGGCACAAAGGCATCATTTTGTGCTCCTACGTCACATTTCTGTGTCATAGTTGTCATGTACTCTAGTCACAATGTATGGGTTAATATGCATCGATGTTGCGCATCAAGGCATCTCTTGCAATAGAAACAACTCTCAACAAATAAATGCTACTTAATTGTTTATAGGATTATAAATTGCACTGTGGCATTGCAATACAAATAGTAGGGGACATACGTCAAATAAATCATTCAGTACAAAAAAACCCACAAGTAACAGTAGCTTAGATTTCCACTTAGCTTTCCAAAGCATTGGCCTTATCCTACAATACATAGAGAACCCAACAATTTTCCCTGTATTTTCAACTTTTTTTTTGTCTTTTCATGTCAACTTCTCTTTATTTATAGCCAGTTTCTTTAACCTCTTTATTCATGTCACTTGCTTTAAAAAAATTGAATTTTAAAGCCTTCTCATACAACAAACACAAACAAGCATATCTACTACTATTGTACACGCATTCTCCATGTGGCCACGTCGTGTATCAGTTCACAACAATACCGGGCTCAGGAATTCAGCATAGATCCCATAATAGATCACCTTATATCATGCTCAGTGATATATATATATATATATATATATATATCAATTAAGTACTATAGGGAACAAAAATAAACCTTAAAAATCACATATACCAAATATAACCCAGAGGTGGTGAAACTCAAGTGAAAGACTATTACATAGAACACGACCTAAAGTTAAACAAGTTGTCCCAGCTCATCCATCCATCTTCTCCATTTGACAGGGAATCTCCAAAATTTGAAACAGATCCGGCACAGCAGGCATATTAAAAAAGTCAGATGCCCATCAAATGACAAAAAACATTTCTGCCTATAGCCAGCAATCACAAGCATCTATCATTAGGATCAGTTTCAAGTATACACTGATTCTGCGCAAGTCACACAGGGTAAGATAAAGGAGCAAATACTTCTGTCTTCACCTGTTCCCAAAACTATCAGCCTGGAGTTGTCAGAGCCTCGTATCAAATGTAAAAGTATCACCCCTCACTATGCCATAATTCCTCAATAAGATCTCACATTTCATTTTTAAAATAACAACTAAAAAATAAAGAACGTCAACATTTAATTGTATACATAAAACCAAACAACTCAACTAAGTAGTTAATAAGGTCGTGATAAAAAACATTCACAAAAAATCTTATATACCTGCCTCCTGTGAACGGTTACTCGCAATTGCAGGGGAATTATAGGCAGACTGTTCCCCTGGTGATGTATTAATCTTTTCATGATCATACAGTACCCTCCACAAATTTCCAAGTTCCATTTCATTTTGAAAATTTTCATCATTAGAGCTCTCTTTTTTCATCAAAGCTTCATCCAAAATGCGTCCCTCCGTTTGCAACTCGTCTATCTTTATCTTCAGCTTCGAATCAGACTCCATCAACATCGCAGTATCTTCTTCCACCTTCAAAACTCTAACTTCCAATACCCCAAATCTCTTCTTCCAAGCCTCAACATCAGCTTCAGCCCTATTTTTAGCACCCCTCAACTCCGCATTCTCATTTGTAAGCTCCAGAATCATATTTTTCTTCTCATTCTCTACTTTCTTGTATTCCTCCAACAATTGTTCATACCTCTCTTCAGCTCGCTTCTCTCTGTCACGATACATTTTCTCCCTATCAATGTACCCTCTCTGTTCTTCATCCAGCCGAGTGACGCTCTCTGTGAGCAAGTCACACACTCTCTTACATTTTTTCAATTCAGCTTCCATTTCGAGCTTCACTAAAGCCAGCTCGCCGTGCTTTTTCTCCATGATATCATACTCGTTTTTCGATTTTTCGTTAGCATTTGACATTTCCTTTAAACTCATTTTCAATTTCTCCTCCCGAGAAATCAAAATATTTTGTACTGCCTCGAAATCCTTTGGCCGAAAAGCCGATCTAAGCCCCGAAATCAGCTCTGGAATCGAGCTGTTTCCAGCATTCGAATAACCAGAACTGATGACCGATTCGGGTTCCGATTTAACATTTGTAAAACGGGGATTGATAACTGGTTTCGACTCCAAACTCATCGTTTTTGTCTCTCAGCTTCAAAAGTAGAATTGAAAACAGGTAGTGTAGAAATAAAGGACAGGAATGCAGAAAGTACCGGTGGAAACCCTAGCTTTCACACTAGTGACTGATGACATTCAATGCACAGCAACACAACGATTGATGAGCTTCAATGAAGCGAGGCAAGAGCCGTACAGACGGCTCGTGAGGGGAGTGAAATGGTGGTTTGAGCCAAGAACGGTTTAGCGTTTCAGAGAAGTCTGTGAATGAGAGACAGAGAAAGAGAGGATGATGGGAAACAAAAGAGGAAATATGGAGGGAAGGTAGTGTACATACAATACAGGTGAGAGTCGTGAGACGCGTGAGTCGAATTCGTGTATGCAGTGGGTCCCGAGGAGACGAGAGAAAAAAGGGTCTGTTTGGACATTGGTGTGTGGGCGCCGCATTATCACGTCTCCCTATTTCTCTCTTATTCAGAATTTCATACGCTCCAGATTGGTGGGAGATGAAGAAGTGTAATGATTTACCATTCTCTTCCTTCTTTCCTCATTTCCTAGAGGTTAAAATAGAGGCCTTTATATTATTTTGGGTTTATATTAATTATGATCAATTATAATCTAATTTATATAATTAATCATGTTAAATGTTAATACCTAGTAGTATTATATTAAAATATTACACGACATATTAGCACGAAATGAAATTAGAGGATTTGAGTATTTTTTAAACCACACACCATTTTGTAAACAAATAAACACGATTAATAAATGAATTCGGTATAGGCGAAGTCAATCAAAAAAAATACATAACACGATTTATTTATATATTGATTATATACGATTCATATACGGCGTGAATTCAATATAACATAATTTGTTAGACACAAAATAATAAACTAATCAGATATGAGCGAAGTGCTATTTGACACGAACTAATAAAGATCGGACACGAACCTGTTTCGCCTGACACGATTGAGACGTCAGGCTACCCCTTGCATAACCCCCCAAGTATAATGTACATTAACTTAAAATAACCCCCAACTACCCGAAATGGTACACAGCAACAAGCCAACAAAGTCAATATTAACTTTCCTAGTATGCCTAACAACTCTCGGTTAGTAAGTTGATAAAAAATATATATTTTTTTCTTAATATGCCTCAATTCTAAATAAAGTAATATAAATAATCCTAATTTATTTACCGAACAAAAACTAAAGACCTTAAAAGTCTTAAACCATTGCCAGCAACGTAGTAGGCATCTCGGTTAGAACTCAAGATCTTCTAATGAGACACTATTTTTTGTTATAAATATTGACAACTAAATTTCTCAACAAAATGAAAGATGATTTTCTCAGGGACTCTTTGACTAATAATCGAATGATCATACCTGCTGTGTGGAATAATAGGGTGGGGGTGTAAGCCGCAATACATTACGAATTTATTGGATTTTTCAATGTACAGTCTAGCATTAGGATTATAGAATTGATGAAGATTAGGGTTATCAATTAGTCCAGGGAACATTAGTTACAGTACTAGCATCGGGGTATTACTGTTATTATTGGAATATCAAAGGATATTAGTACTTAAACTGTCTCCTAATTCTCCATTCCTGCTGCAATGCAAACGAGTTCTGTGTATAAGAATCCCGAGGGATCGAGCGATCAGGTCAGAAGAAATTATTATACTTCTCTCTCATTGGGGTTTCGCTTTTTGTCCAGAATTCAGATCGACATTCTCGTCTCGAATGACGAGTGTTGAAGCTCCCAATTCTCAGGTAATTTTTGAATTTTTTTTAAAGTAATGTTACGTGGACTTAAAAAATAGATTTAAAAAGTAGATTCGATAATTTCAACCATTGATTTCATTGTAGGTCCTAGCATTTATTATGACCCACTACCTATTTAATAAATGAGATTATCAAGTCTAATTTTTAAGTCCATCTAATAGTACTCTTTTTTTTAACCATCGAAATTGATTACACTTAACATAGAACAAAACCTGTAAAACAAACTTACAATTTCAAGCTCTCATTTATCCTTCATCTTGGCCACAAGGAACAAAATTTTACCTGTTCAAAGATAAAAAATCTCGTTTTATTTTCCTTAATTTTCTCAGAAACCAAACGAAGTCTGTAACTTTTTTTTGGTTTTATAATACTAGAATGGAATAATAATATGTTTATCAATCATGTTGGATGAGACGAGTTCTTATCAAGTTTTGGTGGGTTCGTGCAAAAAATCATTTAACTCATACCTGATTCGTTCAATAATTCGTGTCTTATCATTTGTATCGTATATGGACCTTATATAACTGGTATAAATAATGTTACATAAACTTAAAAAGTAGACTTGATAACTACAATCATTAATTTTACTGTAGGTCGCAGCATTTATTGAGATTCGTTATTTATTTAATAGTTGTGATTATCAAGTTTACTTTTTAAATTCATGTAACATTCTTCAACTGGTATATAAAGAAGTCGTATCGCGTATTTTTTCTGATTGACTTCATCTTCCGATACACCTAAAAGATCGTGGTTGCCTTCCAATAACTCTTCCCAGGCCGCTTCCAACTCCCATTTTTAGACTATAGAAGTTTGTTTGGTTTGCATCTAAGAAAACTGTATCAAAAAATTATTTTTGAAAAAAGTTTTAAGAAAGTGTTTTTAAAAATTTTTAGGTTGAAAAACTTGATTGGTTGTATATTTTTAAAAATAGTTTAAAAGAACAAAATTTATAAAAAATTATTTGGACAATACTTTCCTTCTCCATCTCCATCTCCATCTCTCTGTCTCTCTCTCTTTCACTGTGCATCAAGACCCACAAAATACAAGGAACCACTGAAGCCCACCAAACGACCACCATCAAAGCATAGTGCACCATCGAACCAAAAACCACCACCATCGAACTAGAACTACCACTGAAACCCACCAACCACCACCAAACGACCACCATCAAAGCACAATGCACCATCGAACCAGAACCACCACCACACACACAGACGTTTCACTGAGGCAGAGAAGAAGAATGAACAGAGAGAGAGAGAGAGAGGGGTGGAGAAGAAGAATGAACAGAGAGAGAGAGAAAAGGGGTGGAGAAGAAGAATGACCAAAGAGAGAGCTCAGTCAGGCGATTTTAGAAAAAATGCAACAGTTTTCCCTTTTTGTCTTCAATGAAACTCAAAGAGGAGACCTCGTTAATTTGAAGATAGTTGTTTCCCTTATTTTCATTTTGTCTTAGAAACACAATGAAAGCATCATTTTGTTGTTCTCTAAAATTACATTTTAATTCTCAAAAATTTCAAAAAATTGGAGAATAAAAAAACTAAACAAACAGATTTTTGGTATTTTGAAAACAAAAAATAATTTTCGAAAACTAAACCAAACATGGCCTAAATCTTCGCAGATGGTTTCAATCCTCTCCCCTTCAAGAGGTTCAAGGAATTGTCGTGGCCCAAGAACTAGGGGTGAAAGTCATCTTGGTGCTTTGGACGCTAAAAAACAAAGGGGTAAGTAGAGCCTCTCTCTCGATTCGTCTATTAATCCTATTGTATCAGGTTCACTAGTTTACTAAACAGATAACTTATGCTTCGTTTGATATGATAGAAAAATGAAAGGATGAAAAATTGAAGGGATAAATAAAACATCATGTTTGGTAAGGAAGCAAAATAATAAGGATAGAAAAGGGGATGAATTAACTTTCCTTCTAACTCACCAAAACCAATCCCTCTAAAATCGGAAGAAAAATAGATAGAAAGTTAATTATTTGTATTGGAATGTATCTTATTTGTCTATATATCTTTTTATATATACATATATTATATATACATTAATTTATTATAAAAATATAATGATAAACTATGTATTCATATATATTTTTTTAAAAAAATTAAAAATAAAATTAACAATAAAAAAATAAAAATAAAAAATTTAAATTAAAAAAATATTTTTTCCATTTTAGTTAGGGATGAAATTTTCCGACTCAATACAATGACATGACACGAACTCGACACGAATTTTATGACACGAATTTGATTATATTTCAACATGAACTTGTAAATGACTTGACTCAACACAAATTTGATATGACTCGATTGTCACCCCTAATCTTAGCCGACACAAAAAAAAAAAAATTAGTCATTTTTATTTTTCATCCATCCAACCAAATGCAAAGGAAGGAAAATGTATCATTTTTACTTTCATTCCTTGAAGGATAAAAAGTGTATCTCTCATACTTTACATCTTTCCTACCAAACAGAACATTAAGGAAGTCTTAAACTCTCTAATATCATATTAACGAGTCGAGTCATATTTGACAGCCTTATAAAATACATCATTTTTTTTTTGTAACACATACATGGGTTTGTTATGCATATATGTTTAAATTTTGCATGTATTAGTGGATAGTTGATTTTTTATAGGGAAATCATTTTTTTTTGTATTTGATCTGTGTCTCAAATTCTCTTTTGGTGTCTCTGTGTGTTTGTATTCATACACAACACATCTCGCATGAATGAAATACTTTTGTCTTTCCTGAAAATTTTCAAAAACAGGATTAAGTTCTATATATATTAAGGTATAATCAGCTGTCGTGGGTCTCCTAGGAATGATTTGGTCAAACCGAATTAGAAATTGGTTTCCAGGTTATGCCTGCATAAGTCAAAGACAAAACCTCTTTTAGTAAAATTCGTTAGCAAGACTATGAAATCTTCATGTGACTTTTTCATTGAATTATTAGTCTTTGCACATGGCCTTTTTCCATGCGAATCGGATTCAATGTTAAGAACATTGTTCCCCTATGTAGCTATAAAACTTCGTATTTAAAGTGTTTGTTAAATTACAAAAATAGTCTTTGTTGACGATGTAAGATTATATGCATTTGACTTTCGTCGTTAGATACAATGACCTTAAACTTGGAGGAGTGACGTGCCAACTTGCGAAACAAAATTTCCTAATTTTCTTGTTACATGTTTGACAATGGGAATAATCAAGCGATAAAATACGATATATTAGTATCAAGAAAAAAAGTTTGAAAGTTAAAATATAACGCGAGAGAACCATGTGAAAGAGAAAATGGAGGGGATGTGGGGGCTTAAGGAGTAAAAAAGGGAGGGCAATGAAGCAGATATGCGTGTGGATTGACTATCACCGCAGTCGCTGGGATTGGATTACTACAATAGGATGCTTTTATGAGGCGAATGTTAGAAGCCAACATTATTAAATTTTTCATTCCTCTTGTTGCTTATGAGTCGCTAACAATTGGTTTATTTTTTGTTTATTATAACAGCGAAGGGTATTTTGGTCAATTTAAGTATATTTTGACTAATCATTTTTTTAATATGGTCTGAAGCAGATCATCTATCGCGAAATTAGGATATTTATGAGAAATAAATTCTTTATGACCTGATCCCAAAAAGATGTCAAAATTTAAACTCAAGATGTCTGTTATTACTTGAATTATCCACCGGGATTAATTGACCGACCGTTAAACATCAAAGTAAAGAAGTTACTTGAAAAGAAAGGTTTACTATTGAATAAACATATGCTTTTGTTAATCATCCGTACCTCAAAGTTAATTAGAGCCTAAACTTTTCCCTTTTGCCATTGGGATTGTAGGACAAACTGGGTGGATTAGCACACGAAATTTCCACTATTGTAAAGTTTGACGAGGAGTATACCGTGACTTAAAGCCAATGATATCCATCTCATAACAAAATAATCCTACTATTGTATCAGAGTCTATTATCGAATTATAGAACAAATTATGCCTGTGTATTATATAATTTAAATGTAAATTTGGAATTAGATCATGCTAACTTTGTCATTGTTAAACAATAAACATCATCATTTTCTTTATCAAAATCTACAAGACAATTATCTATGCTGGACTTTTTTGATAAATCCTCTCATTTTTCAACAAATTATTATAATAATTTTAATTTAATCCCTAAACTGTCAATTATTTTAATTTATTTAAATTATCAATTTTGTTTCAATTAAATCATTCTCTCCATTTTTATGTTAGATCAAAACAAGAATATATGATTTAACACTAAAAATGAATCAAATTTCTCCAATTGATTTAATAGTATAAATAGATGAAATGTCAGACGAAATTAATAATTAAAAATTAAATTGAAATAATTAAAAATTAAAAAATTAAATTTAAGAACTAATTATGATATTCACCCTAAAAGAACGAAAAAAGAGCTAAACTGCACTACTTGAAGCAGGCGCTACAGGAAGTAGAATCACAGCATTAACCGTCCGTCGTGGCATGAACCTGAGGAATAATTGGCGCAATAATTCGACAAAATTTTTTGCTTTTTACAACTTTGAGCAATGATATTGGCACATAACGAGTTGTTACTAATGATATGATAATGAATTCATTTAATACTATAATGGGACCCATCGTTAAATATATTTCACTATCATATTATTGGTGATAACTCATTATATCATTAAATACATTTCACTATTATATAATTAGTGACAACTCATTATCTCCCAAAATTATGTCCCAATAGAATCAATGTTATAACTTACCCCACCCGGATAAAAAGACTGCCAAACAGGACAGAAGCGTGAAAAACGAATGTGCGGTGGTATTCTCTGTAATAATTCTGAAATCAAAGGGGAGTTCTGCAAAAAAAAGAAGGTCCAAAGATTCCATCTCCTCAGCGATTGAATGAACACAGGCGGTACAAGTTGCAATGAGTTCTCCAGAACAGACAAACCTACTTTCTTCTATATTTTTACATTCTAAGATCACTCTCGTCTCTCTCTCTCTCTCGCTCTCTCTCTCTCTGTGTTGTTGATACTGTAGATTAAGATTTCTCCGCCTGTGGATACGAATTTTCGAGCTCTGCAGATTAAGTTCTCTCCGTCTGTGGATACTGAGATTTCGAGCTCTGAATCAGAGGTAATTTTCATGGATTTTGCTATGTGATTATCAATTGATTTTGATTAATCAGGTTAATCAATTAGATTGTAAGCAGCAGAAATTCTTTATTGTTAATATCTGATTTCGATAGTTTTTCTTTGGATTCGTCTGCTGAATGAACTATGATCTCGTTGCTGAAGTTTTCGCTCAAAAGATTAGGTGTGAAGTTAAAATTCAAGTTGAATTTGACTAGCTGTTTGACTTGATCATCTCTGTTTGTTTCTTAAGTCATAAGATTTAATGGAGTTTTTGAATGAATCCATGTGTTTTGTATAGCTGCTGTCTTCTGAGTGAGGATTGAATCTAAGTTTTTTCTGATTTAGACATTAAATTTTAACCAGTCCGTTCGAATCTATTTGGATCAAGTTGTCCAGAGATTAAACCAGATTGGCTGTGTACTCGAGTTTACTGTTTGATGGTTTTATCTGGAGTTCGATTCATTTGTTCTGTGCTCTGGCATAGTCTATTGGATGAAGTATATTTCAGTGTTGATTCGATTTCATCACACAAGGCGTATCTCTGTTCTTCCTTTTTCATATTTCTCTTTTGTTTTCTCGATTCATAGATCGATCGAACCAGTTTTCTGAAATTCAAATGATTTTTTTTTTCTCTGGTGAACTTGCTTGCCTTAATTTTGTTAAACTCATCACTCCTTTCACTTTTCTTTTCTCAAGCTTGGTTGAATATCTGGATTGTCTTGTCTTCCCTATTAAGAAATAGTTGATTTCATCTGGAATTATCAAGATTTTGTTCAGCTCATGTTTTCAACGCGTCTTTCTTTTTCAAGATTCAACCAAACCTCAAAAGAATACCCTACTTTTCTGCTATTTACATTTTGAATTTTCAAGAGGCGATAATTATTTTATTATTATTTTTTTTGGAACTGTTTTGTGATACATCTTACAAAAAGAACAGGTCACTTTTGTGGTATTCAAGCTGTCTTATTTGGATTTGGATTTCAAATTTGGCACTTAGATCATCTTGTGGTCATTAGTAATTGTCAGATAAGAATGTTATGTGAGTGATAAGATGTCCGTCAAATGCAGCCTTACATTGAAAATCATAGTCCACTAGGTGGACCCATGCACTTAATGGGTCACTTGAATTAATCATCACCCAATCACATGTTTGGTAGGTCACATTTTAGTTTATTAACCCTGCACATATTTTTTCGGGGAAAAGCCTATGATCACAACCTTTTTAGTTAGGTCCACAATGTGCTCTGTGCATCATTTAATTTTAGGCCCCGGTGCAGCCAAAATGATGTACAAATAGCCATGAAAACGTTTATATTAGGTACCATTTTAAGATACCTTTCAAATGCTCCTACAAGGGAAAAAAAATTCAACTATAACTTCTTGTGGATTGATATATAGGTGCATATCAATGTACCTAGAAATAGTAATGGTTCCATCAATATTTTTGCACATACATGCATATCTATGACTATACATGTGATTATAATTAGGGAGAGAAACCCAACTGGGACAAGAAAAGCAGAAATAAATTTTTGCCGAAGAAAAAAATAAAAAACTCTTGTGTATCTCTAGCATCAAAGGAAGCCCCAAGACGTCCTCATTTTTCTCTCATTAGACTTGTAAATCTTTTTGCTCCTCTTCTTTATCTCTTCCCGTTCTCTCCATCTATTTTATTTGACTGGAGTGAAGATTACCACTCTATCAATAACAAGATATAAAATACTATTTTTGCATACTTTTAAATTTTTCATATTATAGAACTAGCATAAGAACACAATTTTTAACAAAGTCTGTCAAAAATGTTCAAATTTCCCACTAAATCCTGAACAACCCCAAGGATTTAGTAATAAGTGTATATGATTCTCAACATCTCTAACAGTGTTTCTCATGAATGGCATTAATTGCTTTGGCGAATGTCATCCTCACGTAGTCCGCAACTATGAATCCAAATCCCTTGAAATATTCTTAAGTATAGTATATCATCATAATAAACATTCATGATGAGTATCTATCATTAAGGAACACTGAGAAAAAAAGTTTATTAAAGCGGTTCTAGATCTAACAATTACAAATAATAATCCCTTTTTTAAAATAAATAAATAAAAAAATGGGGACAACCTTTAGTCCAATTAAGGGGTAAACTTACCTGTCATTATTGATTGCATTTACAGACATTAATAGTTGGATGGTAATATAAACCAAGGTAAAGGCACGGTCAAGACAGAACATGTGAATGTAATTTATCTCACCTTTCGTATCTCTGCAAATCACAAAATGGACCTTGATGCTACTTTTTTTTCTTTCTTTTTCCTCATACATTATGGGATACATTCGATGGTTCCTTAAGACCCCTCCTTTACCTGTAATGCATGGTCAAACTTGATATAATATATTAATTAGTTATCGGTTTCGAACTGGCTGATGCTTGAAATTTCAAAGCATGTGTTCAATTATTACAGGGTTGGAGTCGATGGTATTCAAGACGGAGGTTTTATTGTAATAAGGCGCAATCGAGGAGAAAACAAGGAAGGAGATGACAAAACATCGGTTGAGGGAATCAATTGAGTCATTCTTTGGAAGTCACGTTGATCCTGAAAATGATGAGCAGCTGAAGGGAACTAAAATAGGTACGTATATAAACAAATAAAAAAAATTAAAAAAATTTGCATACAATTTTGGGAGGTAAAAAAACAACAAAAATTTGAAAACTCAGAACCATTTTGTCGCTCATCTTTGCATTTCTTCAAGTTCATGTTTTTCTCCTTAGAATTCCTATTGACGTCGATGAATAAAATTATTTGATGTTCATTAAACTTTTACAAGCTATGTTTTCTTCTCTGGTAAGCAACTTTTAACAAGCTAAGTTTATGACTAATGAACCTTGTTTGTAGCTACCTTCACCACTATTGGTTTTTGGGTAAGGTCAGTGGAAGGTATATTTTTTATGGTTTTAACAAAAACAAAAGTGAGGTAGAGATCATTGGTCACCGAACAAGTAGGCTTGTTTCGTGAGATGATTTTGTCGAAACAATTGCACCCCCCCCCCCCCCCCCCCCTCCTCTTCTCCTCTCTCTCTCTCTCTGAAAAAAAAAAAAAAAAGAAAATTTTGTGAGGTTAGGTCATTATAACTTGTAAATTGAGAGGTAACGCATTGTTTATGCATCCAAGCAGTTGGTCTTCCCATCATATAACCTCAACAGACTTTCACATTCAAACATCATGTACTGCAGAAATGGATGACAAAGTCCAGACGATCTTGAAGCTTCTCAAAGGCGAAGATGAAGATGGGAACATGATAGCAAATTCAAAGAAAGAATCACTGGCTGATTTAATTGAAGATTTCCACAGACATTACGAATCCCTGTATTCTCGCTACGATCATCTTACTGGAGAGCTGAGGAAAAAAGTTCACGAGAAACAAGGAAAGGAGACTTCATCCTCCAGCTCAGACTCAGATTCAGATTATTCTCCACGAGCAAAGGGCAGCAAAAAAAAAAGTAAAAATGGAAAGCTGGAAAATGAGTTTCGGAAGGTGGCAGATGGTATAAAGCAAGAACTTGAAACAGTAAATCTAGAAGTTGATGATTTGAAGAGGAAGTTGATGGTGGCCACAGAAGAAAAGGAAGCTTTACATTTTGAACATCAGGCTGTATTGAACAAACTTGAAAGTGCTGGTAAACTAGAAGCTGAACTCAATCAGAAACTGGAAGATTTGAGTAGAGAGAACAACAGTTTACTCTCAGAGAAAGAGAATGCCATAAAAAGTTTCGAAAATGAAAAGAAAATTATTGAAGATTTAAGAGCTGATACAGATAAATTCCAAGATGAGAGAGGAATGCTCCAGCAAGAACTCGAAGCTGCAAAAAAGGAACTTTCTACGACAAAGGAGCAACTAGAATCTGCAGAACAAGAAATAGCCAAGCTTAGCCAATCAGGAAAAGCCTTTGAAGAAGAGAATAATTCTCTGTCCTCAAAAATTCGGCAGCTCTCAGATGAGGTTCAGCAAGCGCAGGACAAAGTCCAAGAGATCATAGTTGAATGTGGCCAGTTAAGGGAGAAAATGGGTGACAGAGAAAGGGAGCTTTCCACACACATGGAGATGCACGAAGCCCACAAGAGTGAAGCTTCATCTAGAATGAGGGGATTGGAATCGGAGCTGGAGTCTTTGCAAATGCAGAGAGGAGCAATCGAAAGGCAGAAAGATGATGAACTTTCTGCTCTTTGGAAGAAACATGAGGATAAAGAAAAGGACTCATTATCTCAAATACAGGATCTGACAACACAGGTCACCAATCTGCAACTCGAGGTGGAGTCCTTGCGCATTCAGAAGGGCGACCTGGAAAAACAAATGGTAAGTAACAGTAATGAGGCATCGGCTCAAGTCAAGGACCTAATGGATCAGATCAATGCCAAGCATCAGGAACTGGAGGCCGTACACAACCAGAAAACTGAATCAGAAACACTGCTGAAGAAAAAAATGCAAGAAGTTTCAGAATGTTTGACACAGATAGAATCATTGAAAGAGGAGTGTGGCCAATTAAGGGAGAAAATGGGTGAAAGAGAAAGGGAGCTCTCAACTCACATGGAGATGCATGAGGCCCACAAGAGTGAAGCTTCTGCTCGAGTGAGGGGCTTTGAACTGGAGCTGGAATCACTGCACACGCAAAAAACAGAAATTGAAAAGCAGAAAAATGATGAACTTTCTGCTCTTTGGATGAAACATGAGGACAAAGAAAAGGACTCATTATCTCAAATACAGGATCTGACAGCACAGGTCACCAATCTGCAACTCGAGGTGGAGTCCTTGCGCATTCAGAAAGGCGACCTGGAAAAACAAATGGTAAGTAACAGTAATGAAGCATCGGCTCAAGTCAAGGACCTAATGGATCAGATCAATGCCAAGCATCAGGAACTGGAGATCGTAGACAACCAAAAAACTGAATCAGAAACACAGCTGGAGAAAAAAATGCAAGAAGTTTCAGAATGTTTGACACAGATAGAATCATTGAAAGAGGAGTGTGGCCAATTAAGGAAGAAAATGGGCAAAAGAGAAAGGGAGCTCTCAACTCACATGGAGATGCATGAGGCCCACAAGAATGAAGCTTCCACTCGAGTGAGGGGCTTCGAACTGGAGCTGGAATCACTACATATGCAAAAAACAGAAATCGAAAAGCAGAAAAATGAACTTTCTGCTGTCCTTAAGAAACTTGAGGACAAAGAAAAGGACTCATTATCTCAAATACAGGATCTGACAGCACAGGTCACCAATCTGCAACTCGAGGTGGAGTCCTTGCACATTCAGAAAGGCGACCTGGAAAAACAAGTGGTAAGTAACAGTAATGAAGCATCGGCTCAAGTCAAGGACCTAATGGATCGGATCAATGCCAAGCATCAGGAACTGGAGACCATACACAACCAGAAAAGTGAATCAGAAACACAGCTGGAGAAAAAAATTCAAGTTGTTTCAGAATTTTTGACACAGATAGAATCATTGAAAGAGGAGTGTGGCCAATTAAGGGAGAAAATGGGTGAAAGAGAAAGGGAGCTCTCAACTTACATGGAGATGCATGAGGCCCACAAGAGTGAAGCTTCCACTCGAGTGAGGGGCTTTGAACTTGAGCTGGAATCACTGCACACGCAAAAAACAGAAATCGAAAAGCAGAAAGATGAAGAACTTTCTGCTGTCCATAAGAAACTTGAGGACAAAGAAAAGGATTCATTATCTCAAATTGAGGCTCTGACAACACAGCTCAAGAATCTACAACTCGAGGTGGAGTCCTTACGCATTCAGAAAGGAGAGCTGGAAGAACAGGTAATACGTAAAAGTCATGAAGCAGCGGCTCAAGTCAAGGACATAATGGATCAGGTCAATCAAAAGCAACAGGAACTGGAGATCCTACACAGCAAGAAAACTGAATCAGAAGAACAGCTGGAGAAAAAAATCCAAGAAATGGCAGAGTATTTGATTCTGATAGAATCTTTGAAAGAGGATCTAACAATCAAAACTGCAGATCAACAGAGAACGCTGGAAGAGAAGGAAGGTTTTGTGGTACAGGTGAAGGACCTGAAACTGGAATTTGAGTCTCTAGTAAACCTGAAAAGCGAATTGGAAGAGCAGCTCAGGCATAAAGGATGGGAGATTGTTCAGGCACGAGAGGAAACAGAAAAGCTGCAAGATAAAGTATCTGAACTGGAGAGAACATTAGCCGAGAAAGGGAATGAAGAGAAAGAAGCATCTGGTCAAATTATGGCCCTAACAGCACACGTCAACAATCTGCAAGAAGAGTTGGATTCTTTGCGTGCACAGAAAACCGAGTCAGAATTGCAACATGAAAAGAAGACTCAGGAACTATCAACGTGTCTACTTCAGATAGAAAATCTGAAAGAGGAGTTAGCAAGCAAAAGTGTGGATGAACTGAGAACTCTGCAAGAGAAGGAGGTTTTAACAGTTCAGTTAAAAGATCTGGAACTGGAGAGAAATTCTCTATGCAATCAGAAAAGTGAACTGGAAGAGCAAACGAGAAATAAGAACCATGAAATTGATCAACTAAGGGAGAATAAGGAGGGTCTGCAGGGCAGCATTTCTGAATTGGAGAGAACGTTGACGGAGAGAGGGGACCAGTTTGTTGCTCTTCAAAAGAAACTTGAGGATGCAGAGAATGAAGCATCAGCTCAAATTGTTGCCCTGACGGAACAAATTAACATGTTGCGACAGGAGCTGGATGCATTGAAGGCTGAGAGAAGCCAATTAGAGGTGCAGATTGAGAGAGGTAAGCAAGAGTCAGAAAGCCTGGCTCAAGTGGAGAATCAGAATGTTGAGTTGACGAGCAAGATCATAGATCACGAGAGAATGCTGAAAGAACAGGAGGATGCTTTCAACAAACTGAGTGAGGAGCACAAACAACTCAAAGTTCGGTTTGAAGAGTGCAAGGAGAACCTCCAAGCTGCAGAAAAGAAGATGGAAGCAATGGCAGAAGAGTTCTGCAAGCATATCGAGTCTAAAGATCAGAAAGTTGATGAACTGGAAGAAGCCATCGAAGATGTAAGAAGAGATTTGGAAATTAAAGCAGATGAAGTAAATACATTGGTAGAGAACGTCCGCACACTTGAAGTTAAGCTCCGCCTGTCAAACCAGAAGCTCCATATAACGGAACAGTTGCTGACTGAAAAGGAAGATAGCCACCTGATCAAAGAGGAGAAGCTCCAACAACAACACAAGTTCCTTGAAGAAAGGATTGCTACACTATCTGGAATAGTTGCTACTTACAAAGAAGCTCAATCGAAGATAACAGCAGACATCTCGGAGAAAGTAAATCACACTTTGAATGGAATGGATACGTTTACTGTGAAGTTTGAGGAAGACTACGGACACATCGAGAGCTGTGTTTACGAAATCTTAAACGATCTTCAAGTTGCAAAGAACTGGGTGAAGGAGAAAAATGGTGAAAAAGAACAGTTAAAGAAGGCAGTTGCCAATCTAGCTGAGGAACTGAAGGATGAGAGAGAACAGGAATCGATCCTAAGAGAGACGGTCAGAAAATTAGAAACAAAGATTGGGGAATTAGGAATAACGTTGCAGAAGGATGAAGAAGAAAAGGAGAATCTGATGAAAGCAGTTAAACGGCTTGAAGAGAAGAAGGGAGAGTTGGAAAAAGTGGTAAATGCAAAGGATGAGGGGATTTTGGGTCTAGGGGAGGAGAAGAGGGAGGCCATAAGACAGCTGTGCATATGGATCGACTATCACCGCAGTCGCTGTGATGAACTCAAAGAAATACTGTCAAAGACGGCAGGAGGAAGAAGGCAGATAACAACTTAAAAAATTTTACATCATCTTCACCCATATTTTCCATTTCAGTTTGCTTTGAGTATTATTTTTTGATTGGATCCATTTTTTCAGTAGTGTGCGTTTTTGACGAACATTATTAGGCATTGGTTTTCTAAGTCTGTGATCATATTAGTGTAATCATTCACCAATTTAGAAAGTGTAGGAAATTGTTATGCTTTTCCTGTTTTCAGTTTGTCTTTAAATGTGTACAGCATTGAAGATGCTTATCAAAACCATTAAAAATGAAGTGCTTTGGCAAGAATTAGTTCCCACCAGCAGAAGGTGGAAAACTGTCCAACATCAAGAAGAGACTCGTGTAGGTCAATGTAACATCTAACAGACTGACCCAACTGTTGAATCTCCAAAATGGTTATATCACGTGAATTTGGTAGGTACTGGCAAGGTAAACACATAGACCTGAACAAAATATGCTTGGATACTTGTTTCACAAATGCAATCAAAAAAGCATGAAAGAAAACGAATTCAAAATGCAAGTGCCAATTATAGTACCAAACAATCATATCACAAATTAATAACATATTACACAGATAATTCACAAGCTAATATAAGGGCTCTAGTGCCTCACTGCTTGATCAATTCTTATTGGCAGTGCTGGTAGTGCATTGAATGACAACTACAAGGCAGACGGAGAAAAGGAGGGTGTATATGGGGTGGACTATATCAACATGTGCTAGTACAGACTCCTAATATATATTCACAAACTAAAAATACAAAAAAGAAAAAGAAAAAGAAAGAAAGAAAGCCTCCCTATAGTTTACCATCTCATCTCTTTTTGCATTCTAAATTAAAACATAAGAACAAGAAAGAACCTGAACTTCCTCCCACTAGTTTCAATCAGATATCCTCATCTCAACTCCGAGAATGTCTTTTACCACCTCATACGTCACAAACGCAATTGCTATGGATGGGACGACCTGAAGAGAATAGCAATTGAAACAAAACATTTCCATACCAAAAGATTTTATAGCAATACATAGAAAGGCTATCTACTGGATGTAGGCATCTGGTAGGGGGTATAATAATTATTCGAAAGGTATACAACCATATTAACATTGCAATACATGCACAAATAAGTGTATCTCGCAGGTAAGATTAAGCAATTTTCCGAAAGATAAAACACACCAAAGCAATAGGTGCATTTATAGGTCAATTAATGATGATCATAGAATAATGCTAGAACTAACCTTCACCGAATTGGGGACCAAACCCTTGTACAATGCTCCAAATCCCTCATGGCGAACTGTTTTTCTGAATGCATCAATCATACCAGTATATTCAAGTGGGGCCCTGCTCTTCCCATCACCAGTAACAACTGAAGCAGCATCTTTCCAGCCGACCATTTGCATTCTTCGTCGGACGACGTCAAGAGGGTAAGCAACTGTCTGGCCAACAGTTCCAGCAGCAGCCCCACATGCAAGCTTTGTCATCACACTCAACTCAGAGTCTTCAACTAGTCCAAAAGGTTTAGTTTTGATCAACCAAACTTTTAAAGATTCATACACGGAGAAGTTGAGACCCACGTACGGTATCTACAAACACCATGTATATCTGTTACGCGTATATCATACAAATGAGGAGACTGTTTCATCTTGGTGTTATTCTACTTAGCTAAGAGTTTAAGTAAACAGACCATGGTTATAAACCAATCAATATGAGAGCAGAATTACTTATCCGACATCAAGGCAATTATCTTAAGAGACGAATGAAAGAGCATTGCTTGCACAACATTCTATGCACCATGGGTAATGCTAAATTTGTCTACTTATCCGGAGAAAGCACATCATGGACTGAAAAAATAAAGCAAACAGAACATGCCATACAACAGGCTGAGAAGACAAGGCAAAACCTTATGCAAAAGAAAATTATAAGAACTACTTTGCTACTCCAAACCATTTAAGTGCACGAAAATATGCAATAATAGACAAACATGTTGCACAAAGTCAATTCTCAGTATTCTCCCATTCGTTTGGCTTGTCAACTGATTCTTTAGCTTTCCCAAATTGTATCTTTAAGCACATAACACACAAATGTATTTTATGTGGAGACACATGCTCACCTATCATACCAAAAAGAATCGGCAGTAAAATGGTTGGCCACAATCTACAAGAGAAATGAAAAACCACACGTGATGTTACATCTAATCAGCAATTTCAAATTGTAAGGGCACTATCAAATGAGAAAACAAAATGTATTCTATTTGTGATATGAATTGATCACAGATGTTTCAGGTAACCAAAGGAAATCATACAGATTTCCCATCAGAACGTCATAAAAATCACCAGACATCAACACAAAAAAGCACTCAACACAAGGTATAGTCGTTAAAAGAAATATGGAACTCCAACTTACAACTCCTATGACAGAAGGAAGCCATCCCTTGTACAAAGCACGAGGGCCCTCTTCACGGAAAACAGTTGTGAGGGCATGGAAGATTCCTCTGTAATGGCGAGGGGACTTCTCTGTCTGCAAGCAGAAGATTGGGTAGAAAGTGAAATTATCAAATCCTTGACAAGCTGAAGACAGCCAGGACTTCGAATGGTATACATTCAGTATCACATAATTCAGTCAGATACCCAAAAGAAAATCAAAGCTGTACCTGTACAGTAAGCCGGCCTCGTACCATGTCCATTGGGTAAGTCGCTGACATGGCAATGATTCCAGCACATGCTCCAGCTCCAAGTCGTAAAAGCGGAGTGAGTTCAGCATCCTCTGTAAGATATAGCAATAAAAGATGACTTTTAACATTATTAACACAACTTATAAAGTTAAACTTTGAAATCAACAACTGAACAATTTTAGCGATCTGAAATAGAATCCACCAACAATTATCTTAGAAAACCACATGCTACAGAAGTGTGAAGTTTGATGTGTTTCTAAGCTCTACGCTTGGTCATGTCTTTCTTGTAAAATACCCTACATATCATATCCCTTAGCTTTTATTGAAAGAAAAATAGACTTAAAAAGTGGGGGCTTCAATTTGCAGGGAAACTTGTTGAACCATTTTGTTTTAAGTAGCATTAGTGGCACTAAATGACTGTGTTCTCCACAGCTATCATATAAAAAAAAATGACTGTCCACTAACATGTTTATTTACATCTGATGAGCATTATTATTTAAAACATGAACTTCCTAAGGTATCTTACATTGACTTCACAAAAATTATAATGACTCAAATGGATAAAGAATATTTCTGCCTTCAAATACAGAAGATTGTGAAAGCTGAGAATGCCTTCGAATAGAGGGGCAAATATTAAGAAATGAATCTACAGAAGTTTAAGCACATCTGATTTCCAAGAATCCAATAAGGCTGTGGCTTTAACCATAATAGAATAGAATGCATGAGAAAACTAAGGAGAAACAGATGGTAATACCTTTTCCAGGTTGCTGCTGATATAACCATAAGATTCCCCTGTATATATGACAAAAAATTGAGTAAGAGGAACCTCATGATAGATAATAGAAGGTGAATAGATATGAAGCAAGATATGTTAATGAAGAAATGCATAGCATTGGCAATGTATACAGAAGCTCGACACTAAATACGATAGAGCAATCATAAAGAGGATTATATTTCAACAAATTACGACAGTAAGTCCTACAACTCAAAAAGCACTAAAGCAATGGAGAAAGCAAGGCAAAATAGTAGAAAACCATAAGTTTAAATCACATCCAAATTATGTTCCAACAAAACTAAAAACAACCATGGAAAAGCAAGGCAAACTAACTTGACTGTTGCAGCACCAAGAATGTTGGAATTAATGGACAGTTCCTACATCCCAGCCACGATAGACCTTAATTGGATACTTGAATATGCAACTAAATCCATAATATTCTTACTACATAACACTAGACATGAACCGATGCATAAACAGATGTCTTATACTTTGCCTTAAAACTTAAAAGTCATCTTTCGAGACTTTGTGATAGCATATGTAACACTTCTGAATACAACTTCATTGGATTTCACAACAGAATATATTTTTTTCTGAAGTTTCACAAGCTTCAATGTGCAATGGCATGCACTTCTTTTTCTTTCCTAACTTTTTGTAGGATAATTTAGCTATTACATTGTCTACCACCAGCAGTTATGTCATTCACCATAATTTGACTCACTGTTGTAAAAAAACGGGTTAAACTTAAGATCAATGAAGTGCTTCTCAACGCAGCAACATTCTTTTTTAAACCAATTTTTCCCCTATTCAAATGCATCATAACCCTTTTTCTATTTTGTTCCCAGTTACCAATGCATGTTCAGTAAGTTTCATATAAAAAGTTTATCAGCAACTATGACCAAGCTTCTATCTATAATACGAAAAATTGAAATTCATGCAAAACAATCATAATTGGAACAAGCAGCAGCACCGAAGTATACTTGGATGCTTCCTCATAGCTAAAGAACTTGACAGCTGAGTTTGGGACAATGCGAGCGCAATTAGTGCCATTGCCTTTGAACATTCCTCGGAAACCCTCTGTTCTCCATATGTATTTCAATCCTTGAATTGTTCCACTGTATTTTATGCTATGCGGATTCTGAACCTGCAATTTTAATGACCAAACAAATGCATCATGTTTTAGCATAATTCGGTTAGGAAGAATATCTCATTATTTGGGACTAGAGTAAGTCAAAATAAATAGTCAGGACACTAAGCAGAACAGAGCTTATCCCAAAGTTTTCCAAAAAGTTTTATCTGTATTGGTATCAGACTTTTTTCAGAATTTCTATCTCAACTTTTTCATTCAACATCATTGCCACTTACCCTCAAGTTTTTCGTGAAGCATGGTTGGTTGAGGGCCTCAACAAACCATGCTTCACGAAAACCAACCATGCTTCACGAAAATAATCTCAGTATAAGTTAAAAGCACAATTAAAAGAATTGTCTCAGTTGGCAAATTACTGAAGAACAGGAACTGATGTGTGACCTTGGCTCTGGTGGTAGTAAAGGTGTTGTAGGAAGTGAAGCAGCAGCAAAAATGTTGTATGATGACGGAAAGAGAGAATTGGTGGACTACATCTATATTAGTTGAAGAGCCAATAAAGGCGTTATTGGTAGGGATGGAGTAAGCCTGTGGTGATGCAGCTGTTGGAGGCAATGGTGGTGGCATATGCTAATGGTAATAACAATGGTGGCAAGATAATTAAGATTACACACTGGTTCCTCAGCCAATGAAGTGGTAAATGTGATCTGCAAATGAGATATTACCAGAGATTTTCAAGAAGCAGTGTGATCAGCAAATGAGGAGGCAAATGTGAAATTACCATGATTGTATTCAAGGTAGAGATACCATGGCGAATAAAATTTGCTTTCACCAAAGTAACAGGAGGAAAGGGGCAAAAAAACCTTCCAAAATCAACCATATGCACCTACACTAACAAGAACCAAAATCCAAAATTTGAAAACACAAAAAAACTACTACATGCAGAAGATTTACCTGAAGCAAAATTTTCAACCGTTCTAATGGGGCAACAGCTGTTCGTGACCTGTAGCATGAGGTACAACACAAACTCGGTAAATAAACTACACTTGAAAAGTTTTTTAGGATACAACTTTTGATGCATCAAAGTTATGCACCAAACCATGGACTGTAGATAACAGGTTAAGTCAAACAATGACGGACGTGTTCTTTTATCATTCCAGTAGTTACTGAGGTATGCTTCTTTGAAGCACAGAAATAACAACTGATTCTTTAGAGTATTAACCTTCTTTGTCAAGAAAAGGTGCTTAAGAATGGAGTTTTGATTCCCAAGAGAGAATAAAAATTGACACTTCATCCAGTCACATCGACAATATAGCATTCTTAATCTTTAAGTTAAACAGTCCTCCCACCCTCCATCCCTCTTTCAAATTCAAAGATTCACAATCCCACTTGTTTTATGAAAGCCAAAAGTTTTCTTTGTACGGTTGCAAAACTGGGGATAGACCAAGAAACTACAACACAAGCACAGGTAAGCTATTGTACCGTTGAAGTTAGCTTAGCAGTTCGTATAATTGAAACTGAACAAATAATTTCGTGTTTATACATTCCCCCTAAATGAACAAACAAAGTAACAGACACACTCTATCGAAGCTAATTCCAGCAATGTCACTTTTTTGTCCCCTGACCACTAAACCTAGCCAACAATCAGATCTCCGGTTAATACTGGTCTCCTTCCATTAAGCTTCCACTATATACAGAAAACAGCACTGTCACAGCATATAACCAAACATCATCCGTGCTTCGCTCTGACTTCTAAATCCCCAAACCAATTGTCCACTTCATTTTAATTTCTAGAAAACTGAAACAAAAATGATTTTGCATATTCTATAATTTTGCGATCAGTGCATTAATGCAGCACGATTTTAATGAAGTCCAAACAACAAAAACTAATAGAACATGAAATAAATTTTGCGAAGGAAATGATAGCAAAGGCCTAAGTTGCAATTTATGATCACAAAAGGTAAAAACAAACCATACAACAATTAAGTACAGCGAAATGCTTGCCACAGCCCATGCACAGCAACAAAAAATGCAACACAAAAGAAACTAAGCAATAATAGATCACTGATTCGCTATGAAGTTATGTAACTAACGCTAGCATAAACAAAGTCAGAAATGCCATCACTGCAAAGCAAGTGAAGATCATACTTATCAATAGCAAAGCTAAGTATCAAACGCGTCATGCGCGTAGAACAATCAATGACAATAACATGATCTTTCATTGTTTCATTCTAACATACTCAAAAATCAACAGAAAAACAACTAAAAAGCTAATTAACAAAGAACAACTCAAATTTTACTATTTATACACAAACATTATAAAGAAATCGTAAGCCCGAGATGTCAAAAAGTTCAATCAGACAAAGCTACGAACAATCCATACAATACGTTACGGCTAAATGACATGTACATATACAGAAAAACAAAGAGAGAAAGAACTGACACTCCACCGGCAACGCCTCCGGCGACGAGAGATTTGCAGATGCTAAGAATAGCGTGACTCGGAGTTTTGACTCCTTCCCTAGCAATTTTGGCTTCTTCGGCCAGATTTACGATTTTAGACACCGCACTATCGCTGCTCTTCCTTACCACATCCTCCGACGCCATTCAACAAAGTTCAAACCCTATCCAACTCCCCGGTGGCCTAACACTACCGGAAAGGTTTCTCCGTCGTCAGGTTATCCCGCGATCGAAGGCACGTATGTCCTTCCTATCTTCAGAAGTGAGCAACTAAATGTTATATAGAAATGCTTTTTAATTTCATATATATATATGCAATCGCTTTAAGCCTATAACAGTGTGTGTGTGTGTGTGTGTGTGTGGAGGCTAGTCGTTGATGCTTCTACAAATTCCGGCGTATTAATTACGTGTGTTGGTTACTTTGTGATTATTATAATGATGATATTGTTTGGAGTAATATTAATCTTGTTCTTGGGACTGGGACTTTGAAAAGTAGGGTTACAAGTTTTGTTGGGTTGGGTCTTGGTTTGATGACTAATTAAAGGCCAAGCATATAAACCCAAGCCTGGATTGCATTAGGATTGTTTAAGTGGCCAAAATGGAATTATAATTTCAATGTAGTTCAGAAACGAGCTGTAAATTTAAATATTCTGAGTTCGATTTTTGTCAACTCTTTAACATTATATCATGAGTAATTTATTCCTCTTAACTATTTTTGACAAAACTGCGGAGGAAATTTAGTCGAAATATGTATAAATTAACTTAAAAATAAAATAATTAAAGAACTTGTTATTCTCAATAAATTTAACTTGGGACAATACTAAAACTCTCATCAATTTTTCTTGCAATATTTTTTTTTATGTAAGTCAATATATCACAATCGTTGTAAACGTTATCAAATTGAGTTCCACTAAGGATGTACCCCCATGGGAAATTTGCACTCTAGTGGAAGATATTAGACACCACGTTAGGTCACACAAGCTTAGTTTTCTACACAAGCCTTGAGCTAGTAACAAGGTTGTTCAATGGGTTGGAGCCGTTGTTATGAACAGCTCACTACTGCTAAATTGGGTTGGCTCTCCCACCCTCCCCCGATCTTAGGGTTTCTATTTTGACTGATTGTAACCAAAACTTTCATATTTAATGAAGTTATTTACTTTTGCCTAATCAAAAAAAATATATCACAACTGTAACCATTAATAAACAATTTTTTTTAAAAATATTACATCAATAAGAGTTAAGTTGGTAAGAATTAAGTAATAGAGAAATTTGAAAGAGAGATACCCTTAAAACTTTAGGTTGGTAAGAATTAAATCTTTAATCAATTAGTTAAGTGAATCTTAGCAAATTCATGAATAAATGACTATACTAAGCTCAATTGGCTACAACATTTGAATTAAACTAATATAAATACTAATGAAATAATGAACGTCAATCAATTACTCCGAATTCTCAATCTTAAGCCAAAATTCAAATAGGCAACATTGAGATTTGACAAATGTTATAGGAAGAATTTGTGTTTGAAAATTGGAGTTCATGACCCAACATATAGCACGACTTTTAAGAGTTTATTCAAATTGGTGTGAATGGATTATCTTTGACCAAACTAAAGAGATGATTAATCAAAATACATGTAAATTAATTCAAACACCTCACATATTTAGCTAAAAAAACAGTTAATGATCCAACGTATAGCAAGACTTTCAAGAGTTTATCTAAGACCGACATGAATCATTTGCCTTTGACTAAATTGAAAAAAAAATTAATCAAAATACATATAAATTAACATAAACATCATTCACAGTTGAACCCAAAAAAAAAAAAAAAAAAAAAATTGACCCAACGTACAGCAGAACTTTCAAGAGTTTATCTAAGATGTCACCATTCTAACCTGATGCCAGTGCGTGTCTTTGAAGATTTAGGTCCACGAATTTTTTCGGTTGTCATATCTGAAAATCAATGTCTAAATCCACAAACATAACCTAGAGATCAATGAAAGCTACAGTGGGTGATTTTTTTTTTTTTGTAAATATTTCATATTTATCCATGTCTCATGCTGGACTAATTCTGCCCACACAATCCAAGGAAAAGGTTTTGTAACACTTGTCACACATAATCAAATGGATAATATATGTCGACTGTTTTATAAGACTGGTTATTTTATTGGATAAATATCATAAGCAATAGAAGGGAGCAATCACTAACGAGTTATTGGCTAAGTGAATAAAAATTTGAATTTTTTTTTAATGTTTAGATTTGAATTTTCATAACTATGACAAATTGTTGGGGTTAAATTTCTTTTTCAACTCCTAGAATATGTGGTGAGACCTTAGTTTCAACTCTGACGTAAGTGCGGTGGTTTTCTCTACAGATAACTGTGTGGTGCTAAAAAACAATGCTCCATAGAGGATATGTAGAGTGATTTATTTGCATATACATTTTTAGTATAAAAAAAAAAAGAGAGAGTAACCAATGATCAATTGTTGACCTTAATAGATATCGCAGTCTGTCGTTGAATTTTTAGGTTGCAGGCACCGTCCTCTCCCTTGTAAAAAAAAATTAAAAATTAAAAATAATTGGACCGAGTTACAAAATAGACTTTGATGAAATCCAACAGGTGTGTGGATATCTATAAGAACATGAGTGTGGAGGTGTATGTTATATGTATTTCGCAAGAGGAGGACAAAATATGAGTGATTTGATTTAACCTAAGGATTAAGCTTATGTCCACTTTAGCTTGAAGTTTTTATAAGACATTACTTAGGTTTTACTTGATGGTTTATAGAATGACTCTCTCGTGCATTGTATCCCTATTGACTATTTGTACAACTGGTAGTTCGAGTTTCGTGTTTATCCTTTTTAGCTGATTATGTGGTTTCTTTTGTATTTGTCTTTATCTTGATGTTGTGGTCCTCAAAACTTTTCTAAATTCACTAATCGCCGAATGTAGTATTTGATTCGTCTCCGGTATCTGTCTTGGGCTCTAAAGGGGTCGAGACTTAAACCAATTATTTGAATCCGATAGATCAAATGCACATAAGCATAAGGTTTTGGAAAATTCTATGATTCGATTCTCAAGTTGCCTCTTATATAACTACTTTGTTGTTTGATAGGGATTCAAGACATTTATCTATCGTGTTGATTCATTTTTACATATGGTTGGTGGGGCTGGTGGGAGGGAATTTCTACTTTGTGGGGTCTGGGAAGTGGATGCTTTGGGGGAAGGGAGTATTGGTGGTTGGTGGTGGTGGGGAAGTTGTTGCAGCAACTGGGTGAGTGGTGGTCCGATCGAACAATCAATCGGTTGGGATTTTGTTTTTTTTATTTGTCTATTTTTTAATTGTGGAGAAATGGTTTTTTAGAAATTCATAGGGTTTTAAGGTAAAGTGTCCTATGATTAAATTCACTCTCATATTCTAGATTTAGATTAGAGTAAGCAGTCTTGACTATGTTATTATATGTATATTTGGGCATTTCAAATTAAAAAAAAATGGGCTTGCTCACATTAAAACTTATCGACCCGATTGACAATCCTAACCTAAATTTATTTAAAACTTATACTACCCATCATATCTTACTTCATAAGCCTCGGGTCTGGTTGGAATAAACAATGAACAAGGAAAAAGGCAAGTGTGAAGATACCATGGCCAAAGAAAAGAATCCAATAATATTTAGTACAGACAATACGTTAAACAAAACTTAATACAAACGAATCAGTGAGCAAATAAAAACACAAAAGCATATGGTTAAATCTAAGCCGGAGGCAACAGCTAAACATCTTAAGAGGACACCATTGCATTGCAAGCCATTCTATGAGACAAACCCCCACCTCACACACACACACACACCAACAACAAATGATGCGTACAACTAGCACATCGATTGAAGTTTAGTATTATGTGTTTTATATGGCCAAAAGATTGAAGTTCAGAGCGTTTGTGTTTATGTTTCATCTCTTGATCAGATTACTAAACTAACACCGGTGGATGAGAATTAGAACTCAGAGGTTAGCCACCAGTACACTTTTTTATACCTAATGGTATTCATTTTCTGATCTAACACCACTAGTCTATACCAGCAAAAAACTGTCGAAGCCAACAATATTGCTCCACGTGTTGCAACCTGTCTTATTGCAAGCCTAATCCGTACACATCCTGCTTATCAACATCTATATGAGACTATTTCTTGCAATGAAACCAGTCAATTCATTCACCAAATTCGATTTGGACTAAGGTTTCAAAGTCTCTATAAGAAGCACTAAGCTTATTTTAGAGATTTCCATTCAGTTTTATGATGAAAGGAAAGGAAGAAAGGAAAGGAAGAACCAGCTGCTATGGTGTGGGACTGTGGGAGTCCCTTGTATGATTCATTTGAATTAGTTTCACTTTCTCATCTCATTGAACGGCATATGATGGCTTTGCCTTCTCCCGGTAGATCAGCACCGTTCATCGTCCCATTGAGCATGCCAAGATCGGAAGATGACGCTACGATAATGAAGATGAAGCACTATCGTGAAGTTGGAAGTCTGAAAATGTGGAAGAGGAAGGAACGAAAAGCTGAAGCAGCTTAAGACTGGGTTGTGTGGCTTTTTCACCAGCTTTATTTCATGGAAGAAATGGAAAAATAGGAGTTGGGGGAACAAGGTAAGGGGTATTCACATGGCAGGTGATGAACATTGAAAATAAAAAAGAAGCCCAAAAGATTATTATTTTTTTTGGAATTGGACCCAAAAGTTAATTGTATGAACTTTTTGTATCTTTAAGATTTCATGGTTCTTGATGGAATGAAATCGATTGAGTTAGGAGATGAATTTCACTAGTAGGTCCATTTTTTTTATGACACGGGAATTTATAAGTTCGAATCGTAGAAATAATGTACGTAAAAAAAATATTATATAAACTTAACTCTTCCTAAACCTCGTAATAGCGGGAGAGAGAGTTAAGTGTACTTGACTTTTTCTTTTGATGACTCAAAGAAGATGATAAGAAAATTTGTTTGTAATGCGTAATTTTACCTTCGAAGAGAAGTTCATATGTTACAACATTAAATCCTTTAAATGTTTGCTCTGTGATAGAATAGTTAGAAACAATCTTTTTGTATGTTAAAAAATGTAACGTAAACTTGACTCTTTCCAAATCTCGTAATAACGGGAGAGAGAGTTAGTTGCACTTAATTTTTTTTTTTAATGACTCGGAAAAGATGATAAAAAAATTTATAATATAAAATAGAGTAGGTTTTAATAAGTTTATCCGACGATTTAAAATAGGCTCATCCAACAATTACTAACATTTATCTCAAAATTATTCACATTTCACCTTATTTTTGAGGGTTATTCCTAATTTATTTATAAAAAAGTTCATAGGTTACAACATCAAATCCCTTCAAAAAAACGTTCCGCCCTGCGATCGAGCAGCTAACACTGACACGTGGATCGCAGATGCAGGAGAAATTGGTCCAATTACTCTGTATGGGCTTAGTAGTTCTTTTAACCAAACAACCATTTGAACTTTCAAGCATTTTGAACAATGCTTCATTCAGATTAAAAAGAAAACAATGCTTCATGCCCAAATCGAAAATCTGTAGTGTAAATTAGGCGTGTGAATGGATCAAATTTTAATTTTAATTTAATCTAAATTTGAATTTGATTAGCTGAATATGGATTAATATTTATTATCGATAATCGAACCTAAATCCAAATTCACTATATTATATTTCATGGTTTTAGATTTAGATATATATTTGATCTAATTATAATTTGATCCAAACTATGCATATATATTTCTATATAATTATTAAAAAAATTAAGTGATTATTTGAAAAAATTAATTTGAAATTTGTTAAATTTTAGTTAAATTAATTTATTCAGATTGAATTGAATTTCAAATTATTAACGAATTCGGATATGAATTATGAAAATAAAATTCATCAAATAATTTAATCAAATTCGGATTAAAATTTTCAAATCATAATCAAATTCAGGTTAGTTAAAACCTAATTCGAACTTATTTCGTTGACAAACTTATGCTCCGTTTTGTACGATGGAAAAATAGAATGATAGAAAATTGAAAAGATGAATAAAATATCATGTTTGATAAACTAGGAAAATAAAAAAAATGTAAAAGTGGATGAATTAATTTTCCTTCTAACTCGCCAAAATCAATCTATCCAAACTTAGGAGGACAGTGGATAAAAAATTAATTATGTGTGTTGAAATGTATGTTATTTGTCTATATATTATTTAATATATACATATATCATATTTATCAATTACATATTATGTTTTAATATTTTTTCATCTTTTTATTTTTCATTAATACTAAACATAAAAAAATTAATTATTTCTACTTTCCATCTTTTTTATCAAAAATAAACGAAGAAAAATATATCATTCATACTTTTCTTTCTTGAAAAATAAAAATTATAATCCACCTACTTTTTATTTGGGGTTAATTACAAGTTACACTATGAAAGATAGCTTGAATTTTAATTTAGACCCTGAAAGATCAAAAATTTTAATTTAGACCCTCAAAGATAGAAATTTGTATCAATGTACATCTCCAAAGATAAAAAATCTCAATTTGCAGCTTCAAAGATAGAAATTTGTATCAATGTGCACCCTCAAAAATAAAAAATCTCAATTTAAACTAGGGGTGCAACTTGGGTGGGGCAACCCGATTTCAACCTGAAAAAATTAGGACTTGAGCAAGAGTTTTTAATACTTGGGTTGAGCTTGGGTTAGAAAACCCCAACTCGAATTCAATTTGGGTTGGGCTTGGGTTAAAAATCCTAACCCGATTTCAACCCGAACCCGACAATTTAAAAAAAATTATATATATATATATATATATTAGCACTAATGTTTCATTTTTGTTCTATCGTTTTCTGTTTTCTTGTTCATTTTTATTTTTTTTCTAGCATTAGCACTGTTAAAAATTTGTTAAAATTTTTTGTTGTTAATTTAGATGAATATTATGTAATACAACAAGCATATTTTTGGCTCTACCCGAACTCAACCCGAATTGAACTTGTAAAGTAACTCGAATTCAACCCAAACCCGCCCGAATTAAACTCGATAAGTGCTCGGGTTGAGTTCTTCAACCTGAGGTAGGGTTAGGGTTGAAAATTATATACTTAGGGTTGGGCTATGATTGACTATTCAACCCGCTCGAGTTGCACCCCTAATTTAAACCTTCAAAAATAGAAATTTGTATCAATGTGTATCTAAAATTAAATTGATAAATTATACCTAGATCCCCTCATGCTTGTCAGTTACTCATTTGAACCCATTCACATTTAGAATATTACTCCTACATCTCATGATGTTTGTGCACATGTAACACGTAACCATTTTTTATTGATATCTATTAATATAACCATTAAAAATATAATTTTATTCTAATAAAAAATTATAATTTCATATTACCTTTTATTTTGTGGGTCCGATATACTCTAAAGTTTAAAATCAAGCTTACCATTTGAATCTCTAATAGAATATAGATATTTATATAATATTTTTATATCCAATGCAATATATCACTTAATGTACAACTCTTTATTCTATTAAACATTCAAATGATAAGCTTGATTTTGAACTTTAGAGAATATTGAACCCATAAAATAAATGGTAATATAAAAATATAATTTTTTATTAAGATAAAATCATATTTTTTAACATTTATATTGACAGATATCAACGAAAAGGGGTTACGTGTTACACGTGCATAAATATTATGAGATGTAAGAGTAATATTCTAAATGTGAAGGGATCCAGATGATTAAGTGACAAACATAAGGGGATCTAGGTATAACTTATCAATTTAATTTTAGGTACACATTAATACAAATTTTTATCTTTGAGGGTGTAAATTAAATTTTTTTATTTTTGGGGGTGCACATTAATATAAATTTTATCGTTGAGGGTGTAAATTGAGATTTTTTATCTTTGAGGGTGTAAATTGATACAAATTTTCATCTTTAAGGGTACAAATTAAAATTTTTGATCTTTGAGGGTACAAATTAAAATTCGAACGATCTTTCCATGTGTAATTTATAATTAACTCTTTTATTTATTTTATCTTTTATCTTTCTTACTAGACGGAGATAGATGATTTTGTTGGGCCATGTTCTCACAGGCTCTATGAGGATGGACCAGAGTTTAGCATTGAAGTCAAGTTCAACAATGATGATTGTGTCAACTAATACGGTAAAAGGTCGTGAGGCCACCGTGACGTCTTTGCCCGAATGAATTAGTTAGTACTAAAAATACCAAAAAATAATGAACGAACAGAGCAATAAGAAAAGAAAAAGATAGAGGCACTTTTCAATCAGAAAATCAAAGTTTTCATTGATGGTATATTTAGTGTAAGTGAGGTCTCAGATGTGATTAAGTTATATGATTGTATCTCCATAGTTTCACCCTTAAATGACAGTAGATATTCCCGCAACATTCAAATCCAACAAGAGTAGGCGTAATTCGTTTTCTACTCGGCTTGTAAGTCTTTTCGCTTCTGTGTCCATGGGCCTTCTTACTCATAACTGGATTATAGAGTTAATAATGGGAAAATCCACATAAGGACTAAATTTTTTATTTTGTGGTTAGATATTTGAATCTTAGAATTTACTGAGATTCGGTAGTTGACTGTCGTGCTAGCGTAACTAACTAAGTTTATTTTAGAAGTAACGAGTGCGGTCAAGAGTTTCATAATTTCACTAGTGAGAATTTATCTGAATAGTCGTTCTTTTTTGTCTTCACCCCTCTTTTGCACAGAAAAAAAAGAAAGTAATGCTACGTGGACTTAAAAATTAGACTTGATAATTTCAATCATTGATTTTACTGTGGGTCCCAACATTTATTAGGACCCACTACTTATTCAATGATTGAGATTATCAAGTCTAATTTTTAAGTTCATCTAGTATTACTCAAAAAATATATATATAGAAAGTATGGTGGGCGGGATCGACTCCATTTTATATATGCCTAGATACTCAATATTGTTGTATTTATCCAGCTGTCCAAAGGTAGCACTTTAAAGATGCTGGCCGACTCTCTGTTTTTTGGTGGCCAGAGGTGGCTTTTGATGAATGCAGCTTTATTAAAGCGCGGTAGGAAAATTGGATTAGGTCATAGTTTTGGGACTTCACCACTAATAGAGATAGTTTTGGGATTAAGAGTTGTGGCGTTACCCTAATAAAACAAAATTAATTTTTAAATATATAAAAATAAAATCAACAACACCAATTATGATAATATAACAATATTTACTCTAATTTTTTTATCAGTCTAATATTACTCTTTCATAAACCATAAAATTGAAAATTAATTAATTAAATTTTTTGAAAATTTAGTTTCTGCAAAACAACTATTAATACATTGCCTTATGGGTAAGAAATGAATTTTATTTAGTTGAGATCCAAGATAAATAGGTCGTAAATATTCATCCCATGAATGTGTATTTTGGATTAACTTTCAATATTTCACCAATAAAATAATATAATATTTTTTTGAGTTGAGCTGGCTAAATTATACACACAATATTAATTTTTTATATCCTATTTTTTTACCTCAACAATTGCTAATTAAAATCAGGCGCATTATATATAGAAAATGCTATACAATTCAAATAAAACCTAAAAAATTATAATTTAAATGCATATTATCTCTTTGATGAGTGAGTTTTACTGAAAAAATTGATGAGACTCATTTATCTAAAGAACATTATATATTTGAGTTATAATTTTTTAGATTTTATTTAAATTGTGCAACACTATTTATTATATATTGACACGCAAGTTTTTGGTTGACTTTTACTGGTTCAACCCTAAAATTAAAAATAAAAAATAAAATTAGGTGATGTAGATTATCATCAGCACAAATGGCCCGCCTCCTGGGAAAAATAGGTATTGGCAACGCAAACTGCTTAAATGGCACGTCACCTTTGTTCATTCTATTTTTTTTTTTTGGGAAAGGGACGAGGACTTAAACCCTTAAATTCAAGAAAAAAAAGTTTTTATAATGTAAAGAGTACCATTAGACATGATCTAATACAGATTAAATTACGGAGATTAATCTTTAAGTTCAAAGAAATAGTTTTTTTTTTTGTTTTTTTTTTTTGGAGAAAGAGAGGGGGATTTGAACCCTTGACCTCAAGAAAATAAAATTTTATAAGACAAGAAGTACCATTAGACCAAAGGCCTGTTCGAAGAAACAGTTAACTTAAGTTTAAACACTTTATAACAAAAAAAATAAATTAATTGTGAGTTTGAGTTTGAATTGAATATATATATCTTGTTTAACAAATTCATATTGATCTATTTATTAGACAGATATAACAAATTTTACCATTCAAATTCACTAAAATTAAAAGGAAAAATTTCAGTCATACTTTTTCTAGTTTGCTATATTTTCAAGGACATCCCTTCTATTATCAAAAATATTACTGACACATCTTCTAGTTTATATTTAAATATCACTAACACCCCTTATCATTAAACTACAATTTCTAACAAAACAATTCATCTAAAATACCAAAAATGTTCCTACATAAATCTCAAGTAATTTTTTTACATAAAGTTTTATTAAAATTCGAGTAGATTAATATTTATTTTTCTACATATTAAAATTTGAACCAATTAAAATTCGATTGAAACTGATTAAATTTTATTTTTTTTAACGTATTAAAATTCGAAATTATTAAAATTTGAGCCGATTTATTAGCATCGATTAAAATTCGTTTTTCAGTTGATTAAAATTTATATTTTTTTACTTATTAAAATTTGTGCCAATTAAAATTCGATTTATTAAAATTTGAGTCAATTAAAATTTATATTTTTTATGTATTAAATTTTGGGTTGATTAAAATTCAATGTGAGTAAATTAAAATTTGATTTTAGTCGATTAAATATAATTTTTAATTGGCTCAAATAGAATTATAATTAGTCCAAATTTTATTACGTAAAAAATATAATATTTAATCAGATCAAATTTTAATATGTAAAAAATAAATTTTAATTAGTTTAAATTGAATTTTAATAAACCCGAATTTTAATACGTAAAAAAAATTAAAAAATAAAGAGGGTCTCATTGAAGATTTACTTATTTAGAGGGAGTGTGAATGAAGTTTGTCCTCAAATATATCATGGACAATTTATAAAATTATATTCTAGTTAATATTTTTAATCTAAAAGAGGGTGTCGGTGAAAATTCAGAAAATAAAAGAGATGTATTTGAAGATATGATAAACTAGAACCGATGTGGGTAAAATTTTCGGAAATTAAAATTAAATCTATTATTTCTGACATCTAAATTGTCCGTACAAAATAGTGGTGATGTAAATGACTGCAGTTAATGGAAGAAGTCTCCCATCCCATGTAATGGTATGTGGGCAAGCTTCATTTATTAGTCAACATCAAGAGTCTATATGAGTGGCAATATTATAACACTCATGAGTAATGACGTACAGTACATATACTTGTACTTCTGATCCGTTGGCTATAAGCATGGATTAACGATGACAGACTACTAAGTACTAACCGATCCTTGACCCATATAGACTCCAAGTTGCAACCTTAATGAGCCACAAAATTTAAATATGCACAAACATCAACCTTCGTGACAAGCTACAAGTCTTTACTTAAATTTATACCAAATATAAAGAAATTTAAATTTTTATTCAAATTAAAAGAGATTTAATATTTACTCAAATTATCAGTAGTTAGATAAATTTTTTTTTTAAAATCCAAATATCACATTTCATACTCTTTTAAATTTAAGTTTATCCATCAGAACTTATGTATTAAATTAAACATTTTACTCAAATTTGAATCAATATTGGAGATATTTGATGGTGTAATTTACGCGATTATGTAACCAATCTCGTGGCTCAAAAAAAAAAGAAAAATAGATTGAGCATTCATAAGAGACGTTAATGGAGTTCACTGGAATACCCAACTACTAAGTTCTCGATGGTAAAACAATAGGCACAAAGATGATCGCACAAAATGTAAATCAATGAATATAGAATTTATAATGGTTTATCAGTTGAAAGATTGACTAATCTATTCTAATAGAGTTTTTTGTTTCTGAAAGAGTTTTCAATTATTTGGGAGAGATGATTACAATACTATCGAGAGTCAATTCTTAGGTATTCGATCCTCTACAATATGAGGAATTGATCCCCATTTATAGTGTGTAGGAGCGTGATCATTTGTGTAATCAGCGTGAATCTTTCGAGATTGTTATAACCCATGTGATAGAATATTTGATTGTCAGATGCTACGTTCTTTAGGCATAACGTGACCTTCTAGAAGGTGTGCGCTATCACTATTGTTGTGTGCACGAGGGTTACATTGGTGTTGATTCTCGATCTGCAGTTCTCGAGCTAGAAATCATGAATCGAGGGTCATGAGATGGGAGATCTAAGTTGGGGTCACAAGCAGGACAGATAAGAATTGGAAGCTCAGTTCGTTCACTCGATTTTATTTGTCTCGAACTGGAATCCAAATTCTAACATCATAATGTGGGCCCCTATTGGGGGGACATGTCTCCGAGTTGTTTCTGGGCCGAACTTAATGTTAGATAATTTTTGATATCATTAATATTATTATGGAAATGACTATATATATATATACACACACATACATATATATATTCCTATATTACACGTTATAGTCACTGCTTGACCAATTATAATTGGCCCTTGACCTAGCCCCCAGCCCCCCCAAATCTGTCATTTTCTTTATTATTTAATGTGAAAACAAGTATTTGATCAAGTCGTAAAGACATGAAACATCAGTACATCACCCAATTTCCATATTTCTTATCTAGATTGTATTTTTTTTGGGTTCCAACCTTCTATGCCCACAAAAAAAGTCTTAACCAGGATTTTTTTTGACAAACCCCTGAGGGCAGCGGGTCCCACGATGAAACTCCTAAAATCTCAGGTTTGATCAATAAAAGATTTTTAGCAGAAGAATATGTTTTGGGAATGCAAATATATATATATAAAAAGAGTAATGTTATATGGATTTAAAAAGTACTTCTTCCGTTCTTAAATATCTGTCGTTTAAAATTTTGTACATGGATTAAGGAAGTTATTAAATAGCTATAATATGAGTAAAAAATAATTACACAAGATTAAAATACTCTTATTCAATACGTATTGGGAAAGAAAGGACTATGAAAGACACTTAACCTCCACCTAATCTAATGCATTGAAAAGTTAAGGATAAATTTGGAAGAAAAAAATATTAATTATATTTTGGTTTCATTAAACGACAGATATTATGAAACAAAAAAAATTGTTCAAAACGACAGATATTTAGGAACAGAGGGAATAAATTTCAAAACTAGACTTGATAATCTTAACTATTGAATAGGCAGTGAGTCTCAATAAATGCCGGAACCCACAGTGAAATCAATGGCTGAGATTATCAAGTTTAGTTTTTAAATCTAATTATTAAGTTCATATAACATTTCTCATATAAAAAAGAGTGAATAATAGAATTTGGGGTGTCAGGTAAATTTGAAATGAAATGGAGCCTAGTGGGATGATTCCCCATTAAATAAAAAATCTTTCTTGACAAAATTTGAGAGAGTAAAGTCATTGATTTATGGCTTTAATTTTTATTTTATTTTTTTTTTCAATTTTGATTTTTTGATTTTACTTTTTAAATCTTTATTTTGCATTCAAAAAAATCAACTCTAAACCCATTTACGGCTTAAAAGAAGAAGTATGTAGGAATTGCTTTCTTAAATAAGTAATTGTTGAAATGAATTATATATTGAAAATATATTAAAATTGAAGAATTCATGGTAATAACAATAATCATAAAGAATGAATTTTGGGATTACATTTTTTAAGAGGGCTTTTAGTATGGAAAGAAAAAAGTAGTTTTTTCCTTAATTTGAGTAAAAATTTGAGTTTTTCTTAATTTGGTATGAGTTGATGATAGTTTTAGTCCTTTTTTTTTAAATTTAAATTTAAGTAAAGATTAGAGATGTTCTAATAATAAACAAAAAATAAAGGGGCCCCTTTTGTAATTTAAGCACTAACGGCATCCGATTCCTCGTCAAAATTGCTTTTCTCAGGTACAGCTATCATCACTTTACGCTTTGTAAAAGCAGGGGTCAAAGCAAAAACACAATACGACATCGTTTACAAAAATTACCAGGTCAAACAACGTCGTTTTCCTCTATTTGCAACTTCACAAAGTAAAAATATTTCGAGAAACGGGCAAAACAACTATATTCTCTTCCCTCCAAACTTACCCTTTTCTTTCTCGGGAATCATTGAGTTCACCCTTTTTTCTCTCTCCACAACAAAAAAGACACAAAAACTCTGTTTTCTTCTTGGGATTTTCAGAAACCTCCCTCTCAACGACAGTTGTTCTTCCTACATCAAATTTCAAGAAAGTAAAAGCAAGTCAAAAAATGATTTTCTTGTCCTTGGCTTAGAACAAATGCCTTGAATGCGATAGTTTTTCATTTAATGACTCGAGCACCAAAACCATACAAGAAGTTCTTGTCTCTGGAATTTTCTTGTTGATTTGGTCTTTCTGTGTTTGATACCACTGTAGGGAAACTTGGGTTGGTTGAATTTTTGGTGGTTATTTGAAATTGTCTGGTTGAATTTGGTGTGCGACATTGGTTTCTGTAAGTTTGAAACTTTGAATTTGATGAGTTAATGGAGGAAGCTTCAACAGTTCGGTTAGTTCGTTGCCCTAAGTGCGAAAATCTACTTCCTGAGCTTCCTGACTTCTCTGTCTACCAGTGTGGTGGTTGTGGTGCTGTGCTTAGAGGTAACACCCATCTCTCTCTCTCTCTCTGTCACTCTCACACACACACATGCGCACGCGCACGCGCACACACACACACACACACACCCCACCCACACGCACACCGCTAGCACAAAAATTTATGATTTTCGTGTAAGTACATGTACTTATGTAAAATAGCCATTTATGATGTTCTTATGGAAAAAAGCTACATAATTGTGTATAAATGCCTCTAGAGCTGCGTGTTCTTTTTTGTATACTTATTGAACATTTTTGAATTTGTATGTCTTTTTTTTATGTTTAATGTTGTGGGTTTGATGGTACAGCGTCGATTAAGGGGCCTGTGAGTAAGGTCTTGTCGAAGAAATCGGATGAAGAAAGGGTTAGTGGTGGTTCTGAGAAAGATGGTGGTAGTATTGATTGTGTTTCTGAGACTGAGAGGGAAAGTGATAAGCCTGAACTTCGTAGGACGAGAGAGAGAGTTTTTCATGAAAGAGTCGATAACTTGAATGGTAGATCTTCATCAATAAGCGAAAATAAGCAAGTTTTGCCTATTTCAGATAGAATTAGGGGAGGAGAAACAATGGAGTTGAGGTCTGATCAGATTAGGAAAGTTGGGTTTTATGAGGATGATTATTATGAATATAAGACCCCTTCGAAAGTTCCACTCAACAATTGGGTTCAGACAAATGATCATGACTTGAGCATGATTAGACCTGAATATGTTAGTTCGGTTGGTGAAAATGAATTTGAAAAAATCAGACCTCCAGTAGGGTCCTTAAGGTCAGGAGGAGATGATAGCGACTTAAATCTGAATAGGCCTGAATATGGTAAGTCGAGTGTAGAACATGAGCTCGAAGAAATCGGAGTCCCAACTAGGTCCTTGAAATCAAGGCCTATCGTGGACCAGTGGAGCATGGGAAGAAGTGGATCAATGGCATTTCATGGAAATGCCAGAGGTTTTGCAGAACATGGGAAGTTTGCTAGTTGCCCGTATCCAGAGGAGGGGCCTTCAAATTATCCCCCTTGTCCTGGATCTTTTTATGGACATGGTGCGCAATTAAGGAATCGTGATGGACATGCTGGGCTTGCTAGAGTTGAAGATCTTGAAAATGATCGAGCTGAGCTACTTAGAAAACTTGATGAGTTGAAGGATCAGCTTGGCAGATCTTGTGATGTGGCTGAAAAACGAAAGGAAAGGGTTGCTGTTGATAGGAGGATGGCTCCACCTCCACCTGATCCTTATGAAGGACACGGTGCTTTTATTCCTGAAGGATCAACCAACTTGTATAGTGTTGATATGCAGCCCGTTGCTAGAGATACATATGTTCCAACTCCTTATATTGATCATAATCGTGGACCTCTCCCTTATACCAGTAGTCATGGTTTGGATATGCAAGAGTTCTATGCTCCTTCAAAGAATTTCCCATACGAATTTCTGGGATACGAAGATGCCTATAGGCCACAAATGCCAAGGAGGACTCCACATCAACCACCACGTCAGTATTTGCAAGTGCCATCTCATGATCGTCTTCCTTCACGATACACAGATCAGGACACCCTTGTGTCACGCCCACATGAAACTTTCTATCACCAGGCGGCATGCTCTTGTTTGCACTGTTCCTACAGGAACTGGCAAATGCCTCCAAAAGTCCCACCACCTGTTTTTAATGGTCAAAGATTACGGAGTGATAGTGCTGATCCCATTTTCTATCCCCGTGTCAATCATATGTACGATCCACATGGTTATAATTCTGAGTACTCCAATCCTCCTCAATTGCATACCTGGGATCAGCAACCCCATACAAGGGGTTCAAGTGACCTTGATTTGAACAATGGTGGTTTTGGTCTCCGCCATCCAAGAAGGGTGGTGGTAGCCCGTGGGAGTGAACAGGTTTGGCATCCTGTAGCAGGGGGTGCCCCTTTAGTAACATGCTGTAACTGTTTTGAGTTGCTGAAACTGCCAAGGAAACTTATGGTGGTGGGAAAGAATCCAAGAAAAATGAGATGTGGAGCCTGTTCCTCCATAATCCTGTTTGAGTTTCAGAACAAGGGGCTTGTTGTATCAGTTCCTGCACAAATCAAGCAAGTTTCTGCTCAAGTTGATGATGCCTCTAATGAGACGCAGAATCACAACCTTCAAAGTTCTCATGATTGTTCGAATGCTGGTGCCACAAATTCCATCTCTAATGACTATAATAACTGCCGTTATAACTTCCAGTTGACTACTGAACCCAGTTTATTGTTAAGAGACCAGAGGTCAAATCTCAGTGAAGCTGAAAAGAAGCAGGGCCCTCATTCATCCTCTTCGAGCTTTTCTGAGGACAAGCAAAGCCCAGACTGTATGATTGTTCGAAAAGATGTTTCTCATTCTGCCGAGCTGCCTCTCCTAGATTCTCCTCTGCAGGAGCAACCAGATTATTCTTCTTCCAGTAATGTGGTCAGCAGATATGAGAAGAGAAGCAAGAGTCTACGTATTGATCAAGAGAAGGTTATCCTTGATAGGACAACCTCCCGACAGAATTCTGTAAAAGATGCACCAGTGGCAACTGAGATGGACGTCTCTTTTAATGATATCTTAAATAGTGGTGTTTCTCAAGAGTCTTTGGAGATAAGCAAAGAAGACGATCGACCTAGGATCAACAAAGGGGGTGAGTCCTTCTTTGCGGGTCTCATAAAGAAAAGCTTTGGAGATTTTTCAAGGTCTAGTCAAAGTCATCAGAATGGAAGATCAAATGTTTATGTTAATGGCCAGTTAATACCAGATCGTGTGGTTAAGAAGGCTGAGAAGCTAGCAGGGCCTATTCAACCTGGAGAGTACTGGTAAGTGCTTGTAGTTGCTCACTTCATATATTTGATGCATTTTTTTCTGTTTATAAACATTTTTCCCTCGAATCATTAGTTTAGTATGAAAATAGTGTGCCATGTGGAGGATAGAAAAAATTAGCTTCTGCATAGCATGTGCACAATGTTAAGAGTCCAGAAATGATTGGATGAAAATTGTTTTTTTTTTTCCTAGTACTGATGCACACTACAGTTTCTTTCAACCTCCTTGTTTTTCTAACCTTTCTGCTGAAGCAGGTATGATTTCCGAGCTGGTTTCTGGGGTTTAATAAGCCATCCTTGCCTTGGCATCATTCCGGTGAGATCAATAAATAACTCATGTGTATCACTCCTTTCCTTATTAATATTTAATGTTAATGACAATAGTAATGATACAGCTTGACTATCCTGCAGCCACGTATTGAAGAATTCAATTATCCCATGCCAGAGAATTGCTCTGCTGGGAACACTGGAGTTTTTGTGAATGGGCGTGAGCTTCATCAGAAAGATTTAGACTTACTTGCTGGCAGAGGCCTTCCGATTACAAAGCACAAGTCTTTTCTTATTGAGATTTCTGGGAGAGTTCTGGATGAACACACTGGTGAAGAACTAGACAGCCTCGGCAAACTTGCCCCTACGTAAGTTTGATTCCCTACAGTAGGTTAAGCTTCTTATTTCATTTTTCGATGGTGCATGTTTAAAAACAAGTAATTCTAGCTATTAGTTTGATGTCTTATTGTTCCTCTGTCATGTTTGTGTCTCAAATGCTTGCCACAAAATGTATGAAACTTGAGTGCTAGGATGGCAGACTTTCCTCCTTGTGTAGGTAGTTATAAGGTTCTTATTGGCCCTCTCTGGGATGTCCAGCTAGAAGCTTTGTTTGGTTAACTGACAGTGCCGAATTGTTGTGCATGTATCAAATGTAAGCAACGGATCACATCAATATCTTGTCTATGACAACTTCTGGCTGCTACGTAGCTGATCTTGAGTTAGAAGCCATCCCTTGTGACTTGAATACTGATTACCATCTGTTGTGACTGTTCTGTACTAACCAATTCGTCACTAATGCTATTGGGACATAATTTGGAGACTTGATACATTGTAACCATTGGATTGATACCAGAGTGCATTTAATGCTAGAACTCACTGACAATCTAATGACTATAATCATTAAGTCTTTAAATTATGTCCCAATAGCATTGCTCTTAGTTCGTGGCATATGTTGCCAACCCACGATTGAAGTTCAATTCAGGACATGAGTGCCTGTGATAACATGTCCAAAAATTATTTTAAAAACTGCTGAAATCTTTTTCCCTAAAAAAAAAGCTAGGGTTAGCTGAAACTGAGTTCTTCAAATATAGAATCTATATTCCCTTGATTCATATTTATTGGAACGAGAGACATGAGAAAGCACGCTGCTCATGCACTACATCATGTTGTCTTTCCTATATGTATGTGCACTTGCAGCTATGATTCACTGACTGGGCGAGTAGTTTTGGTGCACATTCATGGTTGCAGATGACTTGTTTTTTCTATTTATTTAGGAGGTTGGTGGTGGGAAGCTAAATAGTAGTGCACTTTTTTCTTTCTTGCACTTGCAAGGCAGTTACTGTTTTCCCACTCCTTTTTGCTTCCCAATTGTACATATGGATTTTTGTGGCAGGGAAAATGATGAGAAATTTCTGTTCTTATAGAACGTGAAGCATAGCAATTTTTATCCACTCAGTAAAAAAAGCTTGATTGGCTCTGATATCTACTTTACTACTAATTTGGTTCTTAGATTTGTTATTGACTATTGATACGTGAACAGGGTTGAGAAGGTAAAGCATGGATTTGGCATGAAAGTTCCGAAAGCTGTTGCATAATTATGATAAGTTGGGTTGCAGGTGCTTCACTTTCCATTTTCCTTCTATTGGGTTGATGCATTAGTCACCTCTTGCTGTATCAGTGTTTGTGTAATAGGCTGGCATAATCTTGAAAATATGATGGACGCAAAGGCAAAATGCTTCAAGATTTGTGATTTGTTTTGTTTTGAACATCATCATTATTCAGAAAATTAAATATGCAATTGTTTATACATTAGGATGCCAACTTGGTGGCACAGGTGTCTGAATGCCAACTCATGCACTGTCTGAATGCTTGAGAACCTGTTAGTGTTAAATGCTTATATAAACCTTGTACCAACAACGGGTAAGGTGAAAACATAGGTGGTATGAGATCTTTGGACAGCAATTTTCATGGTCGGATGATCTTAGTAGCCGAATCTGATGGGGGCTCTCAATTCTCCATTTGCCATGTTTCATGCATGAATCTTTAGGTAAAACTAATGTACTAAGTTATACTGATGTACAAAGTTACCTGTGACTAGTTTCTGTTTGGACAATGATTGCCATCTATCTGGTGTAGCGTTTATTTTGCATTAGATCAGGACAACATTTCTGTTTATTTGTTTCATTTACAGTACGGATCTTGTCTATCTGTTCCTAACGGAATAAGGAAGAAAGCCACATCTTAGATCGTGCTTGCTTGGTATAGCTAGGGACCTCCTTCATACAGCCCATATGGCAACCGAATCAAGGGTTTGGTGGAGAACAACTTTCACATGATGTCATGTTACAAAAGAAATGATGCCACAACATAAAACTTTTTCCACGGCAAACCCATCAAATATACAAATCATGACATATGGTATGTGTTAAAATATATATTCACTAATAATAAATAGCTATCGTGGCATACGTAATGTAGATTTTCATAAATTCTTTCATTCGGATCCATATCTTTTTTAATATATTTTTTTTCAATTTTTTTTAGTGGATCATCCACCATTAATGAGTGAGAGCCCTCATTTGTATACAGATTGCATAGTAAATGAGCTGCTAAGAAAGAAATTGAAGATAAAATGTATTGGATGCAATTTCACTCCCTTTCGGTCTAATTACTTGATAATTCAAAGGAATCTCTACTTGTCTTAAATGTGAATATTGTCAATCCTTTAGGGTAACGTCACGAATACTCTAATTTCAGCGTGAATGGTTTGTTTGTCTTTGACTGAATCGGAGAGATAATTAATTGAGGTAAGTTGATATGAATATTCTGAACTGTTGAATAAAAAAAAAAGAAGAAAAGTATCTAAATGTATATTAATCATTTTTTTCCTGTGACAACCTGACCTACATTTCTGAGGGGCCAGCAGTCAAACCAATATATATGATGTTTCTGTGAGGAAGTGCCCCACCAACCAGTTAGTAGTAGGGATCCAGAGAGTGTGTCACCCTCAAAATATATTCATCAATGGAAAAAATAAAGTTTTGTGTTATTTGGAAGTTTTCTTTAACAAGTAAATTATAATGTTTCAGAAGTGAATAAGAGAGTGAGAGTGAGAGTGGAGGAGAGAGAAAGAGATGGTTATAATAGGTTGTTAAATGAATTGATGATTGGAGAATGAGAATCTTAAGAAGATAGCAACAAAAAAGACAGCAATACATTTGTTGTCTTCTACATATATTTTAGTAACATAACAACATAACATGAGCAATTCTATGCATTTGCCAGATCTGAATGCTTTTCTATTTTTCCTTCATGATCAATCCTATCCATCTATGTGGTCTAGTTAATGGTGAAATTGGAATGGTTTGAACTGGTTAAAAGGGATCAACCAGATTCAATCCAAATTAAAAAATGCTGCATGAGTTTATTTTGATTTTGAATTCAATTGGAACTTTTCAATTTCAATATTGCCAATACTTAGAATTCTAAATTGAGTTACACATTTCAAATGGAAATTCGGGTCACAATTGGATTTGGGTTATGAAGTTACTTAAATTGGGTCTAATCCAATTCACAAATTCGAGAGATAGATTAAATTTGAAATTCAACTGGAATATTATCTTAATTTAAATTAGATTAGAATTTTTTTTTTGCATAAAATTAACCCAAATCATGAAAAAATTAATTTAGGTCATGAATATTTTAGATTAATCTGCCAAATTGCATCCGTCGAGGGGTTGCTTTCAACTTTTTTTTTTTTGGTTTAATAGTCAGGAATGTCCGAACCCATTTACGCCCACATCGACTAATCTCCTTTCTAGTCCGATCAAAATAGACCATTTACGTCGGAGCTAAAGTATTCATCAACTATAAATTTTTTATGGACCAACTCTTAAAAAGTATCAAGATTTTGCCTCAAAACGTATAAGTTTAACAGTTATGCTACACTTTGGGGTTACCTTCAACTTCAAGTCCAGGGGCGGTTTGACTTCTGAGCTTTAACTTATCTGCTCCCCGCTGTACCGGGAAAAGAGATGAGTAACAAGAATTTAAATATTTGCCCGGATTTAAGCCAAATTAAAAAACAGGGCCGAGGTAAGCCAGCAAGTCTTATTCTAATAACGACAGCTAAACATCTTAATATTCATAATACCCATATGATTATAAAAAATTGCGATGTAACCCCTCTCACCTTAGCAGGAAAAAAAGTATCCCACAATCTTTTTTTTATAATTTTTTTTTGAATTAATTGCATTGGAGGTTTTCCAAAATGTATAATTTATCTCATTTTGGTTATAATATTTCAATTATATTATTTTGGCCGTTGAAATATTAAATAAGTTTCTATATAGTTTCTCAAACAAACAAAATTCAAATTACTAACAGTTTTTGAACATAAATTTTTTATGTGATACCTAAATATGGGCAAAAAATAATTTGGGTAGCTTTTAACAAAAAATTGGATATATTTTGACCAAAAATGTGTAATATGGGTAGATATTAACCAAAATTTGAATAGTTAATGATCAAAATTGTGTAATTTGGATAACTTTTTGACCAAAATTTGTATAAAAATTTGGTTAAGAGTTATCCAAATTATTTTTTTGCTAAAATATTACGTGATAAGTTTATAATAAAAAATTATTAGTAATTTGGACGTTGTCTGCTTAAGGGATAACATAAAAATATATTCAATACTTTGGGGACTAAAATAATGCAATGAAAATATTGTGAACCAAAATAAGATAAACTCTATATTTTGAGGGTCTCTAATGCAATTAACTTTTTTTTTGTTGAAGTTGTGAGGCAGCTTATTGGTTTGGACAGTCAACTTACTGGTTTCGGAGGCCCTGCTAACAGACTGATGAGAGAGAGAAATCCAAAGACAGTGTGGATGGTGAAGAAAATGTTGTTCGTTTGGAAGTCATGTTGGTCGTCTCTTCACAAACGCAACTACTTGCCTGTGAAGTTGGGTTTCTCCATTTTCTTGTTGGGTCTTGCTTTTAGACTTCTCTTCTCTCAATCCTCCGGGTTCTCCGAGGTTTCAGAAGCCCCTTTTCTCGGGAAAATAGTGAAGCCAATAGCTCCACTCAAAGGTACTCATATTTGCTTGTTCCCAGCTCTGTTTTTCTTTCTTATCATGTTCTTTCTTTGTAGAGTGTCACTGCATAAAACACTCACATCAGCCGAAAATGAGGTTGTGAGAAAAATGGACTATGTATAGACAGCTCAAAATGCTTTTGAGACCCACATAAAAGAAGAAGAATATGCTAAAAAATAACACAGTTTTTTTTTTTTTGAGCATTGGATCAATGAAAAGTAGAGTGCAAGCCAATGAGAATACAAACCACATTAATTGGATCCAATGCTGTCTTCATTTATTGGGTTGTTCTCTTTCACTTCCTTTGTGATCTGTATTAGTCATGTGTGTATTGTAAGAATGTAGAGTGTTTCTGATTTTACATTGTAGTGTAAGTGGTTTACACCATAACTAATGCAGGAAAGTGTGATCTTTTTTCTGGGGATTGGATCCCCAACCCGGCTGGTTCTGTTTACACTAATGAGAGCTGCAAATATGTTTTCGACCACCAGAATTGTATGAAGAATGGAAGGCCAGATACAGGGTATCTTTACTGGAGGTGGAACCCACGGCATTGTGAGCTGCCTCAAATCAATCCAGAAAAATTTCTTGAGATGATGAGGAATAAAACATGGGCGTTGATTGGCGATTCAATATCTCGAAACCATGTCCAGTCATTGCTTTGTGTCCTCTCAAAGGTATAATTGCAGACGTGGATGTTTTCTTGGTATAATCTTAAATCAATTATGTCCTTTATTTTGCTTATCCTCTGCAGTAACGTTTAGGTCTCTAGCACACGTATAGGAGTTATGCAATCAAAGTGGTGTGGTTTAGTGATGTAGTGATCTTATTTTTGTTCATTGATTGGATGAAATTTATGAAACTTTAGTCCTATGGCCATGAAATGTGCAAGCTGAGAGTCAGCTTTATGGTACCTAGAAGAGTGAAGAACTTTTGGAGGAACCTTCATTTGATATCTCAAATTTAGTGTTTATTTCATTATATTCATTCAGAATTTATGCTACCGCTTAGGCTGGCATAGGAAATTAGTGTACGCCTTCCCCTATCAAACTTTGGCGCTTCAACCTATTTCGGAGGTCCTTGATTTCACTGAATTAGATGCAATGCCAAACCTAATTAAACCTCTCACACTGTAGAGAACTGAAGTTTTCCTGCATCTTTCGTATTTCAGCATAGTTTCCATGCACTTGGGGTGGGAAGTTGTCAACTATATAATTATTTTTCTAGCTATGCTGAGTTTGGCAGGTGTCAAAGTTGTCACTTGTATATGTTACTTTTGTTTGTTCATTTTCCTTCCTACTCTGGCATAGCATAGTCTCCTAACTACTATTACTACTACTTCTATTTCTTTCTTCCATTAGATTTTTATTTTGGTTTGAGTCAAAAGGATCCAAAATCTCGTATGTTAATCTTGCATCATGGTATCCATTCCTGCTATCTTTTCAATCTCACAGTCAGATGCCATGCCACGAGGAGGTGGGGAGAAGGTGGTGCAAACCTAATGCAGTAATACAATGTGTCCCCTTCTATTGTCTCCTATAGCACCTTAAGAAGTTATAGAGTTCAATGTCTTATTGTTGTTCTATTAGTTCAGCTTTTGCTTTTGGGAGGTTGAGGGTTGTTCTGATCGTCACATTTTGGAAGAATATTATCTCAATGTAACTGGTTCTTGATATTTTCATGTCAAATTGCTTTGTTTTAACTTTGATGGTTACTAATGGCCGCTGCAGTTCTGTTACTATCTCTATGTTGGTTGTTTTGATCAGTTGATTCACTTTGTGGCTATCTGCTGAGTAGCTCTATATTGTGTATTAGCTCAAAAAAAATTTTCTCTTAAAGTTCAACAGATCATATTAAGTGATGTTGGCTTTTAGGTGGAACACGCTGTTGAAGTTTACGATGACCAGGAAGGCAGATCCAAAAGGTGGCACTTTTCTTCATACAACTTCACTGTTTCAGTTATTTGGTCCCCTTTTCTAGCTGAAGCTGCCATTTTTGAAGACATCAACGGTGTTTCAACACATGAAGTTGAGCTGCAAATTGACAAACTTGATACGAAATGGAGTGAACAATATCAGGGATTCAATTACATTATGTTCTCTAGCGGTAAATGGTTTTTTAAAAGTACGATCTACTATAAGAACAACAAAATACTGGGCTGCCATTACTGTCCGGGAAAGAACCTGACAGAGCTTGGTTTTGATTTTGCTTATCGCAAAGTCCTCAGGGATTTTTTCAACTTCATTGTGACCTCCAATCACAAGGGGATGATCTTTTATAGGACCTCAACGCCAGATCACTTTGAGAATGGGAGCTGGTTTGACGGAGGGAATTGTAAAAGGACAGAACCAGTAAAGGAAGGAGTGCTTGAGTTAAATGAGATGGTCAAAATTATTCGTGACATCGAATTAACTGCATTTGAGGAGGCAGCAGCTAAAGCCTCTGAAACAGGGGTGAATCTTAGACTTTTTGATGTAAACCCTCTTTCATTATTGAGGCCTGATGGACACCCTGGTGCATATCGACACTTCCACCCATTTGCAAAGGATAAGAATGCAAAAATTGTTAATGACTGTCTGCATTGGTGTTTGCCTGGTCCGATAGATTCCTGGAACGATTTGCTCATGGAAATGGTGGTGAATGGTAAGGATGATTAGCATATCAAATCTGGAAAATTGCTTGCTGAGGAAAATGGAGGACGGAAGGGTGATGGATTGCACACTGTTAATACTAGAGAGTTCAAGATGATACCTTACATGGTTCTTTTCTTTATCTGAGGATTTCATCAGTTTTGGCAATTTCTTAATTTGAATTTTTTCTTCTCATCCGTGGAAAAAAAAAAGTTGATTGAAATCTTCATTTCTTCTTGCCTTCTTGCTGATCATCGTAATTCGTAAATCTCACGTTGAATCCAATGATTATCACAAAGAATAGTTATAACTTCTCATTTATAGTTGTAACTAGTGGTACCCCAATTATAAACACATTCAAATAGTATATAGAGATTTGACTTTTAAAAATTATAATTTAACATTTGAAAGTTATAATTTCTATTATCGATCATACTTTCGTAAGTTGTAACTTACATTTTAAAAATTTATAACTTAATCTTAAAAAAATTATAATTTTAACTATGTAGCATTTATAGTGTATTTTTAGCGGACACGTGTGTTATATAAAGAATGTTTCCTATTTTTCAGGTATGTTTGACAAGTACAGGGGTTACATTAGGTTAGGCGTAATGATAAATTACCAGTGCCGTAATGTTATGCTGATTAAATTTGAAGCCTAAATTATATGACAATATATTATTTGAAGTTTTTATCAGAGTCTAAATGATATGACACCAAATAAAGAAGTCTAAATCAGTTGCCATATTATTTGGACTCTAAATTTAATCCCAAAATTTGGTCAGTGTAGTATTACTATTACTAGTGACTATGGTGATCTAACAGGGTACCGTCTGAAGTTCTTATTTTGAGGTTAAAAGTTCGAGTCATGGAGCCTATATATTGAGGTCGGTGGTTGACCACTCTATTAGACATAATCGGGGACTTTGATCGACATTTATCCCCGCTCCTTTTTTTGATTATAAAAAGAAAACGATAAATTAATAGGAGTGACGTCATAAGCCCTTCCCGGATTGTTGTTTTTTTCCACCATAAATTTACATAGTTTTTATTGTTTTTCGATTGCGAGGAGCCATCTTAGGGCTGGTCGAGTTGGGAAAGTTCATGTCGGAAGTAGAAGGTAGATAACTTAGAGAACTGAAACTAATTTCAATCGATGACGGGACAACTAGATATTTCTTTGTTGGACGGAGGTAAGGATTTCGCCGCCCTCTCTCTCTCTCCCCTGGTTATTGAAACAGGAGTCTTCTAGATCGCATGAGTTTTCTTCTTTATTTTCCTCTCTAAATTTCATTGCATTTTCTAGGTTTTGGCAAGATTAATATCAAGGATTTCTTCTTGATATTTGAAAAAATAACATGGATCTTCATTTTCTTTTGTTACAGTATATCTTATCATATCAAATAATGGAGATTCTGCGTGGTATTTTTTGAAAATGTGTATATACTATTTTATCAAAACTTATAAGATGAGTGTCAAATTGACCTTTTTCTTTCTCGATTTTTTTATTTAATTTGGTTAAAAATTCCCTTGTTTTAATAGCTCTTCTAGCTGTGTGCCTGGAAACATAGTAGTACATTTGGGTGTCCACATTTAGGCTGCCAAATATATTTTTCTCTATTGATCATAGGATAGAATCGCTCGAGTGCTAACAGAGACGACTATAACAAAGAATGATTATAAATTTAGATTATTTAAATTGATGTTTTATTCTCTGACATAAATGAACTGACAGATGAGAGAGAGAGAGAGACAGAGAGGAGAAGGGGGGGGGGGGGGGGGGGGGTAATAGATTGTGTATGCTGAGTTAGACGAGTAAAAATACTCACCAGTGACTTGACTTGCCTAGTACGCACTCTAAGACCCTCAGAAGTCATGGCTACTGATGATTAACATCCTATATTGCAATCCACAGTACTTATTGCACTTAGTCAATGCAAGAACTCCCGGCAAGCAGTAGCACATCACGCAAGTGGCTCTTTTAATATTCCAGGATTCAATGATGCCCTTTTATAATAGCATGATAAGTTTTTAAAACCATATAAATAGTTGCTTCGTCACTACCATTATTATTTTTTTTTGTTGTCACAATCAAAGTAGACCTCTGAAGCGAATCATTTTCATTTTTGAATTATTTTTTTCTATAATATAGTTAGTTTGCAAGTAAATTTGTTGGCCTCTATTGGATTATAAAATTAGGACGTGTTAGCACACCATTATTTTCTTCGAAGAATGTTTTGTTTTTATTCAAATTAGAATGATGATATTTTTTCATTACACATTTGCTCAATTTCACTTAATAATACATTAATCGTCATGTATGAATGACCCATTAATAAATGGTGAATCCACGTATATTAACGATAGACAATCTATTATTAAGTAAAATTTAGTAAAAATATAATAGAGAAGATCTTAATCTTACAATTAAAATTGGGTGGATAATTTTTTTTGCCATTATTTTGGGACAGTGCACTGAACTTGAGAATTAAAATATAGTCTCATTCTCGTTGATTTTTTTATCTTTGCTAAATTGTTATTAAAAGTATTATTATTAAAACTTAAAAATTTAACGTAATGATGTGACAGTAACATGATCCAATTATGATATTGTGACTATAATTTTTAAACATTGTCATCAAAATTTCTTTATTTAACACGTCATTATATAAATAGTTTAGGTCTCAATAACAATACTTTTGTCACTAATATTTGTCACGAATATAATATCCACTCACCGTTAAAATGGCACAATCGAGCTGAGGTCGTTTGTCATTCACATGGTATACTTTTGTCTTTAGTGACTGTAATGACGAAACCACCCTCAATGCTCTGAGTTCCTTATGATCCGTCAAAAACATAGCAGCTATTTTAGCTGGTGGTTATCTTCAAGGCTAACCTCGTAAATTCAGTCACTAACAAAATTCCTATAAACCATCCCTTTCAGTTTCCGACGCCGTATCACTGAGCGTCAAGGCCCGCCGTGCACGGCATGGGTTAGTTTCAACCCCTCCATGATGACCCCGTAGTTTCCACACACACCTCCATTAAAGTTGTCCTTCCCTCTCTTCTTATTTGGTTTTGTTTGCCTGCGTGCATCAACTCTCTCTCTATCTATATATATTTGTGTATATACTGATCATACCGATGGCAGAGTCCCCAAAAAATGACCCTTTTCCGGAGAACCGTCGGGAAGAAGACGCCGGCGCAGTTTTCGTTCTAGAATCAAAAGGTGACGATTCTGCAATCATTCTGGATTTTCATACTTGAATGTCTGATATTATAGTATGTTAAAGATATTTATCGGGAAATTATAACTATAGGTGAATGGTGGCATGCGGGTTTTCATCTGACGACGGCAATAGTTGGGCCGACGATACTGACGCTGCCTTATGCGTTTAGAGGGCTTGGATGGGGAATAGGGTTCTTGTGCTTAACAGTAATGGGTGCAGTCACTTTCTACTCTTACTATCTCATGTCTCTGGTGCTTGAGTACTGTGAGAATTCTGGTCGCCGCCACATACGATTCCGCGAGCTCGCCGCCGACGTTTTAGGTAGGAAATTTCCGACAATTAGAATGTTTTTTTTTTCGACTATCAATCTTCTGTTTCACCATCTCATGTGTGATTGTAGCTTCTTACTTGTATAGTTTGTTCCTTATATCTTAACGTTCATAATTGCTAGTTAATTTTTGTTCAGAAATAAGTTTTTTTTTTGCTGTTTTTGTTATTCAAAACAACGTGAATATAATTAGATTTTAAAAAATTAATAATTATTATAAATCTAAAACAAAAAGCCTACGGGTTAAAACAAAATAATGCATTCTCATAGAAAAAGAGCAGCAATGATCAGAACAAATAAATAAAGAATAAATCCGAGCTCAGTATCCACAGTCTCCTTTTTAAGACAAATTTACTCCTCTCAGAAACTGGAATAGGTTACTAACTGTAATAATGAAACAAATTTGATTAAAGTTTGTGCTTTTGATTTCTCCCAGGGTCTGGCTGGATGTTCTATTTTGTAATATTCATTCAAACTGTCATCAACACTGGAATTGGGATAGGAGCAATTTTGCTTGCAGGAGAATGCCTCCAGGTACAGTTACCTAAATGTCTCTTATGGTACACATGCTTATTGCCACTGGTTGCACGGGAAACGGATATAATTTACCAGTTACATATTATTGAGGAATGTATTGAAGGAAGGTGGATCATAGGGAAATAGGTATATAATATAATCAAGACAATTGTATTTCTTTCCGTTACAGTTTTAATGATTCTGAAAACCATTTTTTCTTATTCCGCTGTACAAGATCATGTACTCCAACCTTTCTCCCAGTGGATCATTGAAATTGTATGACTTCATAGCCATGGTGACAGCAGTTATGATAGTTCTCTCTCAGCTTCCAACGTTCCACTCCCTCAGGCACATCAACCTAGGGTCACTTCTTCTCAGTTTGGGATACACTTTGCTTGTTGTTGGTGCTTGTATTCATGCAGGTAATCCTGTCTTTCAATCTTCATTGTTGCCTACTATTCATGTTTTTTTTTTCACATCCAAGAAATTTTAAACAGCAAATGTAGAGAAATGCAGCCAAATTATAAACCAATGAAAAATGAGTTGTCGATATGGAAGAAAACATGCTTGTCTCCCCTAAAGGGCACTGAAATTGAATAAGTCATGGTCAATTTTAAGTTGTACTCCTGGCCAACCGTGTATCTCTTTGAATCCTGCTATTTCCCATAAGTTTCAATTTAAATTTCTTTTCATTTTCAGCCTAAATTCTACATATCACTTGCCTCCATTTATTCCTCCTGCTCCTAAAACTTGATCACTCACATGTGGGTTAGCTGAGGCACCAAACTTGCTGGATTCCTTAGTAGAGCTGTCCACTCATGAAAACTCCCCAAACTAAGCCTGAACAAAAGGAACACAGAAAGACCAAAGTAAAGGAGGATTAATCCATGTAAAGTGAAACACATTTGCACGACAAGTCACAGTCTAGACTAGGCACACGATTGATTAATTGTAAATGGGATTCAATACTTTGTTGGACAGGCTTGTGAAATTGATGCTGTGGTTAATTCTGTAAACCAGAGTAACTGCTTGAGCGGCAGGAAACTTTTAATTCTCTTATCGTGTTTAGGTTCCTTATCATATTTCCTTTTATTTTCTAATGCCCTTGGCCACTGTAAGCTTCAAGCTCCTTGAAACTTTACTGCATTTCCCATTTGTTGAGCATTTGGATGCGATTTTCTTGGGTAATTCAACTTCACTTCAGTATGCTACTGTGATATATTGTCATCGTTGTAGCAATCTAAACGATTTGAATTTTCTGCAGGTACCTCCAAAAATGCACCTCCAAGAGACTACTCCTTAGAAACTTCAGAGTCATCAAGAATTTTTAGTGCATTCACTTCCATCTCCATAATAGCTGCGATTTTTGGGAATGGAATACTGCCTGAAATACAAGTACGTTCATTTGCTCAATTGCTTCCTTAGTAAATTGGTGTCAACAATAGCTATCATCATTGCCTAACAATGCATAAGAGACGTGAACCCAATACAACGAGTGGAAATTCTGCTCATTGGATGTTCAATTGATAGACTCATGGGACCATTATTTGTGATATGCATATTTTATGATATCAAATGCCCTGTCAATCAATCCAGGCAACTCTGGCTCCACCAGTCACTGGGAAGATGGTGAAAGGCCTTGCAATGTGTTACGCTGTGATTTTCGTTACTTTCTACTCTGCTGCAGTGTCTGGTTACTGGGTTTTTGGCAACCAATCTAATTCAAACATTCTCAAGAGCCTAATGCCAGATGAGGGACCTTCTTTGGCTCCCACATGGGTTTTAAGTCTTGCAATCGTCTTCGTTCTCCTTCAACTATTTGCCATTGGCCTGGTAAGCTCACACATTTGGTCTGTGACATATCTTATTTCCAAATTGTTGTCTGATATACCAAAAGAAAAGTTACTAATCAATATGTTTTTGTCTGAATATGAATTTCGTTTGATCTCCCCTAAAAAATTTATGCCTGTATTTCAGTAATCGTTTGAAATATGGCACAGGTGTATTCTCAAGTAGCTTATGAGATTATGGAAAAGAGATCAGCTGATGTAAACCAAGGGATGTTCTCCAGAAGAAACCTAATTCCAAGGATAATTCTACGGACGCTTTATATGATGTTCTGTGGTTTTTTTGCGGCAATGCTACCATTCTTTGGAGACATCAATGCAGTAGTTGGAGCTGTTGGCTTCATCCCTCTAGATTTTGTCCTCCCAATGCTTCTCTACAACATGACTTATAAGCCCCAAAGATCATCGCTCGCCTATTGGATTAACAACTCTATCATAATCATATTTACAGCTGCAGGACTCTTGGGTTCATTCTCTTCAATAAGGAAGTTGGTTCTTGATGCCAACAAATTCAAGCTCTTCAGCAGTGATGTAGTTGATTGACTTTGTAGATATACTATACCACCAGTCCAAATGTGTAGGACTTGGTTCCCCCTAAGCACATGAAAACCAGAGCCATTGCAATGGTGATCTTGCAGGGGATGCACAAAGGTGCTTATAAATCCAAATTACACGCTTTTACCCTGCCACGTAGTATCATTCAGCTACCGATGACAGCCAGAAAAGAGGCATAAACTTTGGGTAAATGATGCCAAAGATTAGGTCTGTATGGATTATATCCTTCTCAAACCCCCATTAATGGGAACTAAAATGGGTGTTATTGTCATAGATTCCTGTATTTAAAACGTGTTAACAGGAATATAAAGCTGTTGTATAAGACCGGAAGTAACTCGTAATTTCAGTGAGATGAGGTTGTTTAAGTTGATTAGATTGCAATATAATAGTTGTTGGATGTGATCATTGCAATCCAAAGACACTAATGTAACATGAACCAAACACAGGAAAACAAAAAAAAAGTATGCAGCTTGTTAAAAGCCTTTTTAAAAAAATAGTTCTTAGATGAATTAAAACAGTCATCTAAGAAACCACTTGTCTTTTTTTCTTATGAAAGCATGGATCCCGATTTACTCCAGTAGGAATTATCTATATTTTTTTCAATGCTAGATCAGGTATCACAAGTTTAAGTGGTATCTGTTATTGATTTAATGTTTGCCAAAATTGAATAGAATTAAGAGTAAATTATACATATGACCCTCAAATTATGTAGCTCATGTCAATTAAATCCCTAAATTTTTTGTGTTAAGTGAGTGTCTGAACTTACTAATTATAACAATTGAGTCATTATGTTTGCATCTGTTAGATTTACTAAGAGAAAGTGGCCAAATGTGCCACTCAAGTGACACAAATGAATTGCATGGCGACATGTTATGGCAGTGGATGATGGTGTGTGTAAATGGAGAGGAAAAGTGTGAGAGATGTGCTATACATTATGAAGAAAAAGAGGGTATTGATATTTTTTAAAAAAAATAAGATGATACTAGTAATTTTTCAGATGCCAGTAACGGTTGGTTCAGTGTGGATGAAGTAGATATATTAAACTTGTGATAGATGTAAGTAAAAGGGATACAAATTAAGTGTAGAGGCCCCGTATATATAGTCAATGAGAATTACAATAATGATAAAAAGGTAAAAAGGAAAACTTAATAAAACCCTAATAAACTAGTCTGCTGCTATATCTCCAACACTCCCCCTCAAGCTAGGCGCAAAAATGTCAACTAAGTCAAGCTTGACAACAGAGTCCAGAAGAATAGATAGAGTGACAAGTTTGGTAAAAATATCCACAATCTGATCACTGGTCCTCACAAACGATGGAGTGACAATACCACTGCTAACCTTCTCCTGAAGAAAGTGAATATCAATCTCTATATGCTTCGTCCACTCATGTAGTATAGAGTTAGAAGCGAGCTGAATAGCAGATCAATTATCACAATATAATGTGGATGGAGAAGTCACTGAAAATCTCAACTCGCCAAGGATCGATCGTAGCCAGATAATCTCACACGTGCCAAGTGCCAGTGTCCGATACTCTATCTCTACTGACGAGCGGGAGACAACTATCTGCTTCTTGCTCTTCCAAGAGATAAGATGAGTCCCTCAAAAAGCACAGAAGCCCATAGTAGATCGACCATCACATGCTCCCCCATAATCTAAATCTGAATAACATGATAGAGAACCAGTCTGAAATCCTGATGCATAGAACAACCCAAGTCCAGGACAAGACTTGAGGTACCGAAGAATATGATAAACTGCATTAAGATGAAGCTGACACGACCTGTGCATGAATTGACTAACTCGGCTGACTGCGAATGAAATGTCCGACCTAGTGTTGGCTAAGTAGATAATTCTACCTACCAACCTCTGATAAACTGTCGGATCTCTCAACTCCTCACTTCAGCAGTAAGCTTCAAATTTGAAATCATGGGTGATGATGCGGGTTTGCACCCTAGTATCCCAATGTTTGAAAGAAAATCCAGAACATACTTTCTCTGAGAAAAAATAACCTTCCTGCCACTACGGGCAACCTCAATCCCAAGAAAGTATTGCAAAAATCTAAGGTCCTTCACATCGAAGGCCTTCCCAAGGTCTACCTTGACCTGCGCACTCCCAGAAATATCATCACCAGTAATAATAATATCATTAACATATACCAGAAGGATAACACACTGTCCAGAAGTATTCTGTCGAATAAATTAGGTGTGATCGGAATGACATCTGGTGAACCCCAAACATACGACTACATCACTAAAGCGAGAGAACTAGGCTCCTGGTGACTGTTTCAGTCCATAAAGAGACTTACACAGTCGACATACCTTTCTAGCATACTCCCCTTCACCACGAAAGCCTGGTAGTGCATCCATATAAATAATCTCGTCCAGATCACTGCGAAGAAACGCATTCTTCACATCTAACTGATGAAAAAGCCAAGAGTACTCCGCAGCCAGAGAAATAATCAATCGAACAGTAGTCAATTTTACCACGGGGGCAAATGTAGCACCAAAATCACGACCTGGTACCTGAGTAAAACCCTTCGCCACAAGCCTAGTCTTGTAACGATCAATAGTACCATTCGCAATAAACTTCAAGGGTTAAACATAGCAACAACCAACAGGCTTTATTCCTGAAGGTAAAGAGACAAGATCTCATGTATAATTACGCTGAAGAGCGTCCATCTTTGCCTGCTTGGCAAGAACCTACTGGGGCTCTCGCATAGCCTCCGAAACAGAGCGAGGAACTGGTGTATCTGATAAGGCCATACTATAAGCACGAAATGTAGGAGACAAATCACCATAAGAAACATAAGTAGAGATCGGATATAAAATCCTGACGGTCCAACCATAACGATCAACTGGACTGCGATCACGCTGCGGATAACGACGCCCTAAATCATCATCCTCCACTGATAATGTCTCATAAGGTAAAGGAATTGGCTCAACACTTGCAAACTCATCAATACTAACAACAGGTGCATCAATATGCTCAGCAAACTGAGAAGTATTACCTGCATCGCCTGAGGTAGAGGGGACATCAGTAGGGTGATGAGAGCGAGGGCGATGAACATACATCTACAAAGGAAGAGAGACTGGTGACTCTGTACTGACAGGGATGAGTGGCTCCAGAGGAGGAGAGACGAATGACCTTGTAGGGATAGTGAGCAATGACTCTAGCTCTTGTGGTAATGGAAAATCAAAAGAAGTATTATCAACTAAAGGGGCAGACACAAGATTGGAAGGAAAATAAGGAATATGCTTAAAAAATGTAACATCTAGACTGTGATACATACGATGCCTAATAGGATCATAACATCGATACCCCTTAAATTGATGACAATAACCTACAAAAGTACAACGAATCACTTTAACATCAAGTTTATGACGAGTAGGAGACTGATCCTGAACAAAATATGTGCATCCAAAAACACGAGGGGGGACCAAAAAAAGTGTCTGCTTAGAAAATAAGACCTTTAAGGGAGCCTTATGCCGAAGAACACGACTCGGCGTACGATTGCACAAAAAGGTAGAAGTCAAAACAGTAAAATATCAATAAGATTTTGGTACTCTCATGCCTCTAAGCATACACCGTACCATCCCTATCAAACTCCTAATTTTCCTTTTAGCAATGCCATTTTACTCAAAAATATATGGACAAGTGAGTTGCTGAAGAATACCCTGAGAAGAAAGGTGAGACACTAAAGCATCAGACACATATTCTTTGACATTATCCGAACGAAAAACACGAACAATGACATCAATTTGTGTCTTAATCATCTGTAAAAATTGAGTGATTATAGGGAGTACATCAGACTTTTGAAGCAAAAGGTAGACCCAAGTATAACGGGTATGGTCATCTATAAATGTCACATAGTATCGGGCACCTGACAGAACAGTAACGGGAGAGGGTCCCCAAATATCAGAGTGTATTAGGTCAAATGGCTTGGGTGACTAATGCATGCGAGGAATATAACTGGCCCTAACATGTTTCGATATGGAACATATAACACAGTCAAAATTACCACCTACACAAGCATTGCTCAAAGCAGGAAACAACATACATAAATATTTAAAATTTGTATGGCCAAAACGGTCATGCCACAACTGAATAGTTTGTGATGAAAAAATATAACAACAACTAATAGGTAAAATACTAGCATGCAAGCTAGGAACAGAAAAAGACAAAGCAGGTGCAAGTGATGTACGTGGAGGAATTGGTGAAGCTGGAGGTGGATTGCTAAGATAATACAGTCCATCTTTCTCATGTCTCTTGATAATAATCATCATGGTACTCAGGCCCTGCAAATAACATGAATCAGATAAGAATACAACCACACAGTAAAAATCTTTGGCTAACTGATGTACAAATAATAGATTCATGGTCAACTTTGACGCATAAAAAATCGAACGTAATGTAAGGCTATGTAGGAGGTGGACTGTACCCCTACTAACAATAGGGGCATGTGTCTCATATGCTAATTGAACCTGTGTATGTAATTGCTTGTCAAAAGTGGTGAAATGATGGGTCTCACCTGTCATGTGACCATTCGCACCCGAGTCCAACATCCAAAGGGGAGATGAACTGGCACAAGCGTTAAAGACACGAGGTATACCTGTAGTGGTGACAACAGCAGTAGTCGGACTCTGAGAAGTCAGAGCGGATATAAGTATATCTAATCGGAAAGTGATAGCATCCATATCACTCTGCCAAGGAGGAGCAGCAGCAGAAGCAGCGGTAATGGGTGGTGGTACCTTAGCAATATCAACAGTACGGCTGCGAGGAGGCAGCTTAAGCTCTAGATAGAGCTTCCAGAAAGTAGCCCTGAGATGTCCTGGTCGGCCACAATAATCACATTAACGGGAATCCCCCTGTCTACGCTGATCTGGGGCACCCTAACAGTGCTGGTCTGAGCGCTGCCCACCCCTGACTAAGGATCCTAAACGAGACCCTGCAGCAGCTACAAGGGTCATCTGGTCAGCCGAAGTAGTTAAAGTCGCAACTGGAAGTGATGCAATACGGATTCAACGTTCATGCTGCTCAATCATCTCATACACCTCATAAAGAGAAGGAAGTGTCAACATCGACAAGATCTGAGAACAAGGTCCCTCAAACTCATCACGAAGCCCCATAAGGAACTTGTGAATCCTATCCTCCTACTCTCGAGTATGCAAGAATGCTGCTCCCTCGGGCTCTATCTTCAGAATAGCAGCAAGAGGATATAGAGTCTCATACTCAAGCGAGTGCTGGGTCAAATAGCCATAATAATCCTGAACAGTCATATTTCCCTACCGAGCATATGAGAGCTCCTGAGAAAGCTCATAAACACGAACTCTCCATCCTGACTGAGAATACATCTCTGATAATGCACTCCATAGCTTCGAAATAGAGTTATGAAACTGGTGGATCCTACAAACAGATGGCTCTATCGAACCAAATAACCATCCAAGAATGGCACAATTCTTAGAGAACCATGCAGAATATCCAGAGTCGGCATCAACTAGCTTTGGGTGAGATCCCGTCAGCCAACTAAGCTTCCCTATACGGCCTAAGAAAAGCTGGAATGAGCGAGACCACTCAGCGAAGTTATGACCATGCAACAACTGTGCCGTAACTTTCTAAGAGATCATGCCCGGTAGTGCTGGTAATGCAACTGTGCTAGTAGGTACTGTATACTGATCAAACATAAAAGTGGAAGTACCCATAGATGTCTCAACGGTAGAGGTGTCAACAGTAGGGGTCTCAAGTCCTTCAGTAGTAGTCATATCAACAATAATAATAGAGCACCCGTGACAGAAAAAACAACTCCAAGATAAATAGAGGGATAAAATAGGAGAGAACAATATATCTCCAGTCGAACAGTAGCGACAGATAAAGAAGGTCCAGAAAGCTCCCAAATAATCAGGTCACAATGCCCAGAAATCTAATAAATATAAATAAGTGATCTACTGCATCAAGAGTATATCAACGGAGAAAAGGAGTCAACCCCTCTTAAAAAGTCTTATGGTCCCAAATAATCAAGTGCACAAAAACAAAACACAAAACTATGAGTTTAATGAACATTGGGCTGGTTGAAATAAATAAGTGATCTATATATTGTTTGGTATAAATAAGTGAGCAGCCAGTCGGTTACTTGGTTTGGGCATTCGGCTGGTCTATTGTTCGGCTGGATCTTGGTGGCTGGTCTATTTTTCGGTGGTTGGACTAGGTCTATTTTTCGGTGGGATTGGGCAATTTATTGTTTAGGTTTATGAAGTCGGTGGAGGACAAAGTAGTCTTGGTGCAGTGGGTTTGTCGCTAGGTGATTGTCGGTGATAGTGTGTTTGTTGGTGTTATGGGTTTGTCGGTGATGGGTAGATAGTTCGTCGTCCGCTGGGTGCTTGTTGGTGTGGGAAGCCTGCAGCTGGTAGGCCATCGGTGTGGTGTCAGTGGATGGTTGCGATGTTTGGTGGAGGCTAGGAGTAAGATTAGGGTTGGTGGCTCTGATACCAACTTGTGATAGATTTAAATTAAAGAGATACAAATGAAGTGTAGAACCCCCGTATATATAGTCAATAAAAGGTACAATAAGGACAAAAAGATCAAAAGGAAAACTTAATAAAACCCTAATAAACTAGTCTGCTGCTATACCTCCAACAACTATAAAGTGGTGCAGTGAAATTTTAGAAAAAAAGAGGTGTCATTGAAATTAGATCTATCTAGAGATAGTATGCATAAAGTTTACCCCATGAACTATGGGTTGGCACATGGGTGGATTTGATCTGAATCTTCATAATCTTCATATTAATCATCTAAATTTGCCATTTATAGGGACTTAGCTTAAACCCCATTTTTGAATTGCTAGTTAAGAGAGACGACTTTTTGGTTTCAGAAGCTCTGCTGAGAGAGAGAGAGAAAGAGAGAGAGAGGATCCAAGACTCTGGATGGAAAAGAAAATGTTGTTCAATTGGAAGTCATGCTGGTCGTCTCTTCAGAAACACACCTACTTGCTTGTAACATTGGGTTTCTTGATTTTATTGTTGAGTCTTGCTTTTAGACTTTTCTACTCTCAGTCCACTGGCTTTTTGGAGGTTTCACCATCCCCTTTTCTTGGGAAAATCTTGAACCCAATAGCTCCATTTAAAGGTACTCAAATTTGCTAGTTAGCAGCTCTGTTTTTCTATCATATTCTTTCCTCGTAGAGTGTCACAGCACAAGACACTCTACAAGGCCCGTGTATAGACAGCTTAATTTGCATGCTTCGAGATCCACATAGTAGCTTTTTTGAGTATATGCAGAAAAGTATATGCTAAAAAGTTTAGTAAGAGGACGAGACTCCCGCCATTGTGGGTTTGAGGAGGGTTAGATGTAGACTGCCTCTGTTCGAGATTATTTTTTAAGCATCGGATTAATCAAAATTAGAGTGCAAGCTAATGAGAATAAAACCCACATTAATTGGATCCAATGCCATCTTCATTTATTGGGCAGTTCTCTTTCATTTCCTTTATAAGCTGTAAGAATGTAGAGATTTTCTTGTTTTGCAGTGTAGTGTAAGTGTTTCTTGTTACACCATAACCAATGCAGGAAAGTGTGATATTTTTTCTGGGGATTGGATCCCCAACCCGGCTGGCCCAGTTTACACAAATGAGAGCTGCATATTCATTGAATACCATCAGAATTCTATGAAGAGTGGAAGGCCAGATACAGGGTTTCTTTACTGGAGGTGGAACCCACGACATTGCGACCTGCCCCAACTCAATCCAGAAAGATTTCTTGACAAGATGAGGAATAGAACATGGGCGTTGATTGGCGATTCAATATCTCGAAACCATGTCCAGTCATTGCTTTGTGTTCTCTCAAAAGGTAAAATTTGCCATCATTGTTTATTGCAGAAGTGGATGTTTTCTTGGTATAATCTTAAATCAATCATGTCCTTTATTTTGCTTATCCTCTTACAACGGGCATTGGCGCAATAGGTAGGTCGCTCCATTGTACACTAGAGGTCACGGAGCTTACAACTAACCCTCCTTAGACTCCGCAATGGTAAGAGCCTTGTGCATTGAGTATGGCTTTTTATTTTGCTTATTCTCTGCAGCAATGTTGAGGTCACACGTATAGGAGTAAAGCAACTTAAAACAAGCAAAGTGGTTTAGTGATGAAGTGATCTTATTTTAGTTCATTGATTGGATGAAATTTATGAAACTTTGTCTTACTCCTATGGCCATGAAATGTGCAAGCAGAGTCAGCTGTATGGTACCTAGAAGAGTGAAGAACTTTTGGAGGACCCTTCATTTGATATCTCATTTAGTGTTCGTTTCATTCTATTCATTCAAAACTTATTTCATTCTATTCATTATAAGTGATGTTGGCCTTTAGGTGGAACAAGCTTGTTAGAGTATGTGCGGCTCATATTTGCTGTGTGCATAATGGCAAGGAGGCAGATGCCGGAGTGGGCGGAACCCGTGACGGCATCTGCCTTGTGGGATTTATATAAAGGGGACGCTGATTAGTTGGGGGTGCGGGGGCAATGGCCCCGCGGTACGGTACAGAGGTATTTTTGTAAATACATCCATATTATTTATGGATAATAACGGTCTTATGGAAAAGAACGGCCGCTCGCTCTTGTGGATGTAGGCACATTGCCGAACCACGTAAATCTCTATGTGTTATTTTCTCCTGCTTTCTTAATTGTTTGATTTCTTACTATTCACCATAATTACTGCACGATCACAACAAAGCTGTTGCAGCTTACCAAGACAAGGAAGGCAAATCCAAAAGGTGGTACTTTCCTTCCTACAACTTCAGTGTTCACTTATTTGGTCCCCTTTCCTAGCTGAAACTGCCATTTTTGAAGACAACGAGGGTGTTTCAACGCATGAAGCTGAGCTGCAAATTGACAAACTAGATACGAAATGGACTGAACAATATCAGGGATTGGATTACATTGTGTTCTCTATCAATCACTGGTTTTTAAAGGTGCCATTTACTATGAGAACAACAAAATACTGGGCTGCCATTACTGTCCGGGAAAGAACCTGACAGTTTGGTTTTGTTTTTGCTTATCGCAAAGTCCTTAGGGATGTTTTCAACTTCATTGTGACCTCCAATCACAAGGGGATGATCTTTTATAGGACCTCAACGCCACATCACTTTGAGAATGGGGGTTGGCTTGACGGTGGGAATTGTAAGAGGACAGAACCAGTAAATTAGGAGTGTTTGAGTTAAATAAGATGGTGAAAATTATTCGTGATATCGAATTAGAAGAATTTGAGGAGGCAGCAGCTAAAGCCTCCTAAATAGAGGTGAATCTTAACCTTTTTGATGTAAAACCTCTTTTATTATTGAGGCCTGATGGACACCTAGGTCCATATCAACGCTTCCATCCATTTGCAGAGGATAAGAACGCAAAAATTGTTAATGATTGCTTGCATTGGTGTTTGCTTGGTCCGATAGACTCCTGGAACGATTTGCTCATGGAAATGGTGGTGAATGGTAAGGATGATTAGCATATCAAATCTGGAAAATTGCTTGCTGAGGAAAATGGTGGACGGAAGGGTGATGGATTGCACATTGTTAATACTAGAGAGTTCAAGATGATACCTTACATATGATATGTTGTATATGTATGTATAATACAATATCTTGTGTTGCAACTTGCAAGGTACGCTCGTGAACAAATTCAAGCTCAACTCATTTATTTGTTTTCGTAATCAACAGCAAGCTTCCATCCCTTCCTTTCATTTATCTTCTTCTCCCGATTCCCTAATAAGTTTACAAGAAAAATGTGCAAAGAATGATAAGTTGAGGGGTTTTATGACAATTTATTTTCGTAATTAAATAGTGTTGAGCCACCCTTGAATTCGTTGGTCTCTCTTGATTTAAAAATTAGGACACGCAGTACAACGTTGGTTTAGAGGAATATTTTGTTTCTATATTTCAGATTAAAACTGAGTGTATCCACTTTTTTAGTGTTATCACTACATAGTGTTATCATTGGAGTAGTTTTGAGTAATGTTACACAACTCAAATGAGACAATTTTATAATTCAAGTAAAATTCAGGGGAAAAACGCAAGTTAAGTTATTATATATTGGGGGAAAGCTGTCCGGGGTTTAAGCCGAGGCTACCGGGTGAGAGTCCAAAATGATATAGGGTTGACAAGGGCCCAAAAAGTGTGCCCAAAATGATATGGGGTTGACAAGGGCCCAACCCGTTCAAAACTTCACCCGGCAACTAGATCCGACATTGATTGTGACCCCCACCAAGTGCTGACAAAGAATGCCCATGATTTCCCCAATTTTGTTAGCAAAATCTAGTTTATGCTCGCATCGTGCATTTGCAGATCCAGATAATTAATCATTTTAAAATTGAAGGGATTTCTTTGCGGCGATGCTAACTATATTAAAAATGTAATTATAGATTATAGTTAATTAGATTAAGGTCTTTCCTTTGGTGTATAAATTAATTTTAATTCTACGAATTTTTAGTATAAAAAAATCATCCGTGTTTTAAAAAAATTTACATGCGGTCCTTCTGTTGGTGCGAATAATAAAAGGTGGGACAGTTAGTGTATTTTCATTACCCATTTTGCTCTTATCACATGATTTTCAACCTAACGATGTGTTCCTTCTCGACAAAATTGGAATCAAACTTCTTCATATTTTCCTTCTAAATTATTGAATTTGCGTGCTTCTTGAGATACTCTATGATCTAAATCAAAGTATTGTTGCCCACATTTGGTAGTGGAATCACGTTTGGATTAGTTTTAGGAGTTTTTGACTGATTATTATAAGTTTTTGAGCCCCTAAATTTGAAGGTTTGATAATAGATGGTTAGTTTTTAAGATTTTTTTTTTTTTTGCTTCCTGATATTGAAACTAGATCATTTTAAAGTGGAATTAATGATATGTGTTTCAGTGTTTCTGTCTGACAATATTTGTTTTAACATACTTATCTGACGATCTTTGTTTATGAATAAGAAGATACATTATATTTTTTTAATGTACCTGTCTGACGATCTGTATATTTTTTTAGTGTAGCGGTTTGACGATAGAGAAGAAGGTATATTATGATGATGTAATTTTTTAAAATATGTGTTTTAATTAAGCAATGATATTATCATTATTTTTATAATTTTTAAAAGACATTAGTTATATCTATTATTTTGACTTTTCAAATATTCCAAAAGAAAATTAACGAGTAGTTTTTTTTTGAAATCTTATTGGGCTTACGACTGGCCTCTACAAAAGTCTAGAAAAGATAAAACATTGGGAAAACTTTTTCACACTCTATAGAATATCTTATATTCAATGAGACTCCTTGCATATTCTGAAATTTTCCTGACACCCTATTTTAGTGTGTCTCCTAAAAGATATGACATAACTATCTATTTTTTCAATTTACCTCTTATCTTTATCCAAATGTATATAGTAATTGTTGTTATGTACACGTACTTACACATATCTATACATACAAGATTCGTTTGATAGACGTATTATGAGGGGATTAAATATTAAATTATATTATTTTTTATTTAATCGGACCAAATACTTTATTTGATAAGTAAATTTGACACCGTATTAATTTCAAAAACGTATATTTATCGTATCCTTATCGTATATTTTTTATATGTTAGACTTGTATTATGGAGGTATTTTAATACCACCAAAAGAGGTGGTATTATAATCCAACTCAAACGTATAATTTTACACATTTACCATTATAACCCTCTAACTGATAAAATCAAACTGTCATTAATGTAACAAACACTGATTGAGGATATTTTTGTTAATTCAACATTAATACGATAAAATAATTGTTTAACCAAACAACCGATTGGATTAAATAATTAATATCCAATGTTTATGTTGTGTATTACCAAACACTAGATAAAATTATTTATTATTCTAATATCATATTTAATCTTGTCTTTTGTCCTTCTGTATTGTATTAAACCAAATTATTTTACCTAATCTATCTATTTCTAATATGACAACCAAACGAGCCCACAATTTGTAGACTCCTTAAGGCTAAAATTCCTCCTTGCCGTCAACTCCAACTCCTATGCCAGCCACCCTCCTGTCGACTCCCAACTGCTCCGCCACCCTCCCCACCCACTCCCACATCTTCTTCCACCCGTCACTCCCAATCACTCTCCACCCATCACACAACTTTTCTCTCTTAATATTGCACTTCCAATTTGGATGAATTGGAGTCCACCAATTTTCAATTTTAACCCTTAATCCATATTTTTGGGTGTAAAGTTTGAGAGATTCATTGGAATGGGTTTATAGCTTCAGGTTTGTATGTAAATTTGCTTTCTTCATTTGCCTCTTGGAGGCGATCCAAGATGTCTCTAATTGAATTAGTTTATTTTTTTCGTCTACTCTACCTATTCTAAGAATGCACCAGGGCTTTGGTCAAAGTGGAAGCTATTTCATGATACTTCAGTATCCTCTAATGTTTTTCAGTATCCTCTAATGCTTTGACAAATTGACTTCTCTCGTAACTCACATTTCTATGAGAAACAAAATCTGAGCTCTAAGTACTTGGGATCATATGGGTACATCTTGGAGACCATCGTGAAGCTCATATGGAAAACAAAATTTACTGTATGCTTTGGGTTAAACCTCTCTAACTTTAAGTACCTTAATTGTGAAATACATGTCTAAATTTCACCCTTATAAACCACCCAATTGGTTTATAAGCGCCACTATAGCGTTTAGCAAATGTCACTATAATTTTTGTAACGTTTATTTATACGTCGATAATTTTTCTGATGAAGGTTTCGACGACACTAATAACAAATGACAATAATAATATTTTGTAGCGTTTATTTACATTTTAGCTACGTTTATTAAAAGCCGATAAAAGTCTTTTTTCTTGCAGTGCAACAAACAATTACAATACAATATGAGATGCCTTTGGATCACCAAAAAACCAACATTTGTTGACAACTGAATCTATGTTGGACCTTTTTCAACAAGTTCTCCTTGTTTAGAGAAATCGAATAACGCATATTTATCCCGAATATCATTTTCATGAGGTTACAGGTGTTTGCCTCCTTATCTATGTTCCATTTTATTAATTTCCGTCCTGTGTTATATGTGTCTGCTGCCCTTTCAATTAATTATCTATAGCCTTTTTTGATAGACTTATGATTTATTAGAAAACATGATATTTGATTAGAGTACAATGATGAAACACAATTTATATAGCCAATCCCAAAAATATTGGATCAAGGTTAAGTTAAGTTGAGTTGGGCTGAGTTGTTTGATAGTCTATTTGATTAGACAATAATGTAAGATAATTCGTACAACCGATCTAAAAAATATTAGGTCAAGACTAAGTTGAGTTGAGTTTAGTTTTTTGATAGTCTTATTAGTTCATTGGTACTAGAGGACTGCACTTCGCGTTTGGCCACAACAATCAAAATCAGTGACGCCAGATGATTTAAGTGTGTGATGCATATCAACAGATAGAATCAAAGCACACGGGAAGTCGGAAGTATCGTCCTTAATAACTGAAGAAAGATGTCTAGACAAAACTTTGACCAGATTAAAAAAAATTCATTGAGGATCTAAATTTCATTTTGATTCCATGGAAACAATCGATACGTTTATGAAGGGATACCTTGTATCGATGGATTAGCAAATTTGGGAGTGTAGCATTCTGAATTCTGAAAGTTTTGTAGAGTTGCAAATTCCTCCAGCAGAAATTATTAGGTGCTTACTAATCTATTTTGATGGCCGCACGTTTACTATTCAGAAGAAAAATGATGGAAATTTAGATTTGCAATGACAAAAGATATCTGCATTTGCTATGTCATTTGTGATTTTTGTGACAAAGTTATAGTAATATAAACTAGTACATACTGCTCCTTTTACGTACTAAGAACTGTTTGTTTTTTGTTTTTCATGTTACCACGAATTTGCTAAGAACTGTTTGTCTGAACAATATTCCCACGAAATGCCAGCTGACTTCTAATGAGTTAGTCGCTAGGGGGTTGTTCATATCAAAGTTGAGAAGATATGTTTTGAGTTCCAAGGCTAGATTTGTGGCTGTTCAAACGATACCTACTTTCGAACTGCAAAATTTGAAATATATGAAGTTTGGACCACCCTGCCTAAACATATATACACACAAGAGCCAAAATTGTTTATCTCGAGCATTGACAGGAAATATGAACGAACTATAAATTTAAACGTTTTAAATTTCAATCTTAATAATTTCATTGGCGTCAGACTATGAAAGATTTATATTTCGTTAATACCCTAATCTCGACGTAGATAATTTGTTTTTGATCAAATCAAAAAAAAATAAATCAAAAAAACGTAAACTAATTCAAACATTTTTGACCGTTAAACCAAAAAAAAAAAAAACTATTTATCTCCTGCACAATATTCGATTGAACGAAATTACCACATGTGAACACCATAATTTCCCAAACCGACTACGACTGTTCAACTTCTGACCCTCTCTGGTTAGGAAGTCATCAAATCCTTATTAAACATTGGGTCCATAAAAATTTGGTAGTCTGAACCACCCTAAAACAGTCTTTTTTTAATCAGCACTTACACCCCACGTCACTTTTTTTTTTAATCAATCGTAATCACATGATTAGTCTCCATATAAAATTTTGTATATGTCAAAACAAGTCCATATCAAACTTTAAATCTAACCTATAATAGCAGTCTCATCCAAAATTCCAGATTGTTTGATTAATTAATTTATACTTTTCCCATTTCATTCTACAAAGTATGCTGTTGAAAAGATATGACTTGATTGATTTTTCCCCACCATTATGGGACCTCCACATGTATTACACCATGAAATATTCATTACAATAATAATATATTATCATTATTATCGATATATGGGATCTCTACCTAATAATAAACTAAGCATAGATGAATAAACTTCATCTAGTTAAGTAATTACCACTCTTACATAATTTAATAAAATAATAATTAATAACAATGTTGTAGAAATATAATTTGGGGATCTAATCAACGACTTAATTTAATACAGTCATAGAATTAGTGGTAAGTTCTAATGTTAAATGAAGTTTATTTTCAATCCAAAGGTTGCGTTGAATTAATTCCACAGATTTGGTCCAAATAATATTTTTCAATATTTAATGCATAGGTGTGGTTTACTTTTCCCATGAATTATTATTTTTTTTATTGAGTGTGTAAATTTGTATCGATTATTCTTTCAAACTCAACGACTGACTGATCATCATAGTTTGAATTGGAATAGAATATGACCTTAAAAGGTCAAGAGTGGCTAATTACGTAAAATCGTTAATGAATATTTACTTGTACTACATGATTAATTAGAAGTTCTTAATGTATACTTCACAAATCCTAGAAACTTGTCAAAGGGTTTTTCTTAACTTATGTTAACTAGTCTACTAACGTAACAGGTTTAAGACCAAGTATCTCTTATTAAATGCAGGGTTTACCTTTTGAAACTCAACTCACGAATAGATACAAATTTATGGTCCATATAAGGAGGTCGTGAAGGTGTATACCTACGCCCTTTTGGTCATAATTATCCCCTTTGAATCTCACCCACCTTTCGAAAAGCAAAGAAACTCCAACCCCCCCTCCTTCTACTCTCTCTCTCTGTATAATATCTTGAACCAGCAAAAAATGGAGAAAATTCAAGGACAGAAAGAAAAGCAATCAGATATGGCGGCCAAGCCTGTTGTATGGGATTGTGGTAGTTCACTTTATGACTCCTTCGAGCTCAAAACCTTTGAACGCCAACTAGACTCGGCCATATCTTCAAGAACCTTATCGATGCCCCATTTGTCCGATCGACGAGCTCGTCCGCCGCCTCCGCCCCTTCAAACCTCCGCCAAAAAGTCTTCAAAGATTTCTCGAACTCTCCACAAGCTCCTCCGATCTGTTTTCAGGCCAAAACAAAACAGTTCTTCGCTGTTTGGAGTGCAAGATCACTCTCAAGATGGAATATTTTATGATGTTTATGATACGTCCGGCGTACTTTCCACAATTCCAGAGGTTCCGGAGACTGCCGGAGATTATGACTTTTCGCCGGAAATTACGTCCTTGGTGAGAAGAACAACCTCTGACCGGTTCAAGCCCACTTCCATCGGTATTTCATGTGCTTGATGGACTTTAGAAAGCTTATATGTGATTGTATAATCATGTATTGTACAGTGTGTGATATGTAGCCTTAATATTTTAAGTTTTAGAATGTTAGTATTTCAATAAAGTTTGCTTAGTAGTTGTGAAACTTTGACGTTATCATTGTCTCAATTATGCATGTTGATTAGCTCAAAAAAAATTGTTTAATATGGTATGGAGCAAATTAAGATTTTGGATGTATTTGGAAACTTTTAATCTACGTCGCTCAACGATCGATAAATCACTTGGAAACATAAAATAAATTTTACTTGAATTCTTAAAAAATTGACCAAATCACTAAATAAAATTAAAATTATGCATTGAAGGGGATCTAAATCCCTTCTTCTTTGCCAGAAACATGCCTCTTTTAAAGAGCCTTTTAGTGGAAGAAGGTTGTTTTGATCATGGAGTTTCATTTTTAGCTATCTTCTATAGGTTGAACATTACAGTATTAAATAGGTCGGATTGAGTCATCAGCTCCCCCAAAAGGGAGAGACACATCGGTGGGGTGAATTCAATTTGACCCCAAATGGTTTTTTTTTTTTGGGTAATGGGAAAAACTCTTATCTGCCCCTAACAAATAAAGGTGTGCTTATGTTGCTCAGACTAATGAGTTGGAGTTATATTGATGGTAAACTCCAGATACTAGAATTAGTTTTTCAATTCATACAGCAGTTAAATCAAAACTTGCACTTTGGTGAGAATTTGAACTCAAAGCAGAGACTTAGATAAGATTTGTAAAAATAATTGAGAATCCACTTCAGATAATCATACCTCTACTAGACAGCGTGTGGAATGGCCAAGAGCAAACTTTTTTGGATATATAATCCAAGTCAAGAGTAGAGTTAGCTGTGGGAATCGAGCATTACTGGCAGTAAAAGCACTCAAGCTTTTATCGCCCAAAAGAAACTTGAACTTTTGTACAAGACAAAGAGTATCATTACGTCAAAGACTCGTTTATAAGATCATATGTTAATTTTGGTTCAACCAAACATCTTTGATTTTGTTTTGTTGAAAAACATCCAATTATGCATTTTTAAACTTGTAAATGCTCCGTACATTCAGATTATATATAATATTTTATAAATCACATATATCAAGTCAATTAAAATTAACTATTAAAATTCTATCATCTGATAACTTAATATTTTCTTGGTAAATATTAGCTATTACTTAACTTATTGTTAAACTATCGTGTAGCTGTTAAAAAGGTGAAGAAGATGTCAAACTTGAAGGCAACACTTTAGCCCTAATTGTGGCATGTCGGTTATTGTAGCTGGCCAAAGTATATCACTAATAAACATATCTAGGATTTTTTGTCATTTCGTTTGTGCCAAAAAGGAAGAAAATATTCTTTGTGGAAGAATATTTATGAAGGAGCACGGTCATCTGAGAGTGAGGGACGATGTGTAAATATCGATCCGTACAAATGTCAGCCACTCCATTGGTGCAAAATGACAAGATCGACAGCCATTGATGATGTTGCCCGCCACTGGTTCTAGTTAATCTTGTTATCAATAAGGTTAACTGCCCCAAGTTCTCCATGAGTTTGTCTCATTTTAATTTTTAATATTTTAATTATATTTTTAATCTTTAAAGTGTTAAATATGTTATTATATAGTTTCTTAAACTGATAATATTTAAATTGCTAATAATTTTTTATTATAAATTTATCACGTAATATTTAAATATAGATCAAAAATAATTTTGATAGCTCTTAAATAAAATTTGGATAACTCTTGACAAAAATTATGTAATATAGGTAACATTTGATCAAAATTAGAATAGCTCAAGTTCAAAATTGTTTAATTTGGATAGATATTTAACCAAAATTTGAGTAAAAATTTGGTTAAAAGTTATTTAAATTATTTTTTTGTTTATATTTAAGTATTATGTGACAAGATCATAATAAAAAATTATTAGCAATCTGAACGATATCTATTTGAGGGACCATATAAAAACAAATTCAATAGTTTAGGGACCAAAATGATACAATTAAAATATTAAGAACCAAAATAAGATAAACCTCATACTTTGAAGACCTCTCGTGCAATTAACTTTATCATTTATCTTGTTAGTTTGATTTGAATTCTAATCGAACAGTAGGGACAAATATGAAATTTAGTCATATCATTTATTGATTCGGCTTAATTGTATTAGTTGTCCTCAAAAAATAAAATTTATTTTATTTTGGTTCCTAATATTTTAATTACATCATTATATATAGTCCATAAAATATTGAATATGTTTTTATGTGATCATTTAAATAACCAATATCAAAATTTTTAACGATTTTTAATCATAAACTTATCACTTGATACTTAAATATGAGCAAAAAATAATTTGAGTAGCTCTTGACCAAAATTGAAGCAACTCTTGACAAAAAATGTGTAATATAGACATTCTTGATCAAAATTTGGATAGCTCATGATCAAAATTGCGTAATTTTTGGTAGTTTTTTTTTATCAAAATTTGGTCAATAATTATTCAAATTATGTTTTTATCCATATTTATGTAATACGTGACAAAATTAAAATCAAAAATCATTAGCAATCTAGAAGATGTCTTCTTGAGGAACTATATAGAAATATATTCAATATTTTATGAATTAAAATGATGCAATTGAAATATAAAGAATGAAAAAAAAATAAACACCATATTTTAGGAATCTATAGTACAATTAACCTTGTCAATTTCAATTGAGAAGGGATTCTTCTTAAAACACACTTATGACTTTAAAACAAAAAAACATTTGGGTTATTTTTGAAATATCAAGCAAGATCTATATTATTCTCTCAGAACTCACTAAAGCATCTCTAACCATGACTCAAATTTTTACTCAAATTTAAGTTAATATTTGAGTAAAAAGTTTAATTTGATACAAAGAGTTCTAATGGACAAACTCAAATTTAAAGAAGGAGAAACTTAAATTTAAATGGGGGCAAACTCAAAATTAAATGAGAGTAAAGATGATCATTGAATCTTTAAAAGAGAATGAAATTTCACCATTAAAGATTTGGGTAAGGATTTGAGTTTCCCTTAATTTGAGTAAAAAAAAAGAGTCTCACTTGATTTGGTATAAGTTTGAGTAAGGGTTGAAGCAAATTTTTTATATTTTTTTACTCAAATTTAAATTTGAGTCTAAAGTTGAGTCAGTGAGAACATCTTCAACTATAATTCAAATTTTTATTTAAATTTAAATTAACATTTGAGTAAAAAACTTGATTTGATATAAAGAATTTCAATGGACAAACTTAAATTTAAAAAAGTAGAGACTCAAATTTAAATGAGAGCAAACCCAAATTTAAAAGGAAGTAAGGATGACCATTGGATCTTTAAAAGATAATAAAATATCACCATTAATTATTTGAGTTAGGGGTGCAACTTGGGCGGGTTGGACAATCAACCCTAATCCAACCCTAAGTATATAATCTTCAATTCTAACCCTAATCTTAACCATACCTCGGGTTGAGGAATTCAACTCAAGCACTGCCCGAGTTTAATATGGGTGGGTTCGGGTTGAATTCTGGTTAATGATTTTGGGTTGATTTCAGGTTACTTTATGGGTTCAATTTGGGTAGAGCCCAAAATGGGCTTGTTATTCTAAACCTAATACATATATTACATAATATTCACCTAAATTAACAACAAATAACTTTAACCAAGTTTTTAACGAGAGAGGCTGAGAGAACATGAGAGGCAAATAGAACGATAGAATAAAAATGAAAAATCAGTGCTAACGTTTTATATATATATAAATTTTCTTTTAATTTGTCGGGTTCAGGTTGAACTCAGATTCACGAGACCTTAATTCGAGTCCAATCCAAATTAAATTCGGGTTGGAGTTTTTTGACCCAAGTCCAACCTAAATATTAAAAACCATTACCTAAGCCTTAATTTTTTTGGGTTGGGCTCAGGTTGCCCGACCTAAGTTGCACCTCTAATTTGAGTAAAAATTTGAGTATCTCTTAATTTGAGTTAAAAAATGAGTTTTTTTTAATTTGATATAAATTTGAGTTAAGAGTTGAAATAAATTTTTCAAATTTTTTTACTCAAATTTAAATTTAAGTCTAAATTTAAGGAAATGGTAGGAATGTGCTTAGAAATGCCCTTAGATTCACATGTAACTTTCGGTTTCCCTCTTTGCGGGGAAAAAGAACAGAATTCCAGTTGAAAGCGATGGGCTACCAATTGGAATCAAGCCCCCATAATCCATATATCCATGAACCATCATATGGTCTATTGAAGGGATTCGTATTGCATTCTGCCATGGACCACCAAGCCTGACACTCATTTATGAGGTTAGTTGCTATTTTCGAAAGCGGGATGCTTTGACATAAATTTTGATTTGATTAATCTACTTTTCGATTTGATCAAAAATAAATTATTTATGCCGAGATTAGGGTATTTATAAAGGATAAATCGCTTATGACTTGGTCCCAAGGAGTTGCTAAGATTCAAATTCAAAACGTCTGAATTTATAGCTCGTTTTTGTTATCACTTGAACCATTCTTTGAATTGTAAAATATATTTTGATGATATCTCAAACATGCCCTAGTTGTGAGCTCAGGTCAAGAGGTCGGGTCAGGAGGTCAGGAAAGACACGAGAAACTCAGAGAACCAGGGGTGGAGCTCCTTTTGGGGAGATCGTAGCTGAACCGATCAGGAAATAGTTGGATGACTGCAGAAATTGGGCCTCAAGCATGAAACTCTCAACCAACCAAGATTTTCTCCTAAAATCAAGGAGGATTCCATAAAGGGCAAAAATCTCGGCCGAAATCCCACGGAATAGGAAATAGCCTTATAAATACTATGCAACACCTCATCGAAGAAAAAAAAATTCTAATCAGATTGTGCACTGTCATGTATTACATTCAACTAATCAATAGAGAAAAAAAAAGAGCAAGAGTCTCTATTGAAGAGTGGATTAGCCGAGCTCTTGAACCGGTGAACCACTATATTTTTACTATGTACACCCCTTTAATCCCCTCAGTATTTCACTGCAGCATCACACACGAGTCTTGTAGCTCTGATCCACGCTCATCACACGTCACCTACACCTTTTATTCATCCACGTTGATTTACACTATCATATTTAAAATATGTATGTATTCCCTTGTGTGTACTCATAAAAAAAAATAAAAAATGAATCTCATATTAGATTTGGTAAGAGATTCAGGTTGATTGATCGATAAATTCTCGTCAATTCCTCAAAAAGTTAAATTATTTTGGAAGTGGTGTTTAGATTTGAGTTTGTTAGTGTTCTTGGTATCGTGCAACTGCAGTATTATGTCCTCTTGTGTGCGTTCATAAGCCGAAATAAAAAGGTCATTCACTGACGTGTAAACACTTATACATAGTGATTCAATTTTAATTCAGCCAGTAACGTCCGCTAAATGTTTTTCATAGAGGGATAGGGATAAATTAGCATTACTGATACTTTAAGATAGGCTTAGAAATAGGAACAATTGCAGCCACAAGACTCATCCTCAATATATTCTTCAATTTGAGGCATGCAATTCAACCTTGAAAATGAATGGTCCATGGAATTTTGTATATAAACAAGTGTCCAGGTTCATGTCTGGGCCCCTTGAATTCTTCTTTGCTTGAGCCTACTAAACAACAAGCTTTCGATTGATACGTCAATTTGCAAAATCAAATCTGCCATTGTCGTCTAAATATTAAATGCCTACAGTAACACTGGTATAATAAATATCCATCTATTTTTATTACCTAATTTATGAGGGGTCAGTTCTTGTTTGCCTTCGTTTTGCAGGCAGCCGATGAACCATTTCTGCCAAGAGGACGGACCCTTCTGACACCATAGGAGCCACCAGGGTGCGGGTAGGTGTATTCATAAATGGGAAGGCTCTATTTTTCACTGTTTGCAATTAATCAATTGCTCAGATGCATTCAAGTTCATTTTTAAAATTTAAAATGCCAATGAGGCAGTAAATATACCCAATTCTACAATGGGATGACCATCTGAATTTGGGGAGAGGGTGACAATCTACCAATTTATTTTTTTGGAGTCACTATTTAAAATTTTTACCAGTGAATGGTTGGTGAAGTTCGAACCCACAAATTATTGGTTTAACGGCGAATTGAGGATGTATTAGGCCACCTTTGATTCTCATAATTTACCATCAATCAGTTAGTGCTAGAATATGTCAATTTGGCGAACAGTTATATAGCACTAATCAGTTTTAGAAGAAATAAGTGGAAAGTGAGTAAATTGCTCTCTCTCTCTCTGTGTGTACGCGTATGCGACAGTACGATTCAATTTCAAGTCAAGTCTAGAGAATAATGACTTTAAGACGTAGGTCAACCTTATTGTGGCCTCTACGTGTATGCGACGGTGCAATTTAACTCCAAATTAGACCTGAAGAATAATGATTTTTAGAACGTAAGTCGACATAATTTTGCACTAAATCAACGAAAGCTTTAAAAATTTCATTATACAGCTCAAGAAAACTTTGAAAATTAATTTGAATAGTTGAAAATGAAGAGCCAATGACATGCATCACGAGCAAAAGCGGGTTGGCTCAAGGCTAAATATGTTTCCCACCTTGCCCATGCCCATAGATGAAATGTTCAAGTCTCACAAAAGAATACCAAGCTTGCCCATAGATGAATACGGATTGGTCAGTACTAATTCTGAGAGCAAATGCTATCTTAAACGAATATGGATGTGTTTGTTTTAGGTAATTAGGAGAGGGGGATTGAAAAAAAATAATGATGGATTCATTTTATTCTTCTTATAATTATGTTTGGATATATATTTTAGACCTGTTATTATCACTTAAAAGTAATACTGACTCGAATGAATACTGTATTTATTACCACATATAGCCTCTTAAATAAAAGAGCTTATTATTTAATAACCGAGAGAAACATGCAACTAGGGATAAAAATTGGGTAGAGTAGAACTTTTTTTAGTATTCAAAATCTCAAAACTCTTTGGGTTATTAAAATAAATGAATGAGCTATGATAACCACCCTGCATCCATTGGCTTTACAAAAAAAGGGTAGGGTATTAAAAATGGAAGTCTTGTGTACAAATAGGACACTAGGCATTGACAATGCAAAACCTTGGCATATGAGACTGTGTTTCGAATTATGTCTGGGCATTTGGCCCGCTATAGACGGGCTGGTCTGCAAGCTCAACTGTCCCATGGGTCGTGAGTCGAAGTAACTGGTCCAATAGCCCTATAGCTAAGGCTGTCGACACTTTGGTTCAGTAATAGATGCGGCCTAGACCTCGAGCGGGCGGGGACCGATGGATGACGGGTCGGGCTACGAACCGTGCTGCTGACACTTGACACGAGATGTTGGAAGCTTCTGTCTTTGGCAAAAATTCATCTAATAGGCCGAATGTCAGACTTGCTCGCAGATGTTTTTTGCTAGTTATTGAAAATATGATTCAGCATATTTTCCTAAAAATGAGAAATTTTATCTGGAATTGTTTTAGGAATTTAATTTGAATATTTAATGCACTGTTAGCAATTGAGAGTCGATTTTAATAATAGATTTATTTCAAGTTAACATTAAAATATAACTTTTTTCCCTTGATAAACATAAAATCATACATTTATATTAATTACATCGTATTTGATAAATAAAATTATCAAAAGTTGATACATTTGACATGTAAAAAGATAACAAAAAAATTAATTACAACTCTTACCAAATATGTGAGGCTATTACACCTATTTATAATTGACATTGACATGCTGTTATATTTTATATCAAAATTGCATAGTTATTAAATAAGAATTCTAGAAATAAGCATAATAATATTTTTAAAATCCAATTGAAACAAGTCAATCACCAATCTTAGAAAATTATAAAATCAATTGTAGGCTAATTATAAATAATTTTACTTAATTTCAAATTATGAATTAAAACTAAAAGAACCCACAAATATACAAATCAATGCCAATTTCAAGGGTAGGCACAACTTATTATATCTAAAAATATAATTAAAAAGAAAACTAAGGGTGAACACGTAATCAAAAAAAAACCAACAAATAAATAAATTGAAGCAAATTTCAAGTGTAGCCACAAATTTTTTTATTTTTGTAGCCAAATATAAATTGAGATCAAAGAGAAAGAAATATAAAAATATAATCGAGCATCAATTTATTATATCTGAAAATATAGTTAAATTATATATCTATAATTATGGGAAAAAAATTGAGAGTTGGCACCGCCCCTATATAAATCCGCCACTATGCTTAAAATGGTGAGTCATAACTGATAACAAAGTACTGTGTATTTTGTACAGACATCCACAACAATGTTAATATTCAAGACAAATCACAACCGAACAAACAAAACAAATCCTGATGTCATCCTCAATAATATTTAGAGCAAATTATGTATTTGGACTTCAAATTAAGACCTTTGTGTCAATTAAGGTCATAAATTTTTTTTGGAATCAATTAAGCCCCGAAACTATGTAATTGTTTCAATCAAGCCCTTCTATTAGAATTTAAGGGTATGGATTGTGTTGGTCACGTGCATTTTTTAAGGCTGTTTTATGCAACTCTTATTAAAGACAAGAGCAAATTATGTATTTAACCCTCAAACTATGATTCTTATATCAATTAAACCCCTGAACATTATAGATGGTTGACCTTTTGCCTATGAATCTTGAAGAGCAACTTTCAAACCAAAAACCTAATCCACCATATAAAGCTTGTGAGTTTCTATTGTTCGTACAATTTAGGTCATCAACAACTCATCAATGGAGTGTTTAATATATGATGCAAATGATGTCCTTCATTCGGATTAGATGTACCATAAATGTTCTATTTAATTTAGGTTTTGCATTTTTGTATACTTGAACACATACACCATTGATAAGTTGTTGCATTTTGTGGTCTAAGAGTTGCTATTCAAGATTCACAAACGAAAGACCAATCATCTATAATATTCAAGAACTTAATTAACACAAGAATTATCGTTTAAGTGCGAAATATGTAATTTATTCATGCCTTTAATGAGAGTTGCCTAAAAACACCCCCCGAAGAAGGCACGTGACCAGCGCACTTCACACCCTTCCGATAAAAACTATAATATAAGGGCTTAATTGAAACAATTAGATAGTTTAGGAGCTTAGTTGACTAAAAAAAAAGTTTAAGAACTTAATTGACATAAAGTCATAATTTCAAGATCAAATACATAATTTACTCATGATAATTAGATTATGGTTAATCTTAACTTGCACCCTGAAAGATCACACGAATTTCAATATATATTCTCAAGTTTAAAAATATTAATTTACACCATGAAAGATATAAATACGTATCAATATGCATCTGAGATTAACTACAATCTATTTTGTCATTAAAAAAATTTAGGTTAATTATAAATTATACCCCTCAAAATTTAAATATTTCACATTTATTATACAAAAAGAATTTCATTCATTAATGCTTGTTAAATAGTTCTCAATTGTACTGTGTTATAACATTTTTATGTAGTGTTCGAATCAATAAAAAAATATTTTTTAACACAAAAAATATTTTCATGTCGAGTCAATTGCTTTGTGTCATATATTTTACATTTACGACAATTCATATAATATTTTTTAAAAAATAAAAAATATATATTTTTTGTCTATAATACTCGTTAAATAACTATTTTTTGTCTACAGTTGTATTATTCATATCTAACTTTAATTTGATCGGGCGATCAAAAGATTTGTGTTTATCTGTAGATAAAAAAATAGGTATTTTATAAAAATTTTAAAAATTTTAAAAAATATTTTTTTATTGACTGAAACACGATACGAAAATGTTATGATATGATATAGTTAAGAGCTATTTAAAGAGTACTAATGGATGAAATTTTTTAAAATTATAAATATGAAATATTTAAATTTTAAAAAATATAATTTATAATTAATTCAAACTTTTTTAACTGCAAAATAAAGGAAGTTGGCCCAAATATACATCGATGTGATTTTATAATTTTTGGAGTATAAATTAATTATTAAAAATGCAAGTTAGAGATTAGCCCTTTAGGTTAAATGCGCACCTTTTTGTAGGCTGCAGCCTTCAATAATGAAGCAAGCATTCGACAAAGCAACAAACCACAAACTTGACAATGGAAGCTACGCAAAAAGCACCTCACATAGCCATATTACCCACTCCAGGGATAGGTCACCTCATCCCACTCACTGAGTTCGCCAAGCGACTCCTTCTCCACCACCACTTCCGAGTCACCTTCATCATCCCCACCACCGATGATTCTTCTCTGAAAGCCCACAAAGCCATCCTCGAACCTCTGCCGGAAAACATAACCTCTCTCTATCTTCCTCCGGTGAGTTTGAATGATCTTCCTAAGGAGGCCAAGTTGGAAAAACGAATCGCCCTCAGCGTGACTCGGTCACTCCCGGCTGTCCGACAGACATTGAAGACGTTAACCGAGTCAACTCGTCTCTCAGCTTTTGTGGTTGATATGTTTTGTGCGGACGCCATTGACGTGGCTCAAGAATTCGGTGTTCCTGGGTACGTTTTCTACACTTCATCCGCCATGGCTTTGTCCTATATCTTCTATTTGCCCAAACTTGATGAAACTTGTAGCTGTGAGTATAGAGATTTACCTGAACCGGTCAAAATACCCGGGTGTGTACCGGTTCATGGGAAAGACCTCCCTGACCCGGTTCAGGATAGAGACAATGAAGTCTACAAACTTTCTCTTCACCGTTGGAAACGGTACAATTTTGCGGATGGGATTCTGGTTAATAGTTTCTCGGAATTAGAACCGGGTGCTTTTAAGGCTTTGAAGGAGGATAGCTTGTGCACTTCTCCGGTTTATTCTCTTGGACCGTTGATTCAGACCGGTTTAACCAGTGGTAGTGAGGGGATACAGTGTTTGAGGTGGTTGGATGAGCAGCCACGTGGCTCTGTGTTGTTTGTCTCATTCGGCAGTGGTGGGACCCTATCACACAATCAGCTAATTGAGTTGGCATTGGGTTTAGAGATGAGTCAACAAAGGTTTCTTTGGGTCGTTCGAAGCCCAGATAATAGTGCATATGGTACATACTTTAATGCACAAAGTCCTGATGACCCTTCTGAGTACTTGCCCAATGGTTTCCTGGAGAGGACAAAAGACATGGGCCTTGTTGTGCCCTCATGGGCCCCTCAGATGAAAATATTGGGCCATAGCTCGACTGGCGGGTTCTTGACTCATTGTGGTTGGAACTCGATATTAGAGAGCATGATTCAGGGCGTGCCATTAATTGCATGGCCACTATTTGCTGAGCAAAGGATGAACGCCACGATGCTAACCGATGATTTAATGGTGGGATTGAGAGTGGAACCAAATAAAAATGGTGTGGTGGAGCGACACGAAATTGGAAAATATGTGAGGAGTTTGATTGGTGGAGAAGAAGGGAAACAACTTAGAAACAGAATGAACAATTTGAAAGAGGCTGCAGCCAAGGTTATGGGCCAGGAAGGGTCGTCTACGAAGTCCCTTGCTAAGCTGGCCCAGAAATGGGAAGCAATCAAAAGCCCAACAGACAAACCACCAATGTAGTCGCTTTTTTCCTTGCATTTTATAAGCTTTGCCTATCTTGTTCTGTTATTGCCAATGGCCATTTTCGGTTTAGCTCATTTTAATGACAAGTTTTGTTCACTTTTATAAGAGAAAGTTTATTCAAATTTTGAAACTAAGAATAAATCAAATTCAAGTCCAGTCCAATTATGTGTTGTTTTAATTGCTATTGATTGGTCCGTGTCGAGCACTAGTCAACCCCAACTCAATTCATTCAATTAATCGTATCGTGTCGATCCAACCTGTTTATTATCGTATTATCTTCGTGTTGACCCATATAACCAGTGAATAAAAAATTTAACACAAAAATTTAAGTCTAAGATTTCATTATCACTTAATGGAACCCATACTCATATTCTTTCTATATACTAAAAATTAATATAATAATGAAAATGAGCAAAAAATATCTTCTATTTTTTGTAAAAGAATTACGTAAATATATTATAAAAAATAACAAAAATTTGACATTTTATTCCTATGATACTAGTTAATCGTGTCAATTTTATGATGGTCGTTTCTAACATTATCCTAACCCAATTATTATTTGTGTTTGCAGGTCGTGTCATTTATGAATTTGTGTCGAAAAATAATTAACAATAATCTATTAATTTTGTGTTGATTTTGATTTGTATTTTCGTATTATGTCAAAAATTGTCACTCCCTAATAATATGTCACTTATCAGAATACAATAAATGTCACGACACGAAAATGACACGTGCAATCGAAAATAATATAATATGAAGATGATACGACACAACATAATTGACACCACCAACAATTATAGCATTCTATTATGGGTAAGGGTGCAACTCGGGCGGATTGGACAATCAACCCTATGTATATAATTTTCAACCCTAATCCTACCTCAGGTTGAGAAATTTAACCCGAGCACTGCCCGAGTTTAATTCGGGCGAACTCGGATTGAATTCGGATAAATAATTTCGGGCTAATTTCAAATTACTTTACGAGTTCAATTCGAGTTAAGTTAGGGTAAAGCCCAAAATAGACTTGTTGTTCTAAACCTAATACATATATTACATAATATTCACTTAAATTAACAACCAATAACTGCAACCAAATTTTTACCAATGTTAATGTTAGAACAAAAATGAAAATGAACGAGAGAGACGGAGAACGATAGAACAAAAATGAAAAACTAGTACTAATGCTTTATATATATATATATATATATATATATATATATATATATTTTTTTTTTTAATTTGTCGGATTCGGGTTGAACCCATGAACCTAAGGCCTTAACTCGAACCCAACCCAAATTGAATTTGAGTTAAAAATTTTTAACTCAAATTCAACCCAAATATTAAAAACTCTTATCCAAATCTTAATTTTTTTTTGGTTGAAATCGAGTTGTTCAATCCAAGTTGCACCCCTAATTATAGGCCTTGTCTATACCTAAAAAGTTGGGTAATAAGGTCACATTAAAGGGAGAAAATAGACAAGGTAATAAGGTCACAATAAAGGAAGAAAGTATTATGCAGAACGGTGACATCATTTAATCATTATACATGATGTCATCAATTAAATAATAAGTTAATATATAATAAGAAAATAGATTTCATTTAATTGAATAACTATGAGTCCACAATATCCGAATCCTTTGATATACATAAGGGTGTTTCTTAAAACGATGTCATTTTTACACACAAAATGACATCATTTCATATGTAAACGTGGTCATTTTGAACAACAATATTCCTGTTATACAGCAGAAGATATATTCCTCACATTCATGTAGAAAAATAACCAATAAAGATTTAATTTAGTGCTATAATTTTGCTGCCTATATTGTCAGTGGACAGAGGACTCCATTATTGATAAGGAGTTAGGACCTATTGTCAATTATGTAGTTCAATGACAACACTAGATTAAGATGTTTAATTAGAGTAATAAATTAAATTCAAATATTATTATTAAACAATTAAAATGATACATACCACATTCTGAGGGGTTGTTAGTATTAAGGGGTGTATTAAAGAGTTATAACAAATTAAAACTCTATAATCCAACCTTATATAGTATTTAGTTGCAAAAAATAGTCTGCAATATATGTAGTCTTATTTTAAATATTTATCCAAACAATGTACTCTGTACTATTGAGCTAATTATAATACTACCTGGAAATGTGATATCATACTCTAGTTCAAACATATTCAGTTATAAATTTACTATTGTACTCACCAATTCAATAAAAATATTAATAACTAGACAAGATTGATAATTTATTAATTAATATGTAATTATGAATATTATTCCACTCTTATTCAATGTCTTATTAATAATATCGTGATATCTAACCTTTTTTTTTTTGGTAAGTAAGGTGATAATGTACAAAAGTGAATTTATGCATCACTTGTCAAGTAATTAATGTAGGTAATGAATGCATTAAATATAAAGGTGAGATCCACATATTCAACACACAAATGTATAGTTGTTCGATCATGGTGACCTATTCCATTTTGAAGACAGCAACGGTGGTCGATGGTCTTTATTAATGAAGTAGTAGGAGAGAAAGAGAGAGAGCAAGAGTATGTTTTTGGTAGTTATGAGAGATATAGTTGTGTAAGGTATGTAGAAAGATGTCTCTTTCATGTGAAGAGGGTTTACAATTTATAAGCACAAATTCTTGATTGATGCGATGACGTGAAGAGTAGGTGACTAATTATTCGGAGAGAATAACTAAAATTGGAATATGTACAATTAGAGATAGTCTTGATTTTGAAGAGTGACTATTCTGATGACTGTTTTTCATGTGTGTTAATCTTCTTGGACTCCTTAAACTTTAAACTGAGCCGCATTTGCAAACTAGGCTCGACCAACCTTGTAACTAAGTTAAACTTAATTAATTAGGCTCACGCAGTAAAATCTGGCTTATTATAAGGTAAAGCACCTTTTATTTGTCATAAACAAATGAAGATACCCATTATTGCTACCTACCCATTTTTGCTACCGGACATAATTTCTGTAGTAGTTGTCGTGATTCTTATTAATTCAATAATTGTAATAAATTATATTAATAAATAAAATTTAAATAACATTTTTAAATTCTCTCTTTTTCTTAATAGACTTAAAATTATTGAATAGATAGTGAGTCATATAATATTAGGAGGCACAAAAAATTGAATTATTCTGATTATTAAATTTATTTTTTAAACCATTTACTCTTATAAAATGTGTGCCACAAACACTGAAACACTTGGTGAAGCTCATCTTACATATCGTCCCCGCCTTTACACATCATTGGCTAGTCCACCATGGAAGCTACACAACCACCACCACCCCCACATTGCCATTTTACCCACGACAGGGATGGGTCACCTCATCCCAATCACTGAGTTCGCCGAGCTACTCGTCCTCCACCACAACTTCCATGTCACCTTAATCATTCCCGCCGATGGTACACCCATGGAAGCCCAAAAATCAGTCCTTGAATCCTTACCCAAAAGTATAAATTCTGTTTTTCTTCCTGTGAGCTTTGAAGACCTCCCTGAGGATGCAAAGATTGAAACTCGTGTCGCACTCAGCGTGACTAGGTCTCTCCCGGCTCTCCGCGATACCTTAAAGGTGTTAAGCAAGTCAACTCGTCTCTGCGCCTAGTGGTCGATCTTTTTGGCGTTTTCACATTTGAAGTGGCAAAAGAATTGGGTATTTCGCCATACATGTTCTTCCCTACAACCGCCATGGTTTTGTCCATGGTCTTGAATTTGCCAAAGCTTGATCAAGCTATTGCTGGTGAGTATAAAAATTTACCTGAACCGGTTAGATTACCGGGGTGTGTCCCGCTTCATGGGGAAGACCTAGCGGATCCGTTTCAAGATAGGAAGAATGGGGCTTACAGATTGGTGCTTGACATGTCTAAATTGTACAATTTAGCTGAGGGTATCATGGTTAATAGCTTCTTGGACTTGGAACCAGGTGCTTTTAAGGTTTTGAAGGAAGAGGGGTGGTGTAAACCGCCGGTTTACCCGGTTGGACCATTGATACAGATGGGTTCAATAAGTGTAGGTGATGGGTCAGACTGTTTGAGGTGGCTAGATAAGCAACCAATTGGTTCAGTGCTCTTTGTATCATTTGGGAGTGGTGGGACTTTATCCCATGAGCAGCTCAATGAATTGGCCTTGGGATTGGAAATGAGTGGACATAGATTTCTTTGGGTAGTCAGGAGCCCCCCACATGATAAGTCTGCAAATGCGTCTTACTTTGGTGCCCGGTCCATTAATGACCCTTTTGATTTCTTACCAAGTGGGTTCTTGGAGAGGACCAAGGGGGTGGGTCTGGTGGTGCCATCATGGGCTCCCCAGGTTCAAGTCTTGAGCCATGGCTCGACCGGGGGATTCCTGAGCCATTGTGGGTGGAACTCAATCCTAGAGAGCATAGTGTATGGGGTACCCTTAATTGCATGGCCACTCCATGCCGAACAAAGGACGAATGCTGCATTACTGACTGATTATTTAAAGGTTGCGTTAAGGGTTAAGCCGAACGAAAATGGCATAGTAGAGAGAGGCCAAATTGCAAAGTATGCCCAAAGGCCTATTTGAGGGAGAAGATGGGAAAGAAATTCGAAGCAGGATGGGAAATCTTAAGGATGCTGCTGCAATGGTTTTGAGCCAAGAAGGGTCATCCACCAAGTCAGTTGCTGAAGTGGCTCAAAAATTGATGAACCATAAAATCTTTAGCAAGTGAATGCAGTTTACAAAGTATGTAGAATAAATTTCATGAATAAGCATGTTTACTAAAATTATATTTATGTAAGAGTATTTTGAGGATTGCATTTAAGCATTAACCATTGAATTGTAACCAAATTATCAGAAAATTTTTAATTTTTAGGGTGATTCAATGGTAAAACTGTTTCAGATTCAATAATTTCTTATACTATTTGAGGGTTAGTTATCGTCTCTTTAAAGACATTTTAATTTAATTCAAATTACAGTGACTAATTCTTGAATTTAATAAAATAATCGGTTCAAATTTAAACAACTTTCAACCAAAGAAAAAACCAAATCATCGGAAGATATTGTTGTGCCAGCCTCGTTTCATTAGTTATCTTTCCATTCTGAAATCTAAAAAGCTTTGGTTAATAAATCTTGCTCTAGCAAGTTTGGCAATGATAGACATTAACTTTTACTTTCCGACCAAAAAAAACAACTAACTTGTTGGTGAACCGCTAAGTTCAGAGTCCCATTTGAGACCACGAAGTTTGGTATCTTTATATTATCATGTGATGGCAGACAGTACTGAAAATGAAAGTCTGTATCGTCGGCCATTACAGGTGTAGGGCCCGTCTGGAACAAAAATTCCGGCTCAGAAGTATGGTATTAATCTATATAACAAAGTTGTTTATAATTTAAATTTCAAAAAAAAAAAAAATAATTTTTGTCATTCACGGTTGAGATCGCTTTAAATTTTACTTTAAAGTTAATCTAACGGCTAATATTAACACCCTAAATTTAATATAAATAATAGGCCTCTAAGAGTGTGTTTGGAGTAATTTTTTAAAAGTATTTCTAGAAATTATTTAGGGTTAATCTCAAATTGCACCCTGAAAGATCTTCTAAATCTTAAATTACACCCTTAAAGATTAAAAATATCAAATTACACCCTAAAAGATATAAATTTGTATCATTTTACACCTAAGACTAACAACCATCCACTTTTCCGTCTAAAACAAAGTCACGTGAGTTAGAGGTGGGAGGGGCATGGGCTTAAGTGTAAAATCACATATTTTTGGCGCCAAGATAAAAATTATCTTGTTTCCCTCCACTGACGTTCTGATATATTTGAAAAAAATAAGGGTTAATTATAAATTATACCCCAAAAGATCTCTCAAATTTTAATCTGTACACTTAAAGTTTAAAAATATTAACTTATACCCTCAAATTTTAAAAAAATTAATTTACACCTACAAAGACATAAATTTGTAAAAAGAAAGAAAATGCATCTACATAAATATGATCCAAAAGTACATTTCATCCACCAAATTCCAATATTCTACATAAATATGGTCCAAAAGTAGATTTCCAACCATTAGTCAGAAATCATCCCAAAAACTTACAGCCAAACACTGTTTAAAGATAAATCCACAAAAAAAATTCATTTCAAAAAGTGTCAATATTCCACTTCACTGTGTTGGTGGCCTCCATGATGTTGATGATGAAGTTGGTGTTGGTGGTCTCCATGATGTTGATGATGAAGTTGGTGTTGCATATGAAGATGGTGTTGGTGGCCTCCATGTTGTTGATGATGGTGTTGGTGGCCTCCATTTCATGTGTGATGGTGCTGGTGTTGGTATACATGATGTTACAGGCACAAATGATGTTACTGGTACAGATGCTGATGCTGATGAAGCTGGTGTTGCTGAAAAATTTCTCCTCCAAACCTAGAAATAATTAACATTAACTTAGTTCAACTATACATTCAACATTTCTAACAAACTTAAAGGAAAATTAGTGTTGCACTTACTGACAACTTCATTTTTGCTCTTGTAATTGAGAATGCAGATGTGCTGACACCAATTGATGGCGTAACTGGTGCTGGCGTAACTGCTAGTGTATTTGGTGTAACTGTTTATTTTTTACACTTTCTTTTGTTATGGCCACTTTGACCACAATTTGAACACACAACAGGCTTATACTTCCTTATCAACTTGAAACCTTTTGGTTGTTCATCAATCTCTCTCCTCCTAACTTTCTTAGGCCTGCCCGGTCTCCTGCTTACAATTGGAGGAAGCAAAGGTGAATTACATGTTCTATGCCACATTTCTTTTCCATTTATAGGATTAATAAGATGGCTATAACACATGATAAAAGTTTCCACCTTGCACCACTGAGCCACATAATCTTCTGGTTGAAATCCTAGAAAGCTAATAGCAGATATTGCATGCTTACATGGGATTCCAGTTAAATCCCACTTCCTACAACTACATGTCCTCTTCTTCACATCAACAGTCCTTTGTTCACCACCCATTCCAACTAACTCAAATTGATCACCCCCATTCCAATATGGTATGAAACCAGCAGATTCAACTTTAATTGCCTCCAATCTACCTTGAATATTAGGGCAAATAGATCCTTTATAATTCTTTAGGGAATCCCTTTGATGATGCAACCTTTCCATTAACCACAATCTTATTTTTTCTAGCATTGTGATTATAGGTTTATCCCGAGCTTCAACAATGCAACCATTAAAACTCTCACATAAATTGTTAAGCAGCATATCACACTAGGGAATGGAACTAAAATGGGATCTAGACCAATTAATTGCTGGTCTCTCAAACAACCAATTGTATGCAGCTGCATCAACTTCTTTCAGTTCATCCATAATCCTGGTAAAATTTGTCATCGTTGTTGCTTTAGCAGCCCTCCATAATAAGTCTTTCAATGCTAAACCCTTACGTTCAGATTTGAAATTGTTGTACATATGCCTTACACAAAACCTGTGTGCAGCATTAGGAAAAAAGCTCTCAACTGAATCAAGTAGTCCCTGTAAAAAAAATTGGTAGTTTAACATATGTGCAAAAAATATGACTAGGATAAACAATAATTAGAAAGGCATTTGCAACAAAGTGATAAACAATAATTAGAAAGGCATTTGCCTTTTGCTTATCTGACATAAAAGTCCAGCTCAGAAGTTGAAGAAACCATGACCAGGATTTCTTCTTTTCTTTCTCTACTACAGCAAATGCAAAAGGATATAATTGGTTGTTTGAATCGATTCCCACTGCTGACAACAAAACACCAGCTTGTAACCCCTTCAAATGACACCCATCTAAACCAATAATGGGTCGACAACCCTCAAGAAATCCCTTTTTTAATGCCCCATAACATATATACAACCTCTTAAACATGAATTTGTCACCTCCCAGAGCCTTTGTCTTAATAATGCAGGTTGTGCCAATGTTTGTTCTTCTCAACTCTTCACAATAATCTCATAAGAGGCTGAACTGCTCCTTATCAGTTCCATTCACCATTGTCATTGCTTTTTCTTTACCTCTATATACCAGACATCTATCCAATTTGATAACATGTTCCTTCTCAATAGTTTCCTTTAATGACTTCATGGGCCAAGTGGGATTTGATCTAAGTCTATCAGAATATGTATCTGCAACCCAGTCAGAGGAAGCATGCTTAACTTTAAAAGTCCTAGTGCAACTATGTGAACCATTGTATGTTTTAACCTGCATAGTATTTTTCTAAACCCAATCTTGAAGCATAAATCATCCAATCACACCCTGGCCTACATATCGCTCTGATTCTATACCTCTCATTCTTAGAAAATCGTATTTTTCCCCCATTTAATTGTATGTTGCCTCACTGCCGCTCTAAACATCCCAAGCTTAAAATGTGGATCAACCATGTCACTCTTAGCATTAAATTGTGGATACTTCTTCCTGTGATGCCTTATTTCATCATTATCGGATGATGAGCCACTTAAACTTCGTAACTCATCAGATTCACAATCTTCACCTCCTACGCCACATTCATGCTCTTGTATTGTCTCTGTCTCAATCTGAACCCCTTTCCTTTTTGGTTTGTCAAACTTTTCACCTTTGTCACTCTCAACAATTGTCTCATGCAAATATTCATCATATACATCATATTCACTATCATACAAATCTTCAAACTCAAAATCTGAACCCTTGGAATATGAATCACTATCAGAAGCATCACTTTCAGAGGACCTATAACTCTCAGTGGGAACCCTAGGACCCCATAAATTGGTTCCCTGTTCAGACACATGTATATTTTGGCTCCCAAATCTTTTTTCTGATGGACCACAATGAGAATCTGCTTGACTATGATTGAACAATTCTTGCCTAATATGTTCCACATATACATCAACTACTTTAACCTTGTCAACCCATTTTATCAAGTCCATAGCATGTTGATCATTTTCCAAAGCTCTCCATCCATTACCTATTCTCTGATAGAATATGGTAATTTGATTATAACCAACTCCAATATTCTTTAGCATGTTGTCCAACTCTATAAGAGAAATTTGATCAAAGTGACACATATCAATACTATTCACTCTTCCACCAATATACACTTTATCACCACAACCATCAAATTTTCCACTGTGATGCATTCTAATTGTGAAATATCTGGAATCGTCACCTGCATAAAAAAATTTAAAAAGCAAATAAAAAAAGCCTCCAAAGAGAAAAAAGCCAAGGAAACCATAACCCCACATCCAATATAAAAATAGGTCCACCCAAGTTCCCAAAACACTCTCAGATAAACAAACAAAACAAGAATCATTTTCAAATCACAATCAACGCAAAAGTCAAAAGTCAAAAGGCAAAATACAATATGTATTTTTTTGATTAAACTAATGGCAAGAACCATTTGGACTAAACAAATGGGAAAACTATTTGAGAAAGATTAAAAAAACCAAGAATCAAAGTCACACAAACAGAAAAACAAAAAACAATGATGTACAGTGTCAATATAATAAAAACAGAGACAGAGAAAGAAAACCCTTACCATAATCTGGCGTATCTCCGGTGCATAAATTGTTATTGTATTCTTTAACTATCCAAGACATTTTGCAGATCTTCAAGGTGAACAGCTGCGCATCTCTACCTCTACAATCTTCAAGGTGAACAACTGCCCGTCTCTATTTTGTATGTTACGACTGAGGTTTTCCTCAAGAAAAGCTCATCATATGGGGCTGTGATTTTACACTTAAGCCCATGCCCCTCCCACTTCTAACTCACGTGACTTTGGTTTAGACGGAAAAAGTGGATGACTGTTAGCCTTAGGTGTAAAATGATACGAATTTATATCTTTGAGGGTGTGATTTGATATTTTTAATCTTTGAAGGTGCAATTTGAGATTCAAAAGATTTTTCAAGGTGCAATTTGAGATTTACCCAATTATTTATCATAACTAATTTTAAAAAAATAATATTGTTTGAAACCGCCTCACCACTACCCCTACCACCACCGCCGCCATCGTCATCTCCACCGCTGCCACTGCCGTCGTCGCCACCTCCACCACCATCGCTGCCACCGCTGCCGCTGCCACTACAACCACCGCTGTCACCACTGTTGCCACCACCACCACCATCGTCGTCGCTGTCACCACCACCATTGTCGTCGTCACCACCACTACCACTGCCCCCATCAACGCCACCACCATCGTCGCCACCACCACCACCATTGCCACCTCCACCACCGCTGTCGCCGTCGTCGCTATCGCAGCCTCCACCTCCGCCACCACCACCACCATCGCGGCCACCGCCACCACTGCCACTGCCACTACCACCATCACTGTTGCCACCACCGCCGAGGCCACTACCCCCACCGTCGTCACCGCCACCAACGCCACCACCACCACCACCAACTCCCCACCACCACCACCACCAACACCCCACCACCGTCGTCCCCACCGCCACCGTCACCACAACCACCTCCGCCACCACCCCTACCGCCACCCCCCCCATCGCCACCGCCACCACCACCATCACTGCCCTCATTGCCACCATCGCCATCGCCCTCGCCACCACCACGGTCATTGCTACCTATTACAACCATCACCGTCTACTACCACCACTACTGCCGCCCACCACCTCTCACACCCACTACAAACTGATGCTTAAATTCATTTATTTTTTCTCTGTGTTTATGATTTAATTTTAGATATGAATACAAATATGTTTATTGTTTATCATTTTTTATTACATTATGCCTTCAAGCACAGACAATAACTAGTAATTTAATACTATGAGTGCAGAGCAAAGTCTCTGTTATCGTTTTGTAAATTAAACGATATTATTTTTTTTACAGATTCTCAACCTAATTGTTAGAAATTGAAGAATGTAGAGATCACAGAAAAAGAGGGAGAGAGATAGAGATGGAGAGAAAGTATTATTCTCATTGTGTTGAAAATGATCAATTACATCTCCTATTTATATACAAAGGACCTGAATTAAATATCTAACAAACTTCTCTAACTAATCTGCTAGCTGGACTATAACTAACCAACTCTAACTAACTAACTAACTAACTAACTAATTCTTCTTCCTTTTTCTGTTGTCAGCTGCGATTGCCTCTGCTCTGCTTTGTTCTGCTATATTCTTCAATAGTCCCCCTCAAGATGGAGAGTGGATATCAAGCACTCCCATCTTGCTTAACAAAAAATGAATTGATGAACTCCAAGAGCTTAATAAAGATATCACTAAGTTGATGAACAAAGGTAATATGAAGAGTCTTGATAATGCCAGCCTAAACTTTGTCACGAATAAAGTGGCAATTGATTTCAATGTGCTTAGTACGCTCGTGGAAGACTGGATTAGTTGCAATATGTAAGAAAGTAATGTGCTCCAATTAGAGAAGGAGTGGGGTAAGGTCCTCAAATGTCACAATGGATGATTTCAAAAGGTACAAATAGTGCTGATTGAAAAAGACATCCTATTCTACTTAGCATAATGACAAATGCTACAATGAGTATCACTAGAAGTTGAAATTTCAGGGACTGTTCTTTGTAAAGAATCTAGTATGTGTTGAAATAAGTGTCCCAATCGAAAATGCCATAGATGTGAAGATACATCTGTGTTACATTGAATAGAATAAATAGTAGAAATTTTTTGTGGTTGTGTTGTCTGTAGAAAATACAATCCTCTGTTTTCTTTACCCATCCCAATTGTCCTCCATGTTAATAAGTCCTGTATGAAGCAATGACCATGAAGAAAAAGAAAACAACAAGAAATTTGTTGTGTTAGTTTGCTAGTGGAAAAAAGATTGTATTTGAAAGAAGGCACACAAAGGACATTAGTCAATATAAGGGAATCAGAAAATTTAACTGTGCCTGTATCAGTTACAGCTACAAGACTTCCATCAGGCAATTTGACAGAGGTGTGAATAACAAAAGACACAATGGATAAAGAGGACATAGAGCAAACAATATGATCTATTGCTCCAATGTCAATTATCCCTGGGGATGAGGAAAATAAGAAGAATCATGACTCGAAGAATGCAAGGTATTTAAAACTTCACCTAACATGTTGAAAAAAGACTCAGTATAAGAACTGGTTACTTGATTTGCTAAGGGTAGATCATGAAGATGAAGCTGTGAATTAAGGAGAGTCAATATTTGCTGAATTTGCCCTTGTGTTACTAGCAAAGATGAAGAAACCTCTCTGCTGCCTTCATTTATAACCAAACTTTCTGTTTCATTCTGAATATTTCCTGCCACCTGATTTACAGATTTGGAATTGTTCTTTCCTTTTGTAAATCGAAATTCAGGAGGATAACCATGGAGTTTGTAACATTTGTCAATAGTATGACCTTGAATTCCACAATGGGTACAAATAGGTCTAGATTTGTTGGAGTTTGATTTGCCAAAATTCTGTTGATTAGATGAATTGGATTTGCTCAAGAGAACTGTAGAATCTGTAATAGGAAGACTTGAGAAGACTATCTCTCTTTGTCGTTCCTCTTGAAGAATGAGAGAAAACACTTTGTTGATAGATGGAAAAGGATCTTACAGCAAGATCTGATTGCGTATGTGAGAATGTGAATCATTCAATCCCATTAAGAATTGAATTTTGTAATCTTATTGTTGAACAACTGCTAAGGTTTTTAGAGCACCACATGTACAGATTGGCAAGGGTCTGTAGTTTATCAATTCATCCCAAAAGCCTTTGAGCTGAATATAATAAGAACTTACAGAGAGTTGTTCTTGTTGAAGAAAAGAAATCGATTTCTGCAACTGATAAATCCTTGGTCCATTAGTTTGAGAGAACCTTTCCTTGAGGTCTTTCCAGATTTCTTCTGCAGAATTGACATAAAGAACACTCCTGGCGATCTCCTTTGACAATGTGTTGATAATCCAAGATATCACCATATTGTTGCATCTAATCCATGGATTATACAAAGGATCCTTATGATCTGTTGGGCTTGGAAGACGTGCCACCAATGAATCCAATTTTGTTCTTAGCACTCAATGTCATAAACATTGATCGACTCCAAGAATTATAATTGTCTCATGTCAAAGCTTGAGAGACTAACAAAGCACTTGGATTATCTCCATGATGAAGATAAAAAGGATGAGAGAAATCCTCAATCGAAGTTGAGGAATTGGATTATGGACTTGTGATAGATGAATTTGAAGAATTTGATGTCATTGAAGAAGCAAATAAGAGAGGAAGCTTACTAAAAGAGCTATGATACCATGTTAAAAAAATGAAGAATGCAAAGATCACAGAGAAAGAGGGAGAGATAGAGATGGAGCGAAAGCATTATTCTCATTGTGTAGAAAAGGATCAATTACAGCTCCTATTTATATACAAAGAAACTGAATTAAATATCTAACAAACTTCTCTAACTAGTCTAACTAATCCGCCAGCTGGACTGTAACTAACCAACTCTAACTAACTAACTAACTAACTAATTCTTCTTCATTCTTCTGTTGTCAGCTGCGCCTACTTCTGCTCTATTTTGTTCTGGTATATTGTTCAATACTAATATTGTCAAAAAATATGGTTTTTCGGATAATTATTTGTTGACGTTTTGAGGATGGGCCACGGAAAAAGGAAGCTTACGAACGGCATGAAATGACGCTTTATAATTTTTTATTTGATCGAAATAACCTTTTGTCTCTCCCCTCATAATTTTCAATTGTCTTCTTCGGCTTTTTGTTTTTATACTAGTAATGCTACATGAATTTAAAAATTATAGTCATTGATTTCACCGTGGGTCCTAACATTTAGTAGGACTCATAACTTATTCAATAATTGTGATTATTAAGTGTAATTTTTAAGTTCATGTAACATTATTCTTTTTATACATATTCAATTATTCATAGCCCCTTTTGATAAGAAGAATAAAAAGATAGAGGGATAAAAAAATATGAAGAATAAATTTTTCACCCTTAAAAGAAGGAAGAGGTTTTTATCTTTTGTTTTTAGGAAAAAAGATGAAAAAATGGAAGAAATAAAATTTTAATATTGACACAATATTATTCGCCACTTCTGGAGGCACAATGTTCTTGATCAACACCTCACGGTAGCAAGGTTGGTGTTTGTTTATTTATCGTTGAGTCGGTATGTTAGCGTAAAGAGTAATATAATTATGAACTAAAAATTGAACTAAATTTTGTGACATAATAATGCGATAATGACATGGACTCATAATGTTGTCTACAACTTTTAGACTTGTTTATTGGGATTTCATTATTTAACACATTATTATTTTAATAAATTAAATTAATTCTAATTAAATTATTACTTCCTCAATATTAAAAAGCTAGACAAAAACTTTAAAGGTGACTCGATAACTTTTTAATAACTTAAAGGTACCATGTTGAATCATTTTTCATACCCCTTAAAGCTCAGTTAGCAAAGCTGTTCAAATTTTTGATCGCCCGTAAGTTCTTATCCTACTCGACCCTACCTTACCCTATTGAACGGTTAGTCGCAAAAATCAGGTAGGAATGCGGAAGAGTTTTTGGTCTTTCGATAATTTTTGGGTAAGAATGCGGAATAGTTATCCATTTTCGTATTCCTACCCTACCCTCAATAATTTTTTAATATATATATATATATATATATAAACTAAAAAAAATCCTAAACCCTAGTAGAGCAATTATGATTTTAATGTATTCATATGATTTAAAGTTTAAACTTAAATTAATTGTTATTTTATTTGTGTAATAATTATGGTGGATTGATATTCATACTTTCTTGCGTTTTATTATAATTTTTATTGTAGTTGTTTTAGAATTTAGTGGTAATTGATTTATTGTGTTGTTAAATTGATACATATTATTTAATTAAATTATTAAAATGATTCAAAAATTAATTGTTACAAAAATATTTACTTGACTTCCTAACCGATTAAGCAGGTAGGAAATCGGGGTAAGAATATCACACCTGTCGAATAGGATAGGTTAAAAAAAAACTCTTTTATAAAATATTCGAAAAAACATATTTTCTACCCGGGTAAAGTCATGAACAAAGCAAGACAGCGAAGTAGTTCGTGGAAGGGTATTTTGGTCATCGCAGCTTCGCACCGTTAAGGAATCAACGGAATTTCACAAAACCCTAGATTACAGAACCAGAGCAAATAGGGAACAAACAAAGCTTGAAGCTTTAAGGATACAGACGACGCATACATGTAGAGAGAGAGACATGGATAAGGCTGTGGTGACGCTCGATAAAGGCACAACATGCTCTGCTTGGAACTACTGTGGGCAGAGATTGGCTACTGGTTCGATAGATGGAACATTAACTATTTTCGATTCAGCTGATCCAGCTTCCTCGTCATTCACCTGCAGTTCTAGAACTGGGGTTCGTAAGTGGTTGCTTCTTTTCTATTTGTGGGATTAAGCTTTAATGAGCTTTAGTTTTTCAATTTTAAATTTATAAAGGTATATTGCTGGTTAGTGGATATCTATCTTTTAGCTTTTTACTTTGATGTTGAATGGAGTTTTAAGGTTTCTAATACAATGCCCTGGGTGAATTCATTGATCGTGTGCTAAGGAAAATTATGTAATTGGAGACGTACTTGTGCATTGTGGTACTAAAAATTAATTGAAGTATTTATGCTTTCATGAGTATTAAGGATAATTTGTTGAAAAGAAATAAAACAAATATCAGTGTGGTACATAACATAGCTTATTTTCTAATTCTTGTAGAGGTTCTTCATATGTGCTTTGTTAAAGAAAGAAGACCCTCTTGTGCTGTGTCGTGATTTTCAAATGTTGAATATTTTGGCAACTATTTTTTCCCCTGACAATTTATTACACTCTGGGTCTAGTAAATTGCAACTTATGAATGTGCAAGGCTCAATGATTCACGGTTAGGGCTGACATAAGGATACTTGTTCTGCTACACAAGCTGTGACAGTATAGTTGCATCACAGAAATGGGTCTCCACGACTCTATCGACCTGTTACTGATATCAAGGGAAAGTTCCGTTTGTGCACTTGATTCATGGTTACTGGACAAAAGCATTGGCTATTAATTTTGATCACTAACAGTACTGCAATTATTTGCCGTTGAACTGGCCTGGACCTTCTAGACCTTTTTGATAAAAAAAAAAATGCACTAGCCATGAATATATGTCTGTTCTGTTTAATTTCTGTCTTCTTTTTTCCTTTTGTGATATTTGCTTTTGACTTCCGATGTGCTCCATTGCCATAATATTAGGTTAATGAGGCCAGCATTGTGAAAGTCCTTTGGGTTCCTCCAGAATATGGTGATGCAGTTGCATGCATTTTTGCAGATGGAACTTTTTCATTATGGCAGGAGGTTGTTGAAGGTATGAAAACACTTTGCATCTGTCCTACCCATGTTGAAATGTCAAGATTTTGTGCACTGGCTGGCTCTATTTGTAAGCCTCATGTGCAAGGGTCACATCCCTGCTTTCAGCGCCCCGTATTCTGAAAGAAAGGGGCGTGTCAGAGTTAGTTCTTCTCATGTGTGCTAAATACCTTTTTGTTAGGAAGAGTTTTGTTGACTGGCAACTAGAAAATTGTTATTGACCAGTAAATTTAGTGTTTTTATTGTCTGCTATGGTACTATCAATATTGTACTTCCTTGAAGAGTTTGTTATTTGACGTGGGATTTGCTCTGTTTCATTACTGATTATCCTGTTCCATCTTCTTCTTCTTCTTCTTCAATCATCCCAATGTAACACCTAGTCATGGACATATTGCAGAGCCTATCAGGACATGTGAAAAATGCCTCAGTATTATCTTTTGCATTTTCTCATTCTGTAGATACAGAACCTCTTCGATGGAAGCTGTGCAAGCACTTTGAACATTCAAAACAAGTGCTAGATATTCAATTTGAAGTCTCCCAAACAAGTCTGAAACTGGTAAGTTTTCATAGCTGCTGCTGCTTCGGTTTATCTCCACCATTGACTTTCCAGGGCAACTGACAGATGACCAAAGTTGGTTTCTAGTTCCATCTGATCTTAGACCATCGCATGTTTTGGTCTGTACAGCAACTCAAGCCTGAAGAGTGGAAAAGCAATGTGTAAATTGCTTACATGAACTCTCTCTTGCTTTGTAATGATAAGATTTAAGAAACTTCTCTGTAGTCTCCTTTGTTGGTTTCCTTGTTCTTCTTCTACAACCACTTCTTCTCCTTCATCTTTGTAGATTCAAAGTCCCAGTAAGATCAATATTTCGTAAGTTGACCAGCCGTATATGGGTGATACTTTATGATAAGCTTAGTCAGTGAAGAGTGATATGTACAACCCAACCCTTAGCTTGGAGGACTTGAATTTACCCATCCTTGACCCCATAGCTTTCCTTCTGTGTGCCCTAATTGCATATCGGCTTTTGCTATGTGTTATGCTAAAGATTTTAAAATAGTTCTGGGCAGATCTCTGTACATTGACGTCTTTGCTTTTTGCACGATGTTAAACTATTGGCCTCTGGCTGTTTGGTTTTATCTTTGGTTTCAATTACATAAGCACTTTTATAGTTATCCAGAAGAACTTGTCATCCTATTGCACGCTGGGGAAGTTGAAACACTGTTAACTGATTTCATTTTGTTCGTTGGGCATTTAGTAAAGCAGGGTTCTGCATTCATGATGCCAAAATCTCAGGAGTTTGTCAAATTGCATTAATTTCCTATAAATCTTTTTATCCATAGTACTTGTGCAGTATTAGGTATTGCAACATTTTAACGTTCTTTTTATGGTGTGATTTAACACTGGGCACTCTTATTTTGAGCTTCCATTGCAGGTTTCTGCGTATTCTGATGGCCACGTGAAAATCTATGAGCTCCTGGATCCATTGGAATTGAAGAATTGGCAACTTCAGGTGTTCATTTTTGCTTATACTTCCTTGTTGTGCAGCATCTCAACTACAAAAAATAGTTAGTGATAAAAAAACTGTGCAACCTCGAGACCCCATATGTCTATGTTCTTTTTACTTTTTGTTTTTCCTTATCATTTCCTTGTCTAATACTGTATTTGTGAGTCCAAACTCCAAAATATATGAAATGAAATGTTTTCCTTGTTTCCCATTTTTACAATCTTATCTCTTCTTGTCCCTGGAGCTCTCCTCTTCTGACCCCAAGCTCTCTTTGAATGGAAAATCTGACTGTAGAGTTCTTCATCATGCATTAGTTCTAAATTAATTTATCTATGGAATTCTATCTTTCTTCTCTTTACTGATCTCTTTTAATTGCCAATTTTATTCCTTACTCTGCTGCTCAACCTGTTTGCATCGTGCATTAACAATTGAATCAACTATGTGGCTTGCGCAAATAATTCCAAAAATTAAGTTTGTACCCTATCCACCCTCGCAGCACCCTCAATTATCAAGTACCAGGACTTTTCAAACAAAAACTTGCTAAGCAGCTAAATTCCACAAAAAATAAGGAGTTGATGCTTGTTTGCTGGGGTTTTCGACCAAATTCATTGATCTTCGTTATCAGAGGCACATACCACGTCTATCATTGCTTGTTAGTTTTATGAGTCTTTTAAATATTCTGTATTATTAGTCTTACAGACAATTAATCCTCATGTATTTGTTTTTCAAGGCTGAATTCCTGAATGTTATCGATATGATATCCAAAACTGGGAAGGCTTCATGTGTGTCTGCATCTATCTCTTGGAATCCACAAAGAGGTGAAAGCCAGGAATCAAGCTTTGTACTGGGTTTTAATTCTGATATTCCACAACTCAATTCCTCCAAAGTATGCTTAGTTCTACCTCCTTTAATTAAGTTTTTACTAGCACTGGCCTGCAATGCACTGCAGGAGGAAGAGGGCAGGAGAGAGATGATATATACAATATATTTCCAATGTTATTGCTTTATACATGGCTAAGATTATGGAACTCGGCCAGTTTTCCAGCATTGATTAAGCAAAAATAGTGGCAACTAGGGGTGGCAAAGGGCCTAGCCATCCAAGCAGCCTGAAAATATTCGGGCTTGGGCTACGCTACAAACCTAGATGGCAGGCCTAGGCTAGTCTTTATTGGCGTGATAGTTCTGACCAATTTTAGGTTCAGGCTAAGACCTTACCAGCCCAAAGAAAACATATAATAGATATGCTGAACTATTGTATTTGACATTATTTTACATCTATATTGTCGTATTATTAATGGAAAACTTGTTACTCCTGTTGAAGAAATTGAAGACGGAGCTTTGAGCTTGAAGCCATTGAGCCATCACAGTAGTTGTTTATTGAATGAAGTGTATAATTTTTCATCTTATATCTTAATAATTTTTTTTGACACCCTCAAGGGCTGGGCTCACGTATTACTTGATTTTTTTTTATTCTTGAACTATGTGCTACTCCGGTATTGCCCCTAACCTCTGAAATACTTAAAAATATGCTAATTTATGGATAATGACATGTTTTATGTAAACACATTATGAGATTTTCACAGGTTTGGGAGTTTGATCAGGATCATCAACGATGGCTTCCAGTTGCAGAGTTGGCTTTGCCCGGGGACAGGGGTGATCAGGTTTATGCTGCTGCTTGGGCACCAAATATTGGCAGGTAAATGATGTTGACTTTCTGTTGGTATTATTATATCAGTTACCGTTTTTTACTAGATAAGCCAGTTGGTCCAATATAAATGCATCTTACACGTGTTGAAATATGAATCTTTTCAGTAAACGCCCTCAACAAATATGCAATATGAACCTCCTGATGTTATTTGCTTGTATACTTTTTCATTCTCTGGAATCTGGATACTACAAATTCTGTCTAGAATGTTGTTGAACAGAATTGAATTGATTGGTACTAATCTGTCTGGCATAACCAGTGGGCTAATTATTTCAAGTTATCATTGCTCCTGATAAATTTTACTTCCGTCTTGGATGTGAAATAGTAGAATAACAATGTTTGCTAGGTAGGGGCTCAACAAAGTACCTTTTCTTCAGGCCATACGAGGTGATAGCCATTGCAACCCACAGGGGAATCGCAATATGGCACATGGAATTGAAACCTGACCCTGGAGGAAGGCTTTCAGTGGAGAAGGTTGCGTCACTCTCTGGTCATGATGGCGAGGTATCAATTTAACCATCTTTTATTAATCATTTTATACCTTCTACCAATTTAAATAATGTGCCTGAGGCTTGAACTTGTCAACATAAAAGCAGAATTATGTTAATTTTTTAAAGATGGAATATCTCTTGAGCTCAAAATGTGGAGCATCAGCATATGATCATGGGGAACTTAAACTATTTCATTTCCTTAGAGACATACACATTCACAAGTGCTAACATATGCATGTATTCACACATATACCTTTCAGGGGTATGTATCAGTATGCGCACACATTGAATAGTCTTTACCTTTTTTCTTTGTTTTTGAGAAGGTGTGGCAGATGGAATGGGACATGGGCGGAATGACACTAGCTACCACCGCAAATGACGGGATGGTGAGGTTGTGGCAATCCAACTTAAATGGGGTTTGGCATGAACAGGCTGCATTTGAACCCACCACTTAGCATGCTGCTTCATTGGTTCTTCTATGTTTACTTCACAGCAATGAAGTAAGGATATGTGTGGTGGTTGTGCAGCTATCATGTTCAAAAGGTTTTCATCAGGCATAGGAGGTTATGTTCCAGCTTCTGGGAGCCGACTCCTGCTTGTTAAATGTGGAGTTTGGGAATGTGGTCATCTATTGAAATTTGTTCAACTTGGAGAGAGTGTTTCTAATGAAACCTTCACTATGTTATGAGCTAAAATGCCAGGATACTCGTCACAGGATGAAATGCACAACTCTCTTAGCTCTGTATAATTATCCATCCATTGTCTGCTTTCAGGCCATTGCGAGTCTTGGGTATTGGAGTTTGTTCGACTTGTGGGTAGTTCTATCCTTGGTCTTTTTGAATTTCTAGGTGTGTTGGTGGCTTGGTTAGTATTGTGATCCACTTTTCGCTATCATTATGTGAATTTTTCAATATGGCCGTAATGTTTTGTTTGAATACAGTGGCTTTGAGATGAATATTGATGTTTTTGTAGGACAGTTTGAGTTATATAGGTAAAGGTGGTTTTAATTACCATGAGGTATAGTTTAGGTGATTTGAATGTTCAGCCGTGACTGATGGTTATAGTTATAAATAAATCGTAGGATGATTAACGAAGACGGACTTTGGGATCAAGATTGTTGCTTTGCCTGGTTATCGCCTTATTAGAGAAGGGCACGGATTTGTGAGATTAGGTAATTATTTAGTTAGTTTTATCTTTATGTCGATAGAATTGATTATGTCGATAGAACTTTGTTGATATCCTGATCAAATTTGACATTTGATATATTAATCAAACGTGTTCGATTTTCTGTGGATCCGTGGAAGCTGTCGGGATTTGTTGAAGCCCTTGTTACTCTTCTATTGAAGCAGATGATCAGGATTTCTTGGACTTTGGCGATGGTTGATGATTTCATATGATTCATTTTAGCGCCTTGACTGTTTCTATGCCGTGCAATCAGTTTGTATTTTTTGCTATCTAAGCTTTGTTTTCTTCCTTGCTTACGTTTCATTTTTCTACTGCGTTTAAATTCTCACAATGATGGTGTTTTTTTTCAAAATGAGGCTTAGCTGATGTTCTGACCAAGTAAAAATAGATTTTTTCAGTATTTTGATGTAACTTTTCTTTCTTACTTTACTCTTCTTGTTTTACGCTCGGGATTGTGCTAGGGTGAACTAACTCCAAAAATCGGTCTTCAATTTGGATTGCAGGCTGCAACTTGCGTGCATAAAGCCGGTTATACGGATAAGAAAACACGATAATTTGTACGGGAAGTCCACGCAAAGGGGATGTTTTGTTTCGAACACTAGGCTCGGTTGGCCAAGTCGTGCTAACAAACACATTCCAAAAACTTTACATAGCAAGAATATCTGAACGATGAGGCTTTGATAAGTTGAGTGAGAGCCCCTTTGACTCTTGTCCTTGGATCGATTACCTCTCCTGTAGTATCATAAGTACGAGTTGTACCATGCGATAGCCTTCAGTATTATTTCAAGTCAATAAGTAATGCATTATTGTTGTCATCTCCTTCCCTTGAACAGCGCCTCTAGGTCTCATTTGAGCTTTCTGCTCTCATATGCCATAGGGTTATTTTATTGCACTAAAACACTGCCTATAGTACAGTATGTCACCATTATCTATATAATAAAATAAAGCAGAGTTTGAATTTTAGAGACAAAAAGATATCTAAATTGTTTTGAGACAAAACATAAATATATCAACATAAAAGAGAGTTTAGATTATGTCAAAAATTTTGATCTAACAGTCTACGGTAAACATTAAATTTTATTTTCCCGCCCAACTCAAGCCTCTCTCTCATGCGTCTCTCTCTCTTCTGCCTCTCTCCCAATGTCTCATGCCGCTATTCCTACCTTTCAAACTCATCCTCAAAATTTTTCGTCTGGAATCCATCTCAAATCTTCTCTCAATCTTTGTGCCGCTGCTTATCCTCTACCAGCAAAGTCATAGCTCATGCAACGCTCGAGTATGGCTTCCCTCTCTCAATTTTTCCATTTATTTCTATGTATGCACACGAACACAAACACGAACACGCATAGTTACACAAAGCGATAAGGCCACGCATTTTAAAACGTTATTCTTTGAGGTCATTGTCACTTTGTGTTCTTCGGATTTGAGAGACCCCATTGAACGTGTATTTGGGTTTGAATCCAAGAATAATTTGTGAAATATTGTACAGAATTTCGGTGTATTTATCCGTTGGTCGTTTGAAGAAAATTCTGGTCGCTAGAAGTTTTGGTGGTTGATTATACTCAGAATTGGGCATTGGGTTTTGCTCAAAATTTTACTTCCTGCAGTTGCAAGGTGAGTTTTTTTTTTTTGAATTTCAATATAAGCTTAAAACTTTATGAATTAGTGGATTATGATTGTGAAATTTCTTAATTTGGTACTAAGAATAACCCATCTATTACGAAATTGAGATTTTGATTTTTCTGAGTTTGCGGGTTATGAATTGGAGTTTATTGATTTGGGTGACCAATGACAATGGGCATTTTTGTGTTTTAGTTTGTGTACGTGTGCGTTGTGTGTGTCCTGTTTTGGGTTCAGTTTAATGGTGTAATGTTTTTTTTTTTTGGCAAAAGCAAGTTATATTTGCTTAACTAGCTACCATAGTACCACTCAGTTTGATGATAATGCACATCAACCATTTGTTGAAATTCCTAGCAGAACCAAATCATAAAAAACCCAGCTAATGGCTAACATATTGTCATTATTTGAAGATGTCTTCTTTGATTTTTATGTAATATTTTTTTTATTGATTGGGTTTGATTTTTGCAAGCCCATTCAAAGAATGAGGTGAGCTGAACAATGGTATGTAGTTGTAGTTACATTTATATGGAAGGCGTGAAAAATATTTTTTATTGGCTCAAAGCTCTTTTGTTATATTGCCTGTTGGATTGTTGCCAATTTCAATCTTCTGATATTTCCTTTATTTTGATCAAGTTATCAAGACAGCCAATCCCATGTGTTTATTATGCATTGGTCATCACTGTTTGATGGGTATGGCTTTTCATGATGTGTGTGTCCTTCTATAATCCATATACTTTTTTTTTAATTTGTTCTTTCTTGGTCCTCCATATTCATTACTCAATAAAACAGTTGTCTTAGATTGTCCATAGCAACTCTCTATTATAAACTGCAATAGTGGGAGTAGGTAATTGCAAAGTATAGGTACCTATTCAACTTTATCTTTGCAAAAAAGGGATTGAAAGGGACAATTTAATTGGTTCCTATCAGCCTCATAACAACTCAAGGTGAAATGGTGATATCATTGGCTAGAGTTATTGTTTGCCTGATTGTCCTGTTTGGTTACATATCCAAAACCCATGCACAGATAAACATATAAATGTTTGATTATTTGAATTGTGTTTTTGTTCATGAATGTTGCTGCTAGAGGGCTATAAATGGGTTGGAATTCTTTTCACACACGCACATATACGCATGTTTCCGCAATGCATGGATGGACAACCTCATTATTCTGTTCCATATGTAAAGATGCACGTTTGTTGTTTATATAACACAGTTTTCAAGTTGTATGTGTGCTGGTAGGAGTATCGATTACAGATGGACTTTCTAGCATATTGTTGCTCCTGACACTCATTAGGAATGTGCTACATCTGGATTGCTCAATAATGTTGATGAAAAATCTGGGTTTTCCATTTCTTAAAAGTGCTGCATCATAAGCTAATAGATCACTAATTCAACTTTACCTATTTTTCTCCTATTGACAACATATGCAGACAACACACCACACATACATAACACACACAACACAAGCACATAGCATATGTTTGGTCATTTGTTTTGTTTAAACATAAGAACCGCAATTTTTCCAAATAATGGGGTTTTGTCATTTGTTTTGGAATTTTTAATATAGGTTCATGTTTGTGATATTCTTTGTCGAGGATTTTGTGCTTTACAATCATGCAAGATGTAACTTTGTTCCAAGAGGTAAAGGATTCAGATGATTTTATATTTGACCTTTTTATGAAGTTCTAAATTGTTCAGCTGAACTTGAGCAGATTTTTTTACATCCCATGCTACTATAATAGATTTGATTCTATTTTGAATATAATGAAAGATTTGTAATATGTTGTGTTGGTCAAAGTGCTCATGGTAGTTGTTATAATGTTATTTTTAGTCAAATATTTGTACTTATTATGTTCTTTGTAGATTGAGTCAAAAACTAAGCAATTGATGGGTCGGTTATGATTTGAAAATTATAGTGGTGGTAATGTTTTTCATGCGATCCCATTAGTAAATTTTTTGTTTTTCATGCGACCCCTCTTTTTTTCCTTTCTTTTTTTCCAAATCGTGGTGATGATCCTATGCTAGACTATTCTTTATGCCCTAATTGGTCAATGTCGAAATTGGATGGTTCATTCTTTTTTGGTTTTTTTTCAATAAATTTTAAGGCCCTGTAGCATCATTGTATTCTCTTTATTTGTGTGTTTGCAAGTGAAATCCATGAAATGTGTTTAACTTACTACCGTCATCCTACTACTATAAAAATGTGTTTATTGCCATCAGTATGACTTGTGCATGTTCAAAGTTAAAACTATTGACAGTCGAAAGTGATGAACACGTTGAAGCTAAAAGTGAATTCACACAACAATTATGACAAGGTATATTATTCATTTTAATTTCTTCCTTAATTATGTCTCTCTTTTTGTCGTCTTTTTTTTTTATTTTTTTGATTGCATATCGTTGTTTATGCTCAATTTTTTTTTGTAGAGCTAAATCCCGCTTTTTGTGGATTTGGTAAGATATACAAAGAGAATAGAAAAAGTTTACCAAACTCATTTATCGGCTCCACTCATGTTAGATTTTGTTCTTGAATTAGTTCAATTAGTGATAAAATTGAGATGTAATAGAAGGTTAAAATTGTTGGTGAATGTGGGTGCAAATTTATTCATTTGATCATGTTGTTTTTTATTTGCGGCGTGACTTGAAATTCATTCATGTATTTTTATGGATTTCATCTATTTTGTTACGGCAGTTGATAGATATTTGTGTTTAGATATGATTATGGCGTGATGGTGAGTCCAATTTAATATATATATATATATTTTTGGTGATATGATTGTGAATTGTGTATATGGCTCGAGTCTTACGAGGATTCAATTTTTTTTAACAGATTCTAATTTTTTTAAATTGACGATTTTTTTTAGTTACAGAGTGTCTTCGGGCACATGCACATGTCTATATTTAAATAGTAGGTTTATATTTATAGGTGATTTTAAAAATTATAATGTATCTTTAGGCATGAATAATTATTTGTATTTGTCATATAATATTTTCAGATACAAACAATTAATAGTACATTCAGGGCGTAAAATGATTGATCAATTATTAAATTCACGTGGCGTACAACAGAAGTAAGACAGTCACTAACCAATTATTAGACTTCAACACTTGGCATGACCGAGCATAACACCTCATGGCTCGACAAGATGGACCGAGCAATAAATCAAAGTACTCTGATAAATTTGTCAAACCAAGCCAAAACCATCACCTTCAGAATATTTTCCCATCAATAAAAGGACAATCCCAAAAGATCAGAGGAAATAACGGAAATTTGTGATCGATTATGGCACTATATTATAAACGTGAAAAAGAAGAGGGAATGATGGTCGAGATGAAGAGTTTGGTTGTCTTTATAGGTGTGTCACCTTACATAATTAAAGAAAAAAATTTTAGAAGAAGAGACATTATACGATAATGTAAATATTAGGCGATTGTTTGAGTCAAAGGGACGCATTTCTTCCTTATTATGTAGTATGTTTATTGCTAGAACTTTTATTGACTGAAATATTGGAGTGCTTCCCCATCGACCCCACCCCGACCTCTGAGAATTTGGTCATTTTATAGGAGGAAGAGTGCAATCTACTTTCATATTTTCCGGTCAAACATCTAAAATAATTGAGGACACATAACCAAACCAAAGGACAGCGGAATAAGCTTAGAGTTGGCCAATTGTGCCCTAACGCCAGGCTTGAAATTGATAGGCTTCACACAAGCGCATGTGGGCAAGGAGCTTCGGTCACTTTTGTTGGCCCAATATAAGGCCCAGAACAAGTTAAATAAGGCCCAAACATTGAGGCCGGACAGCTCAAGTCATCGTGGCGGAGGATTTATGTGGTGCTAATAGTCTGATATTTTTCACAACTGATAAACAACATTCGTTAGTTTCCTCAATGGAACATATGAACCGTGCAAGTGAAATCAATTTACTAAACAATGAGTAGCTGTGTGCAACCTTTTTGGAAGAACACTACCCTTCTGGGTTCTTCTTCTTTCTTGCCAAAATTCCCAACAAAGCCCTACCTAGAAACTAGACAACTCAAATGTGGAAAAAGGAGAAGAATTTGTGGGAAGAGAGGAGGGATTGTATGCGGGTCATTATTGCCAGTGGATCCTTGGGCACCAAACATTGATTCGGCGAGCATAGCTCCACAGCTTTTTGCTTTCTCTCTTTTCCCTTACATTGGTTTCTTGTATTTCATCACCAAGTCCAAGTCTGCCCCTAAACTCACTCTTTTTGGGTTCTACTTCTTACTTGCCTTTGTGGGCGCCACCAGTGAGTTTCTTTCACTGGTCATAACTTACCCTTTTTTTCCCTCTTGGTTTGCCTCTGTTGATTTCTGGTGTTGTTTGGTTATTTGAGCATGAGTAAAGTTGAAATTGTGTTTTATTTTCCTGGTTTTGGAGTAATGCTTTCTCTTTTCTACTGAATAAATTATTCGGTTGATTATACAGACTGCTGAAAATTATCCAGGGGTTTATATTTGTAGGAATGGATGAACACATGTTTGGCTTTGAATTCTTATCCCTTTCCTTTGTGGAACAACTGCTAACCCTTTGTCTGATAGCCTAGAATTTTTGAAGGGAAAGAAGTAAAACCAACCTTTCAATTTCTATTTTTGTGACTTAGTTGATTCAGAACTTACTATGCTTAACTTTTCCTAAGCCAGAGAGAGTTGTGGCATTCCCCCTTCAGTGGGCATGTTTTCATCTGCCTTGCTCAAGTCTAATATCACTTTAAGAATCTTTATTTTATAGAATATGCTTTCCTAATTTCCTTTCCCTTTCCTTCTTTCTGGTGTTTCTGAGAATCAGAGCAATTAGTTACTACAATGCTAAAAGTACCGATCAAAATTTCGTTTTAGTGTATTGTTTCGGCCATCTGAAAAGGAAAACGATTTGGAAACTAAATGAAAATGGAAAAACATATGAAAATTTATATTTGAAACATTGGTCGAAATATGCCAAAACATCTCGAAACATAAGAATTTGACATTCAATCACCCTTTTCGACTGTTTCGAAACACACTTTTGATCCTTGGCTAAAAGCACAGGTTGCCATGGGACGCAACAAATTTGGGGAAATACAACCGAAGCGTAGGTCTGTATAAATGGTTATACCTCCTAATACCCTAAATTGGCAAGACTAACATTGCTTAATGACCTTCTCCTGCCATTTTCAATAGGTTATTCTATAGCCATCACTGCTTTTATGTATTCAAGCCTCAACCCCTGTCTGTGACATATAACTGTTTTTTTATGGAAGCTTTAGCTCAATCCCTTATTAGCAGAATAAAATTTTCTTAACATTGGTTTCATATTTGCTGAAGCTCTTTGGAAAAGAAAGTATTCTTGATATGATTGTCATGCTATAGTTTACCTACTGTTTACAGTCAATCGCTTTATTTCAACTCCACTGATTTTATATTCTGTTTATCTTTGCTGCCTCCTCTCTGTCATACAGTCCCAGCTGGAATTTACGGTAACTTCCTTACTCTGAGCAGACTACTTATTTTTTCAAGACAACTGATTTTCCTAAATATGGAAGTAATATCCAAATGTTGTATACTTGGGACAGCAAAGGTGCATTATGGGACTTCCTTGGCCAATGTGGATTGGTTGCACGGTGGGGCGGAATCACTGCTCACTCTAACCAACTTATTTATAGTGATGGGGCTGAGGGAAGCTCTTAGAAAAGCTATGGATGCAAAAGAAAGCACATCCGATGCTGTTTTAGGGATTAAAGAGGAGAACAAACCGCCTATCTAGTTACCTATACAGGTCATTCACTCTTTACATGTTCATAACCTCATAACACTATTAGTTGTTCGCTCAGATATTTTTCTTTTTCTCTATTGTGATGGAATTGTACATATCTTGTATTTGCTTGCAGTAATGCTTTTCACCAGCTTCCATCATTGTCCTGTGCTTTGCTGCCTGCATTTGACTCAGAACCATTGTTGATGCATAACGCCACAAAGACGGTCATTGTTAGACCTCTCAAAACAAATTTGCATTTCTTAAAGTATTTGTGTATACTGTTTCTCTTTTCCCATTTAATGCCATCTTGTTAACACCATATCTTTTTGGGTGCTTTCCGAGTTATTTCTGTTATTTTCTGAGCAGTACTAAAATCCCTAATGGCCTCCATCCCTCATGTAATGTTCACTTGCAGTATACTTCCATGTAATCCTGTACCGTCTTGATTGTTCAACACCTAAGCATGATGATAGGCCACATTTTTACCTATCCATATGGAGTTGCAATATCTTATAAAAAAAATAAAAATTCATGGAAATATGTTCTGATTTTTTGTTGCATTGTTTCTAGGTTCTTCTGTACTACCCACATGTTTGCAGCCAAAATAATTTTCTGGTGCCACTTTTTGGCTGTCTAACTTAGGATGAAAGAAAAAGATGACAACTTTGATGATGTTCACTGGATTGGATAATTAACATAAGTTATGTTATGCGTTCTTTATGTTTTTTTACAGCTAAAACTAGTTAATTTCCAGTAATTGAGCAATATCAAATAGTAAAATATGTGAACTAAGGAAGTTTACGAACAAGCTTATCCTATATCAGCACTCCAACTATATGTTTTGAACTTTCTTAGGCATACCAAAAGTATAACATCTGCAACTAAATAAAAGATTATGCAATTTGTTATTAATATCAACTGGGCCTAATCATGTGCTGGTATTTTTAAAGCATATAGACTAATTTGTACAAGCATGGCAAAGGAACTAGGAGAAAGGATCAACACTCAGCAACCAGTCTACTAATGCAGCTAAAGTTATTCTCCATTTTAAGGTAACATTTTAAGTGAAATTATGTGAAAAATCCTGGGTATATGTTTGGAACTCATTCCCCCGTTTAAGTCTACAGATAGTGAACACAATCCTAGTATATTAGGACACTCACTTTTTTTGGGGTTTCCCATGTATGTAATACCTAACAATTGCAATATGTGAACGCCTCCAAAGCTGTTGATTAGGCAAGTGTGGTGGAGACACCCTTTGATTCAATGTGCGGAGACATAACGATGGAGAATTGCTCCCCAAGAGATTGTCATTTCCAAGCTGTCGAAGGAAAAGACGAAGGATAAGCAATCTCCATGTTGTCCAAGTCCTCGGTATTGACTATTAGATTCGCTCTAAAATTTGGGACATGTCATTTAGTCTGTGTGGTAAATGGTTTTTGTGATGGTTAAGTTTCAATTCTTGTTTTTCTGGTAATGCCAGTGGTGGCACTAATCTGGAAACCTGGTTGCATGTATGCCTCCTCCTATATGTGATCCCAAATATAGGGGGTCTTCCTCGGATCATAATCGTTGCACTTTCTTTGTCGCCCTACAGTATCGAAATTTACGATATGGGCATATGTAGTAGCTTCTGCAGACATTCACATACTGGTATTGGATTCATTGTTGCGATTCATTTGAGAGTTAAGGACTATGTTCGATCATGTTTACCCTGAATGTAAACGGTGAGGATTCAGATCTAAATTCTGAAACCCTAACCCTAAATTCTATCTTATTAGCACATGAATGAGGCTTTAGAGAGATGGGATTTCTTAAAGGGTGGTTGCCCCCCTCTGAAACGCCAATGATTGCTCTCTCCTCCAAGCGAACAGCCTCCTCTCTCTCTCTCCACCAATCCCAGTTTTCAGCAATTAGCTCACATACCAGTTTTCTGAGAAGTAAATATTTTGCAGTTGGCATTGTGTAATCTCATGTTGTATGTTTTGTGTTATAATTTGACTAGTCTCACTTCCACTCAAAAAAGTTGTCTTTGAGTAGAGGGTGAAAGCCCCACCCTCCCTTACACTCCTCCAGTAGTCAAGGATTTGAACCCGCTTGCGGTTGTAGTACCTGTAAACTAGACACTACTGGAAGAGCTAAATATTCATCTTACTCTCAATGGTGCTATGGTGACAGATTCAACCATTCCAGGTCAACAACTATGGTACAAACTTAACATTTTACAATAGGTGAGAACCTCGAGATAATGTCTTAGAGGAGGTTTTTATGTCTGGTCGCCCTGCCCACCAAAAAGAAAAAAATTGTGTATATAATTAACTTTGGGTCTAATGGACGGCCCAGAAATGAACAGTCCATCTCCATCATCAGTGCTTCACGAACTTTTTTTTGAAAGGAATAATTTAACATGAACAAAACTCCATCAGAAAGAATAGAATCGTTATCATTTGTCTCGTGGAAAAGTAAGATTTGAAGGTTGATGTAACAAAAGGGAAAGAATCCAACTAACTCTGTTGCTATATATGTCGCTTGCTTGCAGTCTAAAGCCAACAATCTTAAAACCAAAAAAACCACTTGCCTGAGTTTCAATTCAATGGCTTCAATCCAGCATGCCAAACCCGCCAATCAAACGAACCACCCTATTCAGGGCCCAGCCAATGACAAACCCAAAAATGAAACTTGCTATCAGGGGAGCAATGAACACAAATTCACCAACAAAGTGAAAGAGAAGGTGAATTCAGCTCGCAAAATATTAACCGAACATATTCACAATGAACACCATACACATCAAGATCATACCAGAATCTGTGCCAACCACCGGCAGCAACTTATGCGCCGGGGTTCAGATATGGCGTATGGTGACGTAACCGAGAAAAAAAATAAAGAAGGGCATGCATTTAGTTGCATGCCTAAAAAGCAACACCTGCTGAAGAAGAACAAGAACAGAAAGGAAGGCGAGAATAACAATAAGAGCAGTAGCAGCAGCAGTGAAAGCAATGACGATACTCGCTAGAACACAAAGGTATGTGTGATAACTTCTTTACAAGCCACTGCCTCCAGACGTTAAAAACTCCCAAATAGAACATGATCATTTCAAAAATTTGTATCATCTGCAGTGCTACCACTTTCAAGAAAATGCTAGTCTAGATGAATTGAACCCATGACACACGTCACAATAGAATAATATTACCATCGATCCATTACCAGATTCTTAGACAAATTGTTCAAACACCCATTAACTTTCACCCAGAAACTCATGAAGTGAATTCTCTTTTATAAACCATGAAAGGCTTTATTAGCATCTCTTTGACACCCGTGAACCTTCTAACAACTACAATCTTGTGTGTGTTCTAATCATAAATATTTGTGTTTTGTGCATGCAGAAGTAAGAGTAGCAGTTGTGACAAACCAATCGGATCGATATGGGAGGAATATTTTTTTTTTTTCAGGAGTTCACTCTATAGAGGAATAAACTCTCTAGCTAATAAACTAAATAAAAGCTACAAGCTATCGACTTGTGGAAATCAGTCGTTCTCCTGATTGTCTACTTGGTAATATATGCCAGTGGTCTGTGCACTCTGTTTGATAAATACAATAGGGTTAATTTGGTAAGATTAGCCTGCAGCCTCTTCCCAATTTCATGTTGTGTCCTGGTGACAGGTTATGAAATTTCATGCTAACAACATAGAATAAGTACTGTCTGGCTATTGGAAAAAGGAGATTCAAAGTATGATTTATTGGAAAGTGAATCCCACTAACTCTCCAGGCCAACGGCTATGTATATCACTACATGTATGGCTTCATTCCAATCCCAAGCAAATCACAATCACATTGTTGCCTTAGGTTTTATTTCTAGGGCCTCAGTCCCACATGTTAGAGTAGTCTAGAATATTTAACATTAGAGGTATTTTAGTCAATTGCTCTAACACCACAAACCCTAATCAAACCAAGCAAATCATTCCCAGCCCTCATCATAGTTTAGCATAGCATTTAAGTGAGTTGCCATAGAGGGGGAGATGCCATATTTCATTGAAAGGCACCATTTGGAACATTGAGATACAAGATTCAAATCTGATTTAGATAATCTATGACATCACTTGACATAATCCACTTGCAAAAAAAATTCGGCCCAAATACCCACTGAGAAGGGTGATCTGCAGCCTCCGTCCTACAAGACTACACGAAAATTCATACATCCTGCTGGCAGATCTACATTCTGGTACTAGTATTAGGACCATATTCTACATAAGGTTAACCAAAAAACATCACAAAAGGCAACAAAGGTGCAAAACAATTATGGAGCCAAAATATACATTCGATCCATTTGATCTTACCTTCCTTCCATTGACCTGGAAACAAACGCCGCAATAACCCGAACGGCATCATCTTCAGCTTCTTCTTGAGTGGATCCTTTTGATTGCAGATGCTTCTTTGCAATCTTGAATGAGTGGTCACCACCTTCAATCACATGCAACTCGTTAATGGATTTTATCTTCTTCTGAACAGCTTCCAGCTTCTCCAGTGGACAAAGCCCATCTTTGCTACCCTTTATGAAACAGAATCATACAGTAAGCAGCAATAGCATAGGAAATGATAAATTACACAAGAACTTCTAAGTGTGCAAGATGCATAAGCATTTCAAACATTAAAGATTTGTCAGTTCAAGTTAAGTGGACAATTGTACAACAATTTACAAACAGTGGAACAAAGAGAACCTTGAAATTTCATGAAACATATAATTTTAAACAATCTATGTTCCTTTATAAAATATTGATGAAATTTAAGATATCAATTTGCTTAAATTTTAGCAATAACACCTTAAACATAAAAATTAGTCTAGAAAAAGATCTAATAGGTTAGTTATATTGTCCAATTGGCTACTGATTTACCTGAACAAACATAACAGGAACTGTCAGTTGCAGCAGTGTCTCATCTCGCACTGCTCCATTGGTGCCCTGAAACATGGTGTAACTGAATCAAGTAAGAGAGGAAAAAAGATGAATTAAGGAAAACAGATTTACTAGTAGCAGGAACAAATTGTAATTGGAATAGACTAGGACCAGTTAACACAAGACATCCATCCCCAGCCTCCTAAGCCTTTAAATTAATTATATATATTTACCTCTCTTTCTCTTTTTGCTAGTCCCTTCTTGAACCTCAAAACATTTACCAACATTCATCCAACTAATGTCCTCAAGAAGGAGTGCATCTTCTTTTTCAGTGATCCACTCATCATCAAATTCCATATCTTATAGAGAAATAAGATCATAGGAATCACCCTCTAGTATTCTCTTTTGGTGTCTTGCCTCCAATCGAAGATTGTACTTCACAAACACAAGTGCACTTAATCTTTGCTGCTCTAATTGATTTCTCCTCTTAGAGTGAACTTGGTCAAATGTACTCCAATTCCTCTCACATCCTGTGGCACTCCAAGTCAAGCTAAGGACGCGGATAGCAAGTTGTTGCAACTCTAGACAACATTCTCCAAATGATTCCCACCATAAGGCTATAAAAAATTACAATAAAATAATGCATTAACTAACTTAAGTAATTGCATTAAATGACTAACTTAAGTTAGGTTACCACTAACCAGGTTGTTTCTTCTTCCTCATCTGGATTGTCATGTCCATTTCAAACATCAAATCAACATTATGAAAGATATCTAATTGTTTATCAACTTTTTCTCTCACAATAGGACTTGAGCACATTCTCTGAATAGTCTGATAAAATCCCATTTTTATCTCATAGTCCGCATTACCGTTGTAATGAAACCTGAATTTTTTATTTTGATTTACAATGATCATTGATCAATATACAATATATAGATATAAAATGATATAAAAATTGAGAAACTTAAATCTTACGCGGGATTGAGATAATAGGCAGCTGCATGAAGAGGTCTGTGTAATTGCATGTTCCATCAAGTGTCCACAATAGTCCATATGGACTCATAGTGCTTCTTCACAATTACGAAAATTCTTTTGGATTTGTTCCTTTGCCTTATCCATTGCCTCGTAAATATACCCCATGACTGGCTTTAGATCCCCATCTACAAGCCTCAACACCTTCACCAATGGCAACACACACTTCAAGCAATACTTGATTGATTCCCAAAAATTTTGGTCAACTAGTATAATATTCATCACTTTTACACCATCTCCCTTCTTAGAGTATTGACTTCTTTGCCATTCTTCAGAAGCAAACATTGCTTTAAGCCCAATTTTATTCTCAAATAAACTCCTTAAAGTTAAATATGAGGTGGCAAATCTGGTCACACAAGCTCTCACCAAATCCCTTTTCTTTGTATACTTCCTCATAAGATTTAACACCCAAAAATATCTATAAATGTAAATTGTGATTTTCCTTGCCTTTGCCATTATATCCTTATGTAGAGGAAGGTCTCCAATATCCGTCAAAATAAGATCTAGACAATGTGCAGCGCAGGGAGACCAAAACAACTTTTTCCTCTTTGCCATTAACAACTCCCCAGCTTTTACATAAGCCAATGCACTATCAGTTACAACCTGAACAACATTGTCCTCGCCAATATCTTCTACCATTGAATCTAAAAGCTCAAAAAGATTATCCGCATTCTTACAAATGCCTGAAATATCAATATTTTTAAGAAACACACTTTCTCTAAGACTATTCACTAAAAAATTAGTGATAGAGCGATGTTTCCCATCAATCCATCTATCAGACATAAGAGTACAACCCGTCTTTCTCCACTCTACTTTATAATTTTTCACCAACCCACCATTAATCAAATCTGTTTCTTTTTTCAAAAAAGAACATCTCACCTCATGATATGATGGAGGTTTCAATCCCTTGCCAAACGATGCAACAGATTCTAACATTCTTACAAAATATGGATCCTTTACCAAATTAAAAAGAAGCGTATTAGCATAAAAACGTCTACAAATATCCAAGCATACATTTTCCTACCCTTTTTCTTCAACATGGTATTCAAAGTAATGGTGGTGGTTGGTTGTATTTTATCGGCAGTAGTACTACCCACATTACCACTACTTTTTGAATCCACAAGACTCATCTTTGCTAGAAGCCCTATCATCCAAGAATTGCTTAAAAAATTCAGTTACTTTCTCAGGACAATGCTTACATGATGCTACATCTTTACGATTATATGTCAAATGATTTTTCAGTCTTGAAATGCCTCTCCAATAGACATTTGCACAATGAATGCATTTCAATTTCAACCTTGATCCTTCTACTTTGTCACAATGTTTCCATGTGCGATCATTAGCAAGTTTTTTAGTCATTTCTATATGAAAATAAGATGTTGGTGATGTCACTATTTCACATAATTAAAATTAATCAAGATTCAAAAAGTTTTATACAAAAAAAAAATTATTTGACTTTGTAAATAAATTAACAGAATTTCTTACACTGCATAGGTTTGACTGGAATAGCTGGAGAAAAAAGAAGAAGGCAGCTGCTGTTGCAGATTCAGGTCTGCTTCAATGGCTTCTCAAATTTTGTTGCCTTCGTCGATGAAGAACGGGGAGAAGAGGGAGAAGATGGAGAACAGAGAGAACAAAGAAAGGGGCTAGACTGGGTTCGTCATCGTCAACAACAGAGAAAAGAGAGAGAAGGGCTAGACTTCATCGGAACAGAGAAATCTACTGTGTTTCGTCGTCGTGAAGTCTGAAGAACGTGGTTGAAGGCTGGCTGTTGTGTGCTGTGTTTCGTCGTCTTCGCCGTCGTGACTCGTAAGGCCTGAAGAACACCCAGGTCCCAGAAGGAAGACAGCGAACGAAGAGGAGAGGAAAAGAGGGATTTTATTTTTTTTGTAAACCCTAGCCCTAAAACGACGTCGTTTCAGTGACAGGGATAAAAAAATCAATCTCTTATTTAGACAAAACGACGTTGTTCCATCCAAAAAAAAATTAAACAGGTTTGCGCGTATCGTAAAAACGTGTCGTATATCAGACGATACAACGCAAAAACGATACAAAACTACGATCTGTATCGTTTCGACTCTGTATCGTACAATATTAACAACTATGTTTTTGACAGTTAAACGTTGCCAATGCATCAAATATAGGATTATCCACTAAACAAAGGGATTAAAAATTGAATGACTCAAATACAACCTCTTGTACTACACGAGACCCAAATCAATCCATCTATTCAGAAAAATTTCCCTAAGCTGGTTTCGACAATTTACGTACCTTATTTTAAGTCAGCATCTATTTGGGGTTGGCTATCTATTAGATAGTGGCATTTTGAAAATGCAGCAGATAATGAATACTGAAGAGCATGTCCTACGAACTGTACAGAACTGGTTGGTACATAAGAATACATGCCTCCCACAACTACATTAATTAATATGGAGTAGATAAGAAAGCAACTAGTCTAAGACTCTAAGTGGCCAAGTGCACAAAGCTCCCGCTACTGCAACGTCCGGAGAGGGTAAGATGTTCACAATCTTACCCTTGCATGCAGAGAGGTTGTTTATGCGACTCAAACTTTTAACTTCCAAGTCCAACACCAAGGTCCACCAATGGGAAAGCAACTACTACTAGTCTAAAACATTTTATATGCTCTGAAGTGTGAAGCCAATGATTGAAGAAAACCAGAAGAATCAAAACATAAATTGAGATCCATAGATAATGACAGACCTTTAGCGGGTAGCCCAAACAAACTATAGCTGAAGCACCAATGTCTTCCACACCAGCTACCATGCAGCTGACCCTACACATTTTGCTAAAAAATGAAGTTGCTCTTAAATATTTTGGACAGCTTGGTGGTTATCCTTCTTCTTCTTACTCTTTCTTTCCAATTTTGCAAGTGCACATATCCCATCATTATAATGGAACCACATGGAAACATGATGTATGATTCTGGGTAATAAGCCATTTCTTTTCAATTTTTCCATAGCATAACATCATGTGACAAAGAAAGAAGCAATAAATTATCCATCTTACTATCTTGATTCCCATACGAATTGGAATGCAGTTCCCTCCATGCCTTCTCAAATTTTAGCAGTTTGGATATAGCATGGATTGACTTTTACAGATATCGCTTACAGATATAATAGCAGAAGCACCAGGCAGGATGCATAACGAATTAAGATCAGGCAAGACTCTAGAACAGAAAATTTTGGTAACTATTACCTTGAACCCATGGATTTGCCAACCAAAATCAAGGGATGGCCAGGGTACTTAGCAACAGTCTTTTTAACAATGTCTGAGTGAAAGTCAACCAATTTTTCTGCCTTTGGAGGAGCTTTCCGTTTTTCACCAGAAATGTCTGCCAAGAGTCAAAACCATTAAATTCGGAATCCAGAAGTCGAGTACTCCAAAGAGGCCTACAAATATAACTTCATTATTTCCTTACTCACTTTTATAGACTATCAGGAAACCAAATCTAGTGTATGGGGCATTCTAATATTGAAATGGATTCTTACAAACCAGTCATTTGCTTAAACTCACTGCAGACATTCTTGGTTACTTATTTGAATATAAGTAACCATGGGTAGTCACTTTTATAGACACAAGTTCTGAATATAAGAAAACAATGAGAATGCATTGACTGATAAAGTAAGCTCACATGGGTAGTCAAAAGTTACTACTTCAACAGCTTGCAATGCCTTGGCCAATAGGTCCTTCCATCTGCATAAAACTTAGGAGGCTCAGTTTCAACAAAAAAACTCTACGCCATTCACATCACATTTTCTGTTTGGGCAAAAAACACATAGGAACTGATGATCACTTAGCAGTTTATCTTCTTGGTTGCTCTCTCTCTCTTTTTACTTGTTACATCACTGCCTAGAAACTAGTAACTACAACAAATCAAACAGGTAACTAATGACTTGACTTAACAAGAAGCAGATCAACAGTGGCACATGCAAGTATTTACTTGAATTATTTGTCAATCTTTGCAGTCCAAAGGGTAAAGTTCTAGTTTTTTGTCCAAAATAAACGAACGATAGAGTTCCAAAAATGGCCATAAAGTGAGCAATGTCATGTGCATACAAGTAATCCTTTTTAGTAGACACTCAGTTTATTATTATGCTGAAGTTCCTACATTTGCTACATAAAAACAGAACTCATTGGATTTAATGGTGGCATAGTTCTTTTCGAGTGTTTTGCCACCATAAAAAAACGTCTATCTAGGAGAAAAAGAAAAAAAACCTCCATCGAGAACAACCGAAAAAGGCTCTGTTTGACTGCTTAGAAATATAGGAAATTGAGAGAGAAACAAATTTCAAGTCTACTTTTGCATCATTTGGGACGCAAGAAAGCAAAAAAGGCCACAACTGTCCCAGCTTTAAGATACATTCAAACTAAAATTAGTAAAATTTTGTACTATACATATTCAGAACATAGTGGGATTTCTGAAACTTGATACACATTCTCACACATATATAGATAGTATAGTGGTAAACAGGAGGAGGAACCTAATCATCCAATCAGAAGACGAAGGAGCACCGGCCCCATGAGCGAAGATCACAACCGGTGAATTCTTGTTCGTATTCTTCTTCTTCTTCTTCACGAGGTCGTCTGATGTATTATCAGTTGTGTTCGTATTATTTTGTTCTTCTTTATCTTCGTTAGCTTCGTTCTGGCTGGTACGCTTTCGCTTCGAAGAACGTGTAGCGACCATCCTGAATCAACTGATAAAAACCCCGAAAATATTCCTGACTCAGCTCTATTAGAAACCCTAACTTGTTCACAAAGATCAATTTTCGCGCCAAATGATGGGGGAAGTGGAAACCAACACTTACAATAAACAATAGTCAGCCGCGCGCTAAATAGAGGAGGATGCGAACGGTGTCAGGTTAAACGGATGTCCAATAAAAAATGTATACGCTAAGTTTAATAAATGAGTAAAAAATTTTAACACGAACACGAATCGTTTAATAAAAAAGTAGCACGACACGACTCGTGCTGCTGACTTTACTTGGGCCAATATTGGCCTGCCTTATCTATATTGTGTTTAGAAAATGCGGCAGTCCACAATTTTGATTTTCTTTCTTTTTAGGCCCATATTCGGGATGGGAGAAAGTGCTATTTTATGTATTACTAGTAATTGTCCGTGCCTGAAAGCACGTCGACACAAAAAATCCTTTACAACTTTAAAAAAAAAATTCATTAATTTGAAATAGTTTTTAAGATTGAAATTAAGATAATCCCTAATATTTTTCAAAAATTTCGGCAAAGTTTCCTTTAAAAATAGGAGCCCAAAAAAATTTAAACTTGTGTACAAAATTTACAATCATATAACAATCATCATATCATAATATACCATATCACCACGATTCAATTATATTTTTCCCAAAATCATCAATACATACCCAACCACTAAAACAATCAACTTTCCATACCCAAAACCATTAATACATATCCAACCACCAAAACAACCATCATTACATACCAAAATCATTATACGCATGTGCCATTAGTTGACACCAAGCGTGCTTCCATGTATACCTGACAATGAGTGACATATACAAATTATCGTTAAATAGAATCAATATAATCATTGTCATCAAATCCATTATACTAAATTATTCATAACAAACTAATGAATACACAAATGTGTGTGTGTGTTGTGTGCGTGTCTGAGAAGTAGAGATAGACAAAGAAAGGGAGTAAGATAGGGAATTAACTGTACAACTGATTGATCAGTGAGAGATTAGTCGTCGTTGGAGGTGGATGGGTCAGTACTGGATTGCACATTATTTGAATTTTGTCAGAAAGAATGTCATCATTGTCAATTCACTAAACCTTCTCTTCATCAGTCCCCCAAATGTCCTCGTATTAATATGAACGCACTTTGTCCAATGGAGTGAATGTACAACCACCTAAATTATTCACATAAACAATCAAATTAACACAATATATATTTCTAGAAATAGTAAAATTATTTTGATGTAGTTATATAAGAGTAAAGTTACCTGATTATGTCAACCCCATCCACAAAAGTCCATTGTATATATTCTATCGTTCTCGTTGGCAAATGTACTCCAATCCTGCAAAGATTGAACGTCATTATAAAACTAAAAGTTGAAACATTGGAAAGATCATATAATAAGTAGAAATAAATTTGTTTAAATTGTACCATTTAAATGTTATAAGAATCTTATAACATAACTTCAGGGTAAACAATATTTGCGGTGCAATTTGACCCATCTTCAGGGAGGACACTAATACGATCCGAAGATATGCATCTGGATAGTGCCACATAAAGGTGTCCATGACTAAAAATAGGTGTCCGTAAATCAATCCCAACGAACTTGACAGATTGTCCTTGGGCTTTATTGATTGTCATAGCATAAGTTAACCGGACAGGAAACTGACGTCTTGTCATTTGAAAAGGCAAGTCCAAAGATGTTGGTGCCAATGATATTCTCGGAATGAAAACTAAATTGCCAATTTTATCTCCATTTAATATTTGGGCTTCAATTACCCGTGAGACACATCTAACAACCATCAGTCGTGTGTCATTACAAAGTCCATCTTTTGGTGCAATGTTCTGCAACAACATTATTGGGCATCCAACTTTCAACTCCAATTTAAAAGGTGGCAACCCTGAAGGATTCAGCGAGTTTAAGTACTCATTAGGATATTGATTCCTAATGGTACGATCAAACTCATTACCTTCAGACATTTTATCTACAGCTAAAAAAATAATTGTTTCTCCCGGAGAATTATTCAGTGCCACAACATTTATATCATTAATGTCATCATTGCGAGTAGACAAAATGGTGCGTTCAGTGAGAAAGTTCGGAGTCATTATACCAGCCACATCCAATCGTGGATAGATTCTAAATATCAATTCATTTAAATTGTGACACCTGTGTATAGTAGATGGAAGTTGCACGACTTCTTGTGGATTGGTCCCAATCTAAAAAGTGAAAGTATAATCAGCCAAAAAATAAAATATTAAATCAAAATATCATGTCATGAAATTCAAGGTAAATTGAAATATTACCTCCATCAAGAAGTTAACAAAATTAGCATTTCTGACGTCTGTGCGAGTTAATCGCATGTTTAAACCCAGAGTCAAAACATGTATATCTTTCCATAACAAAGACCGTCTCAATGATGCACCCACAATTTGCTCGCGGACTCCTTTCGGTATAACGGGTAGAATTTGTCGAAAGTCTCCGCCTAGAACAATAGTGATACCCCCAAAAGATGTTTTATCATCTCTAATATTTTGAAGTGTGCGATCGACTGCCTCCACACAATATCGATGTTGCATAGGAACTTCATCTCATATTCTCAATTTTGTTTCTCTAAACAACTCGGCATGCATTGATTGTTTAGTAAACCCACAAATCGAATTTTCAAGCGTTTCCGAAGGAATACAAAATGTAGAATGCGCGGTACGACCCCCAACCAATAACAATAAAGCAATACCAGATAAAGCCACAGTAACAACAACATATCCATGGCTACGCATTTTTGTTGCAATGGTGTTATACAAAAACGTCTTCCCTGTTCCAGCACCTTCACTCAAAAAAAAGGTAGTTCCTTTATTTTCACATACTGACGAAATGATTGCAGTGTAAGCAGCAAGTTGTGCATCATTAAGGGCTTCAATATTAATTTGTGCACCAGTCTGTTGTGCTTCATTTTGGAGTTTTTGGTGCTCAAATAGTAATCGGTTGCCAACTATTGCATCCCAATTTCCAACTGGTTGTGGCATGGGTGAAAAATCAGATAAACTCTTCCCTGACTCATGGAGCAATTGATTCATCAAATATAAACCATAATCTTCAATTGATCATCGGTTGGATTCAAAACACCAAACATAGTATGAATTTTGTGTGTTAAATCATCACATATATGCGTTGAGAATTGATTCCATAGTGCAAGTGGATGCAATGGAGAGCATTCTGTGAGAATAATAGCAAATAGTCTCCTTAATTGGTATCTCGTTCTCATTGTTGAAGCCTCTTACAAACATTGTATCCATTCTTCATCATCTTCAAGAAGTCCTCTTACAACACATGCTAACTTGAATGTATCGTGCATAACATTATTTACCGTACGTAGGCAGTCAAATGAAATTGGTCCTCTGACAATAGTTAAAATCAAACGCAGATAAAACCGCTCGCCTGAATTAGGGCTAGCAAAGTACATTCTACCAATTGCATAACCCCTTTGTTTTGGAGTCCATTTCTTGATGGTCTTATTCCACACAAATTTTTGTGGAAATTCCTGATAAATTAATGCACGTGTAGATTCATGTGAAGTGCAGCAAGTAAAAAAGCCAGTTAAAATTGTATCTTGTTGTGCACCTTTAGAAAGGATTGTACCAAAAAGATTCAGCAGGGTTAAAGACCACACGATGCATCCCAGGTAAATGAAGTGCCAATCGTACAACTAACGGAATCTCTTCATGTAAAGGATTACCAAATAATCGCCAAGCAGCTTCAGGAAGTCCAATATACCTTGCATCAAGATATTGTTGGATCTCATTAATTTCTCCAAGCACCATAGTTGCGCGATCATGTCTTTTATAAATATACTTGTGAATGTATTTCACGCATCTGATTCCCGCACAAACTTCAACGTTGATATGACAATTGAACAATCTTGATAGATACGGATTATGTGGTACAACATCTCTATTATCAATTTCTTGTCCCCTCACGATGTACTTCTGACCAGTATTATGACGACGATAAACAGGATATCCATTGCAATCCATGCTTGTTGATTCCACAAATGCTCGAGGATACCTCTTGGTGCACACCCCATTTTTCATACATGGTGCTTGTGGGTTTCGAGCACCACATGGTCCGTGGATCATGCAACTTATGATTGTTTCAAAAAGTAATGGGTCAGTTTGACAATCCAGAAATTCAGCACTCACTACTTTGTCTACTTGAGCACATGTCTGAATTTTATCTGAACCGTGAAGAAACAGAAGTGCATGCATATGCGGTAGGCTTCTTTTTTGGAATTCAATTGTAAAAACATGTGCCACCTTTCTACCAAAGATTGACTTTGTTTCTATCTCCTTCATCAAGAAACTTCGCTTCAACTCAAAAACACGGGCCACTAAATCAGGACGATCAGTAGGGATCTGATTTGGCAACAACGATTTAGTAATTTCTGGCCAACTGGGATTTGCAGTCATAGTTAGAAAAATATATGGGTGTTGATTATACCGCGTGATAGCCATTGAATCTTGAAAAATTTCAAACATATGTCTTCCACTGCTAGTGAACGAATATGCCAAAATCATTCGTTGGCCAACTTGTTCAGGACCAAGCTCATCTGCACAAACATCTGTAAGACCTTGGTAAAGTTCTGCACGAAGCTTCGATTGATTCAACTTGTAGTATGTCAATCGATTTTGTTCAGTAGCGGCCCAAGCATCCACTACAAATTCCTGAAATAGTTTTCAAGCTCTCAAAATAGTTGAATACTCAGTGTCACGTTGGAACATACGATAACTGTAATATTGCAATTGAGTCAGTCGAGTAGATGAAAGTTGATCCTATGACACGTTCCACTGTCTCAAATCTGAATTCCATCCTAGCTCACCATAAGGAAACAATAATACGTAATGCAATGGTAAATAGGCCGGGTGACACTCATTAATTTGCATTAACTGATTGTCCCCCCCTCAAATGTAACACAATA